GCTGTAGTGGCAGTGGGTGGTGTAAAGATCTTCAGGGACACGTTCACACCCTCCGTCAGCCCGGGGATATAAAAAGTGATAGAAATAGACAACTGTTTGACTTTGAGACCATCGATCGTGGGCGGTGGTGGTGGTGTGTGGTTGTCAGATGATGGATGGGATGGGGGACCGGCGCGCAGCCGGATGTCACCCCCGGGGCCCGTTCCGTGATGCTCGGGCCGTTCACAGGTCAGCAACAGCCAGCCGACCGTGGACGGACCACTGAACGCCGCAACGGAGGGTAAGACTCCACTTGGCTGAAATATTTCGATGTAAATAAGGCCGAAGATAATATCAAATATTTTATCAATAATTTGTTGTCGTCCACTATTTCACCGAGACGTAACTTACACTTACTCGCTCCCCTCCCCACCGTTCGGACCGTTCGACAAAGCGTCCACCTGGCTTTCGGTGGGAACGGGGATTAACCCTTTCGCTGACCGGAGCAGTGACCTTCCCAACTCATCACGAGAACTGACTGACAACTGTCTGTCATGACGAGCTGTTTGGAAAAAGGGACCTTGGATGTTACGGTACCTTGTAGGAATAACCTGTTGTGTTGTTCGGTTTTGTTCGTGGCCGTGCTTGTGTAGGCTGATATTCGCCGCCGGTAACCATCACCAACAGGCGTACGGAGTATCCAGGACAGAGCAGGAAGGCTGAGCAAGTGGACAGAGGGCGTCGCGTGACCTTGAATATCGTCGTGATATCCGCCTGAAGCTCTGTTCTCGGCCTAGAAAGTTGCCTGCTGGCCTGCTGTGCTGTGGATGCCCGACGACCACGGGGAAGTCACGGGAAAACTTCGGAGTGCGAAGTTGCAGTGGTCACGATGGAATACAATAACTTTCTGGTGAGGGGTTAAGATTTGACAAGGCAGGCGCGCGGTCCATCTGCTGCTAACAGCTACGGGCCTATGATTGCGGCATGTCTGTTAGTGACCCCCAACCCGCCTAGCCCACAGGCTCCAGCGTGGCTTCATCATATGCCCATGCAAAAGAGGGGAACCACGGCCAAATCATCAATTCAAAGTTCTCCACGACAATGGATCCTCGACACGGCGTATCGTATGATGCGAATTAGAAAAACCCATAAACCACGGGGCGGGGGGAGATCCGATGTGGAAAGTTTGCGGGGTCTCCAGCCGGGCCTCCGGTTTAATTGCGGGGTTGGCTCAATGCTCATCCGGGGCACGGAGGGAGTCTGTCACGGGGTGAAATAGCGGAGGCCTCGACGGAAAACGGGGCTCCGAGGTTTATGCTGCCAGGTAAGATAGCATCTCGAACATTTCCATCTCCCACCACTGCCGACGCCGAGACGGGAGTTTGGATGAAATTCCGCCAAAGGTGGCAATGTTCTTCGACTCGGGTCCTTGACCCGGACTCCCTCGTGACCGAAGTCATATCGTCAAATGACTGACGGGGATGACTTCAGATGAAGGACGGAATCCTGAACTGCCGAGTCCGTTTCACGTGGGCTGAACTTTGAAAAGGCTCCGTAGCAGGCTGATCACGGCCTCATCTCCCACGAGCCACGATACCAAACTTGGGATTACCTGATGGAGTTCACCAACTGCCGTAGCCTCAATTCCGGGGAGACAGGAGGGTGGAAATTGACGCGATTCAGGGTCCACGGGTAGTGTGTCATGTGGCACAATTCTCAACATCATCAGGGTTCCCCGTCTTTTTTGGCTTTTGCCCATTCGAGACGGATCGATTTACAAGATCTTGTGAGCTTATTCGAGGAAGTGCAGGGCATCTGGGATAAACACAATTCCACAAGATATCTCGAGTCTCGGTGACTGGACGGCAAAAGTCGAGATCGTTCTCGGGCGAGAACCTCACAAGTCACAACCGCTGGCTGGGCTTTTCAGGCTGTGTTGCATCTCAGCCTCAACAGACAACACCGAGAAGGGCCTCACGTGCCACGACACTGCTGCGTCTTTTTGAATGTCACTGTCTCCACTTTCTTGACAGACTCGCACGGCTCGTTTTGTAATTTCTCTTTTGGCGCTCGCTGAAACTTGATTGAAGCAGAGAAAATTTCGTATTGTAACGGAAATAATTCGGCCTGCCCTCGCACCAACAAAACATGAAATGCTTGCGAATGTGACGGCGGAATAATTCCTCGACGAACAATCTCGCACACAACATTGGCCATGTCTCAGGTTGCGAGTCTCGAACAACGAGCGTCACTACAAAACGGATGGTATTGATGCCAGGCGGATATTACCGTCCCCTTAGGCTCTGGCTGAATGTCATCTGGAGATGGAAAGGTCAAAACGGAGCAAGGTGTCCATGTGCCGTTGGGTAAAAGTGGAATTCACACCATGGAGTTGAAGGGATGTGGGCGAAATTTTTTTTTTTTTTTCGATAAAATCTCAACATCGAAAAAGACATCAACAGCAGGTTGTAAGTTACAACCCACAGTTCCACCGAAACCACCCTGGCGACACTCCCCCGGAATCATTCCACTTTTCCCTCTCCCCATCGCCCTGGCAGCGGACATCAAACAGAAAAATGCCTTGCAAAGACTTGGATACCTTGGCCTTTTGATCGCCCTCCCAAACGACCACTTACCATCGCGTATTCAACCCACGTGTTGCCCTTTCACTCCTCCATGATGCTCCATCCGTTGTCGTGTCAACTCCATCCAAACAGAGTCGCGTGAGGGCGTGAATACAGTCGCGACATTCGTTGCGCTTTGATAGCCGCGCAGCCGCGATGCCGCCAACTCTCGCCAGTCCAGGCCTTTCCTAATGAATTTAACCGTCGGCTGATGTTGCCGAAAACCTGGGGGGTTCTCGAATCTCGAATTCTTTTCGGAGTCAATAAAGTCACTATTGAACATGGTCGTGGATGGAAATCGCCAATGCAATATCTACCGACCGGATCGTTGCCGTCTGGTGATTTCAACCGCCTGACAACCGCAACCGTAGCCGCGATTCGGGGACCTGACCTGCAGAAAAAGTTTTTCACAGCAAAAGGTGATGATCACAGCATTCGCTGCGTGGTGGACAGGTACCAACCACCCCGACATCTGCCTGCCTGTCACCTCATCACCCAGGCCCAGGTCCAGGGAGCTGGTTCCTGGCAGCTGCAAATCCTACGCGGACCGACAATTCATGCAACTCATGCAACTCGGCAAAAAGGCCCGAAAAATGATCAACGTTTATCCTTTTGCACTTCATTGTTTGGTGTGGCTGCCCAATGCAACGTCCAGGGACCGATTTTGCATCTGTCACCACCTGTCTCGCTTGATCGCTAACTGTTTGGCCCGGGCCATTTCCGTCCTCGGCCAACAAGACGGCAGGAAGATCGGAGGTATCGCCGTTGCGTGGGCTCACTGGGCTGCGGGCATGGTGCGGCGTGGTGTGGGGCCGTGGTGTGGTGCCTGCCCCGGTCTGCGCCGAGGGGCCGCCGAGGGAAGGCCGGGAAATGTGGATTGCGTGGAATGTGTAAAATGCTCACTTCCGCTTGGCGGAGGAGATCACGGACTAACTGCGGAGCATGCACCGGACGCCTGATTCTGGAGGTATCCCGGAGGTCTCAGGTCTCAGCAGGTCGGATATCGCCGCGCCGCCGAGGATGCACCAAGCGGGAGTGCTTACATACGAACCATCGTGACCCGACATGAAAACGCCTGGCCGCGGGAGAAGCAGTGGAGCCACCGCGGGAGAAGAGATGGAAGGTGCGAACTGCGAAGACGGTCCGGACTTGGCTGCCTTTCTCGGCGATGCCTTCAACGCTTTCAAGTTCATCGCCGATTTTGATATCGCCATTTCCATTGTTTTGTGTTGAAGTCTCCAACCTTTGTCTTCGCCGCATGAGATTGCACCTGTTCAGCTGCACCAACATCGAACTTCTGGAACATTTCCGACAACAGCTAGCGAAGTCTAAAGTTGAAAGACTTTCCTAGTCCACCGTCGCCGCTAGAAAACCTGGAAGCTGGAAAGAGAAAAGTTTGCGGCCCAATCACGCTGGTTAAAGGAATTGACGTGCGCTGAAAAACTAGTGCATAATCCGCAACTAACGGAATTTCTTGGCGGTCTTTTGAGTTTGAGATTGGTCGGAAGAGATCGTGAAACTGTCAGGTACGGTACGGTATGTTTCGATGTTGATGTCTGCAAATGATGATGACCCCTTTTGAAAATCCGAACAACGTTTGATATCAAAGGTATTGATGTACGTCGTTATCGAAGAAAAAAGCGGATGTAAACAGAGGGAAAAGATAGGACGAGACAATCATCGGTCCGAGCTCACCGTTTGGAATTCGGGACGGTGAGGACGGAGCCAAGGTGTCGCGATTAAAGTGCTTATACATTTCCGTACAACTACATACGTTGGTGTAGGGTAGGCAAATAATTAAGACATTGCCCGGCCTGTTATATCGTCCCCATGGCATGTTTGCAGGTTGGCTTGTTTTTGAGTTTGCGATGAGGTAGGATAATCGCGATTTGATCTCAGATCTGTCGCGGTTATGTGCCTTTTTTCACCCGCGTGTCCGCATAGTATCCACGTCCGCGCTGCGTCTGATGTCCGACTAGCATCGCAGGTGAAGGAAGCATGTACATATGTGTAAGCAGGGTAAGGCACCTTTACAGCCTTTAACCTACCTTTGGTTGGCTGGGTGTCTGTGGAGGTCTAGAATGACGGCGACGTGCGTGATGTATGTGTTGGTAGCCGAAGCCGAACCAACATTTTACGCCGGGGAATTATCATGGGATGGGGAAATCATTGCCTTTCGTATCAGAAAATGGGGTCTTTTTCCCGGATGGTTTTCATCATCTATCTGCAAGGAGGACATACATGTCTACCTTACTGCACATGCACCTTACATACGGACGTAGGGCTATGTGCAGAGCCGACTGCAGCACTGCTCCGTATCCGATTCCGTGCACACGGGTTTTTGTTTTTGCATGACATGTGCCTACCTCTCTACTTGAACGTCAACTGTATTCCCGGAAGTCAAGTCTCTGCCCCCAAACTCAAAATCTTTTCCATCACACGCTGCCGTGAGACCAACAAGTACCAAACACCATATGACATCGCACTACCTCTAGCGGCACGGTGACACGACGCGTCCCGGTAGCAGTAGTTCACGTAGCAGAGGTCCAGACCGGGCAGGGCAGCATCTCTCGTTCTACGTCAAGAATGCGGGGGTGGAGACCGGGCGGGGGGATCATCATGACAGGGACACAACATGTCGAACTGGTCGATCATCAGATCGGGGATTTAATTTGTTGACGAGTAGCGACAGATATATTGAGGCAAGTGAAGCTGTTGGCAGCTTTGCCCTTTCCGCCCTTCCCATCGATACGAGCGGCGGGGAGATTTTGGCGTTACCGTCTTATGTATGTAGCCGTTGTCAGGCTGACTTGAGTTTTGGGTTTGGGTTGTTGACCATGTTTTTCGTGATATTTACCCCTTGAACTTGCTTCAATGGTGGTTGGGTGCCTGACGAGATGAATTTGACATGTCAATGTTTACCCCATTTGTTCAGCGAAAAGTATGGGGAAGTGAAACATAGCGTTATCCGATGGTGATCAGTTCCTTCCGTTCAATGCTATGGGAGATGATGTCTTACATCGCAGCTTCCTCTTCTTAGGCCCTGATCCGTGCAAGTTCTTTCCTCGTTTACTTTTTCTTCCCAGTCGCTTTCCCCCAAAGTCAGATGCACTGCAGTCTTTTAAACTTTCCGTTAACAAAGCTTTGCTTCATGCCCATATCACAACCGTCAAGACATGTATCTTACCTGCACTCTTGACAGACACTCTAGATACCTACATATCGTATTTTACCGGGTCCAGACACACATCCGCGCGCGCAAACCGTAACAGCCGCTTACACGCAGCCGCCATCCACAAAACGCGGGCGACCAACAGCCGCGCTTCTCTTCTTACCTCGCTTACCCCTTCCTTGTAATGCCTCCCCCGGGCCCCCCACGGTTTTGCACCCATGAAGACTCCTTCCCTACTTGCAATCACTGAAGAAATCTTATCCCATCCACATGACCCCGAAAGGATTTTATCCCCCCTCCTCAGAATTTAGAAGGCGGGACGGAGCCGAAGACGGGGAACGGAAGGTACGGGCGGAGTCACCCGTACGCGCGGAGTACTACGGAACGGAGAGCTCCTCCTACCTGCCCGCGGGTCATTTTCGACAGATTCCTTTTTTTTCGGGTCGGCCATCACTCAATGTTACAAACACCGAATACCGAGGATCAAAAGGTTTGTAATCGTAATGTGGATGACATGGGCGAAGATATGGGGAAATATGAGGGGGGTTTAAATAAAGGGACGCATGGTAATTTATCCCACGTGTTTTGGGTGGGACGATTTGCGGAGAGTCGGAGGGGGAGGGAGGGGAGGAGGGGTTATATAATTCGGATAGATGGGAGCCTCGTCATTTGAGTTTTTAGTTGATACTCGAGCTGCGCTGACCGAAGTTGGAAATGCGGTGCTTTTTTTCCTTGTCTTCTCTTGTCTTCAAATCTGTGTTGTTTCGTTTCAGCCCGGCAAGTGAAGCTGAAGGGTTCAAGTCATTCCGCAAAACCTTCAGTTCAGCCTCGGATCATGTCCTTGTGTGGAAAAGAAACGAAAGACGGGCCAAAAACCAAGGACGTATTTTCGTCCTCGACATGGCAGTTTTCGAACACGAAGACACACACCACCACGGTTACCAAACCAAATATCGAAAATCCAAAAGCTGAAGCAAAAGAAAGCGATTTTGATGTAAAAAGAGGTGTGGTTGCAAATCTTCCTCCCCAACAAGGGTGCTTTACTGGCCTCAACCGGCCCTGGTATTACTAGTCCCCGTACAAAAAGCGTGGAGCGTGGGGGAAGATGTCACACCTAAACACCACGTCCAATCCAGTAGATAGGGTAGTTGGCGTTTATGTCGTGCTGTGTGCATTTAAACGCCAGTTACGCCTTGAACCGACAGATGCACATACTCACGAGGTGCGCCAGCTGTTGCGAGTATTCGGTGGGCGTGTGTTGGCGAGTACGTGTGCCGTTAGTAACTGTACTTAGTTGCGCGGGGGTTTGAGGAAACTGCAGTGGGAAGATGAGAGAAGTGCTGTTACGTCTTCTGTCTACGACTTAGTTGGACTTTGTCTAATGATGAGTAAAAAGGAGCCCTTCAAACTGCTTTCCAGCATGGATTTTTAGAGTCTGGGGAACAAAGGGCAACAGAAACGGGATGGCGTCCGGCACGCGATCACGAGACTCGCATGGAATGCCGTTTGACTTCTTTGTGACCATTCTCTGAGACGGAGATCCCCGTGCAATTCGACCGACCGAGAGATCGAGGGCATGTTCATCCAAAGGTGTTCCAGACACATACAGTCCACTATACCATTGTGTCGAAGTCAAGATTGGAAGCCATGGATAGTCCAGACAGAAAATGCCCATATGATCAAAACCACACAGTCTTGTCTTGTGTAAGTGGCAATATAAAAACACAGCTTGTTCCCTGTCTCTCAGTTGTCAGTTTTGATGAACGAAACGGACTCGAGGGTGCACAGCAGCTGCCTGGATTTCGTCCCTTGATCCAGTTCAGTTTTCAGCTGCTTGGGCTTGGGCTTGGGCTGTCATTCCGTCTCACTACGTCTAGAAAAAAAGAGCGAGAAATACCGGATCAACAGCGACTTTTCCGACCAACCAAAACACAGCTTCTCTTCCCGGATAGCATGTGGGATGGTTGGTGGTTGTCCCTTTTTCTTAAGCAGCGCACTTGACCACCCTTTTTTTTTTTTTTTCAATGGCGCAAAAAGAAGAAACGAAAAGATAATTGGGGGAATTTGGGGGGTGTTGACCACCACCATCTCCTCAGCGACACAGTGTTGACTTCAACGTTTTCTGTTTGTCCGTCGCAAGTCCGTTTGGCATTTTACGATTACCGAGCCGTGTCGTGCACCGGACGGCCTCCCGCCGTTCACAACACCTGCGCACGGAGTGAACAGCGCCGGCCGTCTAGTATCCACTTCCCCGGACCTGGAGTGCAATCATCAACCCCCGTCCACCCCGGGGAATTGGGAGGGACCCATTTTGAAAGTCAGGAACGCCAGGAACATCAGGAAGCGTCTAGGTTCACGACAGAGTCGTTCGCGAAGGTAGAGGTAGCAAACATGGGGTGACTTTTCGCCCTCTTTTCACCACTTCATCACACGAAGGCTGTTGTCATCTGTCTTCGCTTCCAGACTGCCGGGTATGCTTTTCTCTAGGCATGGCCTGATTGGGCGGCCTCTTCGTTTTTTGATGACAAGGCTGGAGGTTTTATGAGATGCAATAGGTCGCTTTGCACAAGTTGCTTTTGATCGAATGCCCTTCGTGTACATAGCCTCTCGTTTCATGAGGCACGTAGGGCAACGCAGGGCACGCTTGAATCTTGATCGCCGTTACCGTCTCTCTGGAAGCGAGAGGAGGCAGGGCAGGGCAGGGCAGTACACGTGTACTATGTAAGGCAGGTCATTTTGCGAATGATGCTGGCCCTCAGGGGCAGCGAATCTCCACAGACGTAATCGGCTGGCTTGAGATTGCAGCATTTCGAATCCGGACATGACCGTTTGGAATACCGGGGCCGTACGAAAGACATGGTGGTGAGGAAGGAAGGCCGACCCTCAGCCGTCACCAGTAGCAAATATCCCTATCCCTGGACCGTTATGATGAGACTGGGTGCTCACGTGCCGAGCAACGAAATGCCTCGATCCCAGGCAACTCCATGGTTGCAGGGTTTTACGGGTATTCGAATATCCACCCGCAGGATTACGGAGATCCACAAAAACCCCGAGGCTAGAATGTGATGCCGGCTGCGAATGACCGAATGCCATGGCGTCGAGAGAACTGTTACATCACCCACTGTAACAGAACTTACAGAAGGCGTGGAGAAGGCATTGTTGACAATACATACCGGGGGATGAAACGGCGCATAAAGCTCGTCTGTCATATCGAAGTCAAGAAAAACAGTCGTAACAAAGTGGTTTTGGTTTTTAATAACGAAAAGATAAACAGCGAGAATGCTTCCGTCAGATTTGAGTTGTGAAGGAATTGGTTTGCAGTGATGGTAGGGCGCCGTCGTATCCTCCCGCAGCCGGAGATCCGAATTTCCCTTTTCTAGTGCGTCCGCGGAAGTTGAAGTTCTGCGCCTGGCGAGTGCGACTTCACTGCAAATCATCGACCAGGGACACTGCTAAAATGAATAATACAGCGTGGGGTGCATCGTCGATTCGGATGTGTCTTGTTGCACAGCGCAAAGGAAACAAGAGACAAACAGACTCTGCTGGGGTTGTTGGTCAACTCAAGACATGATGGGTGCAACCGACGTTCCCAGGCAAATCCAGGCTTCTCCCCTCGAGGCTGAGGTCATTGTCGAAACGTGGCTGGCCCAGAAGCGTACGGCATCCTTTTGGTCTTTGGCAGGACGGCATCGTGATGGTGGCTCGATGGCCAACTGTTGTCCAGTGAGAAGAGGTTGATATGGCAACTGACCAACTCCCCGCATATGAGATATTACTGGAACTGGCAGTACAAATCAGACGGGAGGTTTCTCATGCCATTGACTTGCTACGAATGTGCTCAGCGGACGGATGGTCCCCAACAAGCCGTACCAACAGAAGAGGGCTGTCGTCCGCATGCGCCTTTGCGTCCTCTTCCATTCGAAAGACACATCGTGAGGCCGAATGTTTTGTTTAACTACGGACGGGTAGGCGAGGTGTGTGGGTTGTTGTTGGCCGCGGCAAAACGGAGCCGCCTGCTCCCTGTGATGAGGATGAAATCACGAGGTCAGCTCAGGGAGGGGCAAACTGCCCTGCCCTTGCTGCCCTTGCTTCCAACCAGACGCCGTCACAATCACAGCCGTGTCAGCACTCCGGATGGCTTCCCGCTGTCGATTCGATCACAGGCCGTGGTGCCCGTTGTTCCATTTCCATTGTTGGCCGGCGGGGTGACCCTATTTCAGGCTTTGAGAGGTGATTGCCGACCATTCTAGTCGACGGCAGTGCCGGATGGTCCCAATCTTGTCAATCTCTGGCAGTCTCGTGTGCTTCTCTGTTGGTTGTTCCATGTCGCCGACTCGCCCTGGGTGGCCGGAAGCAGCCATGGAACAGTCGAACCCTTCATTTGGGGCCGGCAATTGACGATGAGGACTCGTGATCAAGAGGGCCTCACTGCCGTGGGTTGTTGAATTGGCACTGAGTGCAGGCATCGCAGGTAGATTGCAATGCGGGCCAACGATCTGTAACATTGGGCGACAGGTGTCAGGCACCCGCTGCCAGTCATTGCATCAGGAACAGACAGGGACAGAAAGCAGGTTTGACACTTGGCAGATCCCTGGTCTCGAGCACTGACCACTCACAGCTCCCAGGAACGGTTCAGCATGCTGAGGTTCAAGAGAGTCAGCGTGGCGATTTGCGGGGAAGAAGGCCTGGCCTTTTCCAGCTTCAAGGCCACCTGAGCACCTGACTTTGACTCGACGGCGGCAAGGCTTTCAGGCTGTGCCGCAGTTTGAAAGGGTCCGTTTTGTTGCACCTGACCTGACGTCCAATGTACTGGAAATCAGTAGATGGGCCGAGATGGGAGAAATGATTGACCGTTTTCGAACACAATGTGGTAGACAACCACCAACGGACATCCATCGTGATTGATATTAATACATACCTAGGTATGGTGAGAATGAAACCCGGATTTCCGGGAGATCTCCCCGAGTAGCCCAACTCATCATGAGGGATGGCAACCCATTTGGGAGAATAGTTCCCATTCCAGCATCGTGGTTGTCGCTCAAAGTAACCCATCATTCCAGTTGAGGCACTCTGCTAGACACCGTCGACATGTCTCTGGCATTTGTGTCCCGTCCGGCGTCCCTGGGGCCTGAGCAGCCGACCGTTTGCGACACACAGGCACGCATGATTCAAACCGTGGGCTGGGGCCGAAAATGCTCCCGAACCCCACAGGCGCGTTAATATCCCAATTGGTCTAGACTTAGATTCCGGACTAAGCCTCATGCGGTATGTATCTCAACGGATGCTACCCTTCCAGGAAATCGAGGCAGTTCAGCCCCAAGACATGCTGTTGACGGCCCTGAACCTTGGGTTCCAACGGGTGTCCAGTGTCCAGTCGTTGATTGTGCCCCAGATTTGACGCTTTGTCGGGACGAGCGCAGACGGTTGCCGTTCCGGGGACGCGATTGATGTTGATGCAATTCGAGCGAATTCCAGACCGCGGAACGTCCATCACCAGACTGGACTTGTACAGTTTGGGCATGTTATTTCCACTATGACGCCCTGAGACGGTCGTGTCAGACTATGTTGATCTCGAGTCCGTGATGCTGTTTTTGAAGGGATGGTCGCGACGATGCACCTCATCACAAGGCACAACTTCCAACTGCCCTGCCTGACATGTGGAGTTTTGGCTGTGATTTTCGTCCGTTCTGTAATGCTGCGAGTTTGACTTTTGACTGAACTGACTGGAACTGAAAGCGTGAAGTCGTGGGTGGGCACGGGGGCAGCAGAAAACGGATGACAGTGCAAGGGTTGAGCCTGACTGACCGGTACTTTACGATTACAAAAGTGATGCACCGATCAGTTACCCGTTTCGGTTGGCTTACTTTCACGGGGGAGTACCGCGTACCGCTCCGTACCCGCGTACCGTAACCCCCGCCGCTACCACCCACCACCACCCTCCAATTCGGCCCTCCATTACGACCTGGAGCCACCAAGGGGTCGCCGGTACGTATTGTTTGTACCTGTACTGTAACCGACAACACACTTGAGCAGGGGCCGAGTGTGGACGGTACGGTATTGAACCAATTGGCCTCGTTCATCGCGTCTTGTGAGCGGCCACTCTGGTACTGGCCAGTGGTCCAAGGGCCCCGTTCGGTCCCATCCCGCGCTCCAGTGCCAGCACAAGAAGCAAAGTGGATGACTGACAGTACGTACCGAAATACAAGCAGGAGAAGACCAGGACAGGGCAGTGGAAACAGCGAGCAGTCACGGTCGGCCTGGGCCTCCGCTTCGATTGACTTTGACGTCCACCCCTTCCTTGCCAACCACTGCAGTACAATTAGACATCAATATCCTGTCCCCCACCACGGTCCGAATTCGTTCGATCTTCTCGTCTTTGGCACCAACTCCCGTTCCAACACCAACACATAACAACAAGTTACCACCCACATCACGCATTGGTCTCCGACACACCGACTCCGACAGCATCTCAGTAATTACTAATTGCTGCGACTCTCACCACAAACCCGCCACTGCGCTTGGTATCTGTGGAACTTGAAGGAAGCCGACGACGACGACATCAACGATCTCGACGACAACGCTTTCAACGATCACGCGAGACATCTGAGGGAATAAAGGGACGCAATAGAGGAGGACTCCGACTTGCATTGAAGCGACTCCTGCGCCAACACCCGCACTACTGTACCTTCCATCGCCGACATAACAGACCCACCACAGCCGGCCACGAAGTCGAAAAAAGCGGGCACTCCCAAGCGAAGAGATTTACACTTGGGACATCTCCGGTCTCCGAACCCGTCGACAACAACGACAACAACAAGAAGCAATTCGATACTAGATCTCAATTGTCATCCGACACTTGCTGCGGAGCCATCTCAACTTGGGTCCACTTTCGGTGCAGAGCAGATCCTGATTCCACAACCACTCCAGGATCGCATCCGCTGAAAGCAACCGTGAATCCAATTTCACAACCAACTCGCCTCGACAGAGACAATAAACCAAAAGCCGCACCAAATCCCCAGTCACAGGCTCGACTTTCGCGGTCGTTTTCGCGAAGTTAGCCGTCACCATTCGCCTTACTTGCATTTGTGCGTCTGCTTGGACCCAACGAGCAGCCTTCCCCTCATCATGCCTCTGTCATTAGAGACGCCCGTCCTGCAGGTCGACGCCAATGTCATCCACAAGGTCGACACTACCAACCCCGCCAACCTGTTTAGCATGTGGACAGGTACGAGCCCAGTCTCCTGACTCCTGCCCTTTATCTACCCGCATGGCGCCACCCCCGCGCCCCAGTAGCAACTGCTAACCTTGGACTCTTCTCCCTCTCTCCAGTCTTTGCCCGCTGCCGTGACTCCGTTCACCAAGGCCGTCGCCTTGAAAACCTGAGTTGGCGCCTCTGGAACCGGGAGACATTCTGCTGTGAAAGCGAAGTCGCCGACATCGAGTCCTCCGCTACCAGCCAGCCTCAGGACATTCAAAGGTATCCGGGTGGCGGCGAGGACATGCCCCAACTGTCCGGTAGTGTTGATTCAGCTTTGGACGAGGAAGCCGTTGACTTTGGCAACGATACCGACGCCGAGCCTCTTGAGTACCTCCGCCCCCGGATACAACGGCAAGACTCGTGCGCCAGCACCCGCAGCCGTGGTCGTGAGCGTCACATCACCTCCGGTGATCTTGAGAAGATGGTCGTTTCCATCATTGAGGCCAAGACGCCTCTGAACGCTCCCCTCCCGAGCATCACTCTCGCCCCACCTCCCGTCGAGGAGACCAAGCCTGCGCCTGTCTTGCACCAGCTCGAGCGGTCGGGGTCGACTACGACAGAGTCTTCCTGCAACACCTCGGAGACCCCCTCCATGGAGTCGCTGCAGAACGCTGCATCTCCCCAACCCGCCCCTCAGCTACGACCCACCATCATCACCCGTGGCTTCTCTGTCTCTCCCTCTCAACTTCCCATCATTCAACATGCTTCTGCCCATGCTTCTCGTCAGCCCTCTCCGAGCGTGATTCCCGAGCCTACCGCCGCTCCTGCTGCCAAGCCTGTCCAGCCTAAGAAGCAACAGGCCCGCTTTGCATTGGGCGCGTCCAACTCTGGCGACGATTCCTACACTGACCGCGAGCAGAGCTTCGACCATAGGAAGCAGCAGATTCCTCTTCCGCCTAAGAAGAAGATGTTCCAGGTCGGCAGGGGATCATCTGAGGAGGAGGAATCCCCAAGGGACCTGAAGAGGACAGGTGCCCTTAGCAAGCAAGTCGTCATCCAGGACAGCTCGGCCATTAGCGACGACTCGGATAGCGACTATGTCGACGAGAGCGCCATTGATGACGATGATGATTCGTCGGACTGGGAGGATTCGGTTGAGGAGAGCGGAAAGTCGAGCGTGGATGACAAGTTCAACTTCCAGCGTGTCGACTCCAAGGTCAACCTTACTTCTCGGCGATCGCTCATCACCCTGATGCTGCACAACAACACCCGGGCTCAGAAGCTTGGCAACGTCGCCTCGCAGTCCACTTCGGCTATCCCGCGTGCCCGCACCCAGCTCAACGGACCGTCTGTGGTTCCTTCCCCGAACGACTCCGACGAAGCGCCGTTGATGATGAGAGGCAAGCGTGCTCCTCCTATGCGTCCCATCAACGAGATTCCTAGGTCCGTCGCCCAGCCCATCAACGCGGTTGCCACCGGTATCCACCACCAAGCTTGCCTGTCTCCTCGTACCACGCGGCGTAACATGCTTGCCACCGAGCTTACAGAGTCTCTTCGCCGCAACCTGCTCTGGGAGAGATCCCACAAGAACTCGACAGCCTCTGCGGTGCTCAAGCGTCGCCACACTTCTCAGGATGTTGCCAACCTTAAGCAGTATCCTGAGCGTCCCTGCATGAAGGACGACAACGACAAGGAGCGTTGGGACCAATACTTCAACAAAAACGCCTACAGCGGCTATCACGCACAGGGTTGGTAAACATTTGTTACCATCCTACATCACTTATGCACATATCTCAACACAACAAAAGATACCCTTGGGGCCCATTAACTGGGTAACCCAATTGGCAGACCGGTTCGGCTGCCGTGTACACTTGATTCCAGCATTGGGAGCGACACACATTAACGAACTTCACTGCATGACCCGGCCGGCGTTTGATTGTTTATGATTTTCTTTGAGCTCGCGCATTGTACGCATCATTTTGGCCTTAATATTCATGGTGGATCTGGGTCAAATGGTCTTTCACGGGTGGACAGCCTTCGGGATTACAGGCTGGCGTGAAACGGCCGATGTTTACAATGATGGCATCACTGCCCTGGGTTCATCAAGCGGAATTGGGGGTAAATGGGGACAGGCGGGCTACTTATTATCATGCATCGGTTGCGGGCTTCTGAAATCAAGTTTTCTTTTTCTCTTTTCACATCTGGCAACATTGAACGGCGTTTCTACTTTCTCTCTCATCACCATGATACCAAAGTCCTTGCATTTGCCGGGGTGTTTCTTCTTGTCTGTCCTTCGCGGTTCGATGCAAAATGCAGACCGCTTCTCACAAAACTTCTTACCTTTCACATGTTTCACACTAGTGACTTCTCTTTGTGACATGGCGTGGCATCGCAGGCCTTCTTCTCGCATGGATGGGGGGTGGAACAACAAAAACGAAACAGCTGCTGGCTGCGTGTACGATACTTTGTACGATACTTTTTTCTTCTGAAAAAGGCTGATCGGTCAGGGCGCTGCGCTACGCTACGGACAAATCCTTCCGCGTGGTTCGCGCTTCCGCCCAATCTTTTCTTGACAGCTGAGCAGGCTAGCGTCTAGCGGAATGCAGGTTGCGAGAAGGAAAACAAAAAGGAGAAAGCGAGCGAGCGAGCAAAACAAAACGCGAAAAACGCGAATTTTCATCACAGTTCAAGTGTCTACACAAAACGGATAGTGATATTTCATAATGGCGGCTGGTAATGGAAGGACAAAACAAACGGCGGCGGCCGCGGCGGCGACGGCGGATGCCATAATGAGCCTCAGGCCGAGTACACCGAAACTGCATACTTATCAAAACCTCATTGTGAGCCAAAAACGATTGCAGAAGGATTCACCAAATTTGCTATTACATCTCTTTACATGTGACTGCCGCTTGGATTGATTGAGGCTGTATTGGGAATGGGTGAGGTGTGGTGTCGAGGTGTTTGGAGCCTCAATAATTGCGGCGGTTACTCAACCGTAAACACAGGCCAGGGGCGGCGGAAAATTGTCGGCATCATTGGCATCATCATATCATGTACTTTTCATTACGTACTACTGCCTAATGATAATCGCTAATTCTTGGCTGCCGAATACATATCCATCTTCAACATGAGAATCCATTTCTTGCTCAATTCCCCATGTCGCTGGATATTTGTTCACATGCCATTTCTCCCTCCCGGTCTGTCCGTGTCCTCTCCCCTCTCTCCTCACCTTCATCTCGCTCCATCACTTCGCGATCGCGACGACAGACTTCCCAACAACAGAGAGTATCCAAACCGCCGAACCTCAGGTCCGCCCGCTCCCCCTTGTATCCCTGATTGTCCACAACAAACCTTCTCCCCCTAGGTCCGAAATCCCCCAAACCCAAAACAAAACCCCGTGGGGTAATTGAGACAAAAGGCCAAGCAGCGGCACTACCGAGACTACGTAAAGGGATGAAGATCACATCTGGGGAATATCTGGATTCTGGTCATGACCGTAAATCAATGGGGTAAACTTTTGGTAAAGAAACCTGGAACTTGGAGCCCCGAAAAGACCCGGAGAATATCGGATAGAAGATCGGGTTACGGCTCCAACGCTGTCTTTCGGATGAAAAATGCCATGTTTGGTGAGGGGAAGATCTCATCTTTTCCACTTCCCACTTTTCCCCGCATTTAGAGATCAAAGATGGTAAACCTTTTCAAGATTGAAGAATGTAAATCTTGGTGATCTCTACTGGTATCATTTACCATCACCGCTAGCTAGCGACTGCGAACGGGACGAGATTCACCTACCTTAGAGAGAGCCCTCACACGAAGGGAAGCTGATGGAGGGTCGCGAAAGACGTCATACCCAACCGCCGCACCCAAATCGCAAACACCACTCACCGTTCCAGAGGCTCTCTCAGCGAGAGGGCTACCTACCAGCCTAGACTTGTTGCATTCCAGAGGGAGGGCTCACCGCCTGGTAAGGTAACTTCCCGCGACACTCCGACGCAAACCCGCACACAACAACCCGTACAACCCGATCTCGGGATACCGTTTTCTGTTGGTGCCGCATGCCGCATTTTGGTCTGTTGGGTGATCGACGGCAAACTACCCTTTTCCAAGTAGACCAAGATGATAGTGCGAGGGTTAGTTGGACAATTTGACAGGGCAGAACAGAAGTTCCAGACATGACAATCGGCCCGCTGTTGGACTTTGTGGAAGAAAATTTACCAGCTCCGCGGAGGAGGGTAGCCTGTAAGATGGCTGCTGAAGATTACCGGGGCCGGTATTTTTCGTAATTTTGAGAGGATACAGGAAGATACCGGTGCCGGTCACCGGGGCGCGAAAACTTCCCGTCATGCTGCTGCTTCCTACAGGCACTTTTTACAGGTCCGAATTGCAGAAGGCCGGGGGCCAGGCGGACAAGTCGCTTCACCAACGAACGGCATCTTGCAATCCCCTGACTTCATGACCTGACCGATATCGATTTTCGAACGAATGCAAAAGTCAAGAGATCTAAAATGTCAAAGAGCCCAAGCCACCGCTTGACCGCCCGCATCACCACTTCAATCACCAGACTGAAAGGACGGACCGGTTATGATGTGATGCGCCTCGCTATCATCCCATTTCGCATCGCTCATGTGCCTACCCCAACTTCACATGCCACCAGAACCCCAAAATCTTCATCCGATGATTCAACTAGAGGGCAACGACATCTTTCGTTCTTTCCTTTGTTCTTGAGAAGCACGCGCAGACACAGGCACTTTTTCAAAGGCCCGAAAACCGCCGGATTCATCATGGTTGGCAGGGCTGGATGCCCCTCTTTCATTCACGTGTATGTGCAAAGCGCAGTCCATCCTCCCAAATATGATGATGACGACGGAGAAGATGCCCCATTTGAACGGTGTTTCCTCCGAACGAAATGGCCTTCGGGAACGGATGACTTCAGCATTCTAAGAACCTTCGATCGATCGCGCTGTTGGCGCGGAGGAGGGTAAAATGAATGGTCACATGGCATAAGTTCGGGTGTTGCCGACCCATAAACTTTCCAAGGTAATTACCGGGTGAATTTGATGAAGCCATCCACTCACCAAGCACAGGTCTGGTATCATTGAAATGGCAGGAGGAGAAGCATGGAGGCGACGATGCAGCTTCGAGGCAGATTGTGCCGTGCTTAACCCTAACCCCACAGTCGTCTCTGCGTCATGTAAGTGGATGTACCTTCGTACCTCCGTTTCTTCGACTTCAGGTCGAATTCAGGGACTCGAAGCTGCACTTTATTCACCCGGATATCATTTAAGTAAACTATTTCGCAGGCGAGCATCTCAGCTCACTGACTAAGGTATTCCACGAGTTGTTGTATAGGCAAGTTCGAGCTCACTGTGCCATCAGCAGGAACCCATCGGGCCCTCCCCCTTCCCCTTTGTCACCCATCAATCACCACTTCCTCCCACCTGACAACATCCCAAACACATCGCATCTTGCAATCCAACAGCCCCTCCACATGTGTACTTAACCTGATCAGTACCTAACCACTTACCAACCCCCACCTTTTACCAAAGAAATCAACCGCAACAACAAGGGCATACCTAGGTGGGTGGCGCCACCTCGGCGGCCTCGCAAGGCACAACTCGTCCGTTGCGGTCCCTTTCCCCTGGAACCTTCATGCTGGGATCTGGGGGAACATCAAAGGACGATACGTACTATGGGAGGTCTAGACCTTTCCCGTCTTTGTTTACTGCGGAAAACACTTTCGGAATTCGGTTCACGTGCCGACCTTCATCCCGACCAACCGGCCGTAACCTGGGGCCGGAGCGGGACCGTGACAGGGGAGAAAGGCGGTTGTCCGTATCTATGAAGAGGTCGTGATAGTACAGTGCTAAAAGAGTGGATGAGGGTGAGGTGTTCAATGAAAAGAACAATGTCTAGTATTTGTGATGAGGCTCGTGAGGTTGTATGACAGTGTGTACAAGTGGGAGGGAATATTTGCTTCAAAGAAAGCCGAAACTCCTTGCATGAAGGATTAGAGTAACAATAAAAGTTGAAAGTAAATGATCTCTGGTTTGATATCCTACCGTGACAATTATCCTGCGAATTCAGAAAAGTGTTTGATGCCTTTGTCTCGCCGCAAGCCAAATCACCAACAGCCGTTGTTAGTTCCCTCACCAGCGGGAGGGCAACCAACAAACCCGTTCCGCATCTTCACATTCCCTCCGTTTTCAGGGGTTTTTAGGCCGTCAACGAAGTGAAGTAGTGTAATCTCGATATCACACCCAGTTCAACTGCATGTAGCGTAATGACAAGTGGACGTGAGCTACATTATTTCCCCAGATCAACCCTAGAAAGAAGAGTCAAGACAAGCTTTTGTGGCAAGACTTTACTTACCCCTTCCGCTTTGGCACTCGTGGCACTCAGACGTCCGGTCAAAACGAACATGATACTTGGCGATTCAATTGTTGATCATATGCCATGTGTTAGTTGCGTTAGAGAACTTCCCGAGGTCTCTTCCGTTTGACGAGTCAGCCCACGAGTAACGAAAAGATCACCACTTCCATCTTTCCAGATCGCTGAAACGTGAAACGTGAAAGCCCACGCCGACGCCCACGTCCACGCACACAACCCACGTGGGGATCCGCTGGGAGAACAAGGAATCAGGAAGGAGGAGAGAAGCCTTCGTGTGTGATGGACGTGCAATTCCCGTTTTTTTTTCCTTTGAGGTACACAGGGAGTCAGGGATAGCGGCGACTTGCGATGCCAGTCCAGTGTTACGGACCCTATGAAGCACAAGCAAAGGTTTGGAAAGCCAAGACGAAACGGTCCTGCGTCCCGAACCGAGAGGTTCGATGTGGATCTTGTAACATGTGAAAACTGAAAAGTGTCCGGGAGCGTGTCTGCATGTGTGAGGTTTAGGTCTCGCACCTAGTCCGCCTATGAAATGCGGACTCGGAACACTTCGAAAAAAAATCAATAAAACATCAAAAAAATAAAATGGAAAGAGGTATCGAAAAGTACCGCCTTTCACGAGCCAGATGGCGATCCGATCCAAAGCTCAAAGTGGATGAAGCACAAGCCATGCCACATGGCTTTGTCCATCCGTCGTTGTCCGTGTCCATGTCCGTCCGCTGTCCCTGGCGTGTGCCTGGCTCGTCTCGTTGGCGATGGAGATGACTCGAGTTGAAACACACCGTTCCGTCAGTTAGCTGGTCCCGCCCGGAAAGGGGCATATCCATATCGCAGCTCTTCGTTGGCTTGTCATTGGAAAAAAGGGCCCGAATCCTTCAGACTGGATGGATCTAAAGCCGAACCCTTGCCTTGGCTTGTGACACGAGACTCCAGATGAGGTGGCCAGAATCTTTCTCTTCCTAAAACGGATGTCCCGAAATAAGGGGCACGACTGTGGGACCGTTGGTCGGACCTCTTTTAGGTTTTGTCTGGGATTTGGAATTCTTCTGGAAGGTTTCCAAACCCGGAACTTGAGGAAGCGTTTCGTCTTTGTAATCTCGGGATGAGCCGGGACGTTGGGACGTTGGCCGAGGCACCGCCGCAGTTGCACACCTCCGTCCGGGTTGGATACGTACCAGTACACACCTATCACCCGGAGTGCGGGGCGAACCACCGTCAGTGATGTTGAATGTACGGTTCAATGCCGACGTTGACCGAAGAGTGACTTCTGACACTTGACAGTTGACACTCACCACAGCCTTGTGGATGCCATGATGTGGCTTTCTTTGGTGTTTGATATCGCGTCGCTTTTACTAATGAATGCTGCCCAACGGTCGTTGTTCGAACATATAGCCGCAACTGACGACAAAAAGATGAAGCAGACGGTGTCATTCTTTCCCGTCTTGACCTACAGTACCTCTCGATGTGGGTTTGCGGTGTGCTGGCAGGCTGACTTTTTGATATTTGTTGGTCACGGTACCCAACCTTTTCGGAGCCTCAGCAACGTATCATGTATGGGAGTTGAAGAATTCGAACTACGTTCGTTGTTTCCATTTCCTCGGAGCGACAATCTGCCTCCCTACAAGCGGGCCAATGACGTCTTTGAGATTCAATTGTTGAGGAACGAAGAAGCCTTCGGCGACAGCTCCGATCGGAGGCTCTTGATTTCTGGTGGTTCGTTTCCTCTTGGCTGGTAACGCACTCGCATGGAGACGTGAAGACTGCGAACCGGACGACTGGTTGTCAGGAGATCTCCGCGATGCAGGCAGGACGCACGAGAATTTTTACAAGTTGCAGATTCCTTGGATGCTACCCTTGCTTTCTCGCTTGTCGCTGCTTGGGGCTTGCCTCTGTTGGGAGTGTCGAGTTCCATGTGGCTGGGTAAACTCGAATCTTGGCGCCGGCGACGACGGAGATATTTGTCGTGGGATGGGGGAGTGATGCAACGTGTATCATGATGATGAAGGTGATGGTGGTTGGGAAACAGTCCGAGTCTGCCTCATCCCACCGACTCCGCACGCCCCCGAAGCCGGCCGCCAGTGTTTGAAGTCGGCCATGAAAATTTTGCAACCGTCGCGATCCATTTTCGTGCATGAAATCAAAGGAGCTGAAGGAGGTGATGGAAAGGTGGTGATGGAAAGTCGGTGAACAAGCCGGGCCGGCATTACCTTACATTACCTAAACAGTTGCGCCTAACAGCCCCTCTTTCCATGCGGGGCTCGTCGCTGTGGTGTCGCTGTCGCGCATGTCGCATAGCGCAGGCTAGCATTAGCTTAGCAGAAGCTTAGCAGTAGCCACGGGGGGCTAATGCACTGCGGGCACCTACGATCCAACCGGACGACACCGAACCTCACGTCTGATGAGTTGTTAACGGTCAATTCAAGGCACGGCCGAGATAGCGCCCGGTTGGACATTTGCCACGAGTTAAACATTCAATATTTCGTACGATTAAATCATTTTTTAATTCTTTTCTTTTTTCTCTTCACATTTTTCAACATCAAGGCACCACCCCCGTCAGCCCTCCGTTCACCACCAGGCGATGGCGCCGTCACATCACACCGCGGCTACGATACATATCTCCGGAGCCGCTTGTCTGTGATTCTCGCCCTGGAACCTGGCCATTCCAATTCGTTATCCCCGACCTTGGACGTCACGAAGGTCACGAATATGATGTGACGAGAAACGGCAAGATCGAATTCACAATCACCATCAACGGGCCGACATCGAATCCTCCGGCCGGATGGATGTGATCTTCAGGTCCGGCTTATCAGATTTGACCTCAAGTAGGGCTGAGACACCCTATGTTTCTCGACGACTATCAACATCAAACCACGGATCAATGCGGTCGTTGGGGCTTGACAGTGATGATGCTGTTTTCCAGTTATCCATTGGTTGCCTTGATATCGCCGACTCGCTTCTGGCCAACCCAAGTTCATGTTGTGCACTTGTGGCTGATAGGATCTCTCAAGACACCCTTCCCATTTCTCTACACTACGCCTTGACAGTTCAATATTGTCCAAATATCTATACCACACCAAACTCACCGACTCTTCTTGTTGGCATCAACATTCATGCGCCGGATGCACTTTCACCGCACAGTTGGTCGAGGTAGCCAACCGAAAGCAAAGTTGCCGTCTTGGTTTGCGCACCAAATGTCCTCAGCTCGGGTTGACATCCGCCCTTAATGTCACGATACTCGTCAAGTCTTCAAAACCGACCGTCTGACTAGCGGGCGGGCCACTAATCAGGGACATCAAATCGTACATGCCCAGCAATTCGTACCGAGCGGGGTACTTCTCCCACCCGCATTTTAACTAGCAAATAAAAATCGCTCATCCGGAACTAATAATTTTTTTTAATAATATATCCATATTTTCTAATTGCATGCAATATCGCTAACACGACTAATATATGTATCAATATGTAAAATTATCATTATTTTACATATGCATAAATCTAATAACATAGATTATTTACATAACTCTTATTACTATAACAGTTTAACCTCCTTACAATCAAAATTCCTATAACCCTCCTCTTCCTCCTCGTCGTTATTATTATTACTAGGAATAACTTTATTAACGTTATCCTCGTCTTCGTCTTTATACTCTTTATACTCCTCGTCTTCTTAATTCATCTATACCTATCGTCTATTATTAGGATATTACTAATCCGAGTCTTTTTATGCATCTACTAACTCATTATCTTTAACGATTTTAACTTCCTCTAATTCCTCTTTTGTTACTAATATATTACCCTTACTCGTTAGCTAAGTAGTAATAGCATCGTTTACTACCTTCTTTCTTACCTTATTAAATACCTATAGAGTACGTAGTTTGGGAGGATTACTAAGAAATTACTAATATAAGGGTAGAATAATATTTTATATAGTACGGATATGGTTAAACCTTAACTACTTAACCTCCTTATCTATAGCCTTTTACTTCTTAATTTAATAGCAATTCTAATAGTTAGCCCTCTCCTTACGATATTTATTAATTAGCTAATCGAAATTAGAAAAATATATAATATATAGTTTAATATATTCTTAAATCTCTTTCCTTAATATTTTGAAAATATATAACTGTAACCGTTCGTTAATTAATTATACTTTTTATACAATAATAAAACTACTAATCTATCCCTTTAATATACTTTACTGTTATTAAAGTTTATAATTATAAATATATTTGTTTTCTTTCTTAGTAAGAATAATACGCTGGTATTTATCTATTACAGCGCGTAAACGGCTATTACTAATAATAATAATATTACTATATCTTAATAAATAATTAATATTATACTAATTACGCAATACCTCTTCAATTACTTCTTCTTTACGTTTGCATTTAAATTCTACCTCCCTTACGATTACTAAATTAAGGGTATTACTAACCTTATCTCACTTAGCAAATATATATAAAACCATTAATAATATTAGGCAATCTCCTTTAATTATAAATAAAAGCCGTTAATTGATATAATTACTATATTTCTTAATAGAAGGGAAGTTAAGTATTAATATAATTATACTATTCTAATCTTTCTAAGAGCGGTCTTACTACTTTAATATAAAAGGCTCTAATATAGTAGGGAATTCCTTTACTATAGTAACTTTAATTACAATAAGGAGGCTACTTAATATAGCGGTATCATTAGAAGGCTCCCCTAATATACGAAATACTATTTTTTCTTTTTTTAGAGTAAAATTAATAATCCCCTACTTAGCAAAACAAATAATATAGCCTCGCCTCTATTTAATATACTCCTCATTTATTATTAAGGTTAATAGATTACGAAGGTTTAATAATATTAAATTAGGATTGAATAGAATTAAACTAATACGTTTCTAAATAGAATAGATGTTCTTTTTTTTTATTACTTTCTTACGGACGTATTTGAAGCTATCTAGAAAGTCTAATTTAATATAATCAACATTATTAAAGGCGTGCCTTTTACGTATATTAACTTAATAAAAGTATTTATAGATCTGAAATATCCTAACGTTAAGAGGTTAAAGGAAGTATATTAAATAAAGGGGTAAAAGAAAGAGGGTAATATTATTCCTCCTATATTACTCGTAAAATTCGATAGTGCAATAACTACTATAATTATTTAGTACTAAAACTCTCTTCTCTTCTTTATTAAGGAGACGAGAATGCTCCTCCTGGTATTTGAACTAATCTAATATATATTAATTATCTTTATAACTTTGTAGAAAAGTAGTAATAATTATCCCGTCTTTAAAGAAGTTATTAATATACTTGTATATAATATTAACGCTAGGAAGTAAAACGAAGGGAGGTATAGTCCAATTAAATATAAAAATAGCTTTAAAGATAGTAATAACAATTTTCTAATTAGGGTTAATAAATTGCACTTCGGTTATTTTAATATAAATCTATATATAATAAGCCTTATTTAAAATACTAACATTAAAACTAAATTCATTACTATTCTAGACGTTATCTAATTTAATTTTATATTTAGTAATTGTTTGCTGCGGTGCCCTGACTGGCCTATAATGATAGCACCAGTACAAGGTTGCTACAGTGAACTATGCACTTGTAGCAGAGCGGAGCGGAAGCGGTAGGAAGTACGACAGCAATGCTGAAGGAAGCAGCGTAGTTGCAAGTACAATAAAAGGATGTTGTAAAAGAGGTCTTAGAGAGGACTCTGCTCTCAAGACAGAAGATTACAGTGGACTCTGCACTGTGAGAAAAGACTATATTGTATTGCTTGACTTGTGCTTGCTTGCTTGCTTAAGGAGTGACGAACTGAAGGAGAGGAGAGGTCTCTATATACATGGACACTAAGCATCTAGAAGCTTCTGTTGAATCCTGTGATGACAAATCAGTCTGGAAGAAATGCTAGCTAAGTTATAAGACTCTAGAATACAGTGGCAAAACCTCTTGTATTCTAGTACATTCTGTGGGGACTGAGTCAACTGATTCCGTAGAAGGAATAGTTCAACTAGCCTTCTATACTACAAGGTAGTACAAGGCAGTTACAAGGCACAGTACTAGCCACACGTTAACAGTAATGTTATTATTAAATAAATAAAAGACTTTCTCAATATTTACCCTAATTTAGGATATTTTGCGTACCTATACTATCGATTTAGTTCGAACGTTATAAAAACCCCCCCTTTATAAGTAATATTATACCTATTTAATTGAACCTTGAGGTATAAAGGTATTATTATTACTATTATTCTAATTAAATCTTATTAAAGTAATCATAATTAATACTAACCGCTAGGGATTTATTTCGATACCTGTAAGGTATAGTTAATCAAAGTACGTAAAAGTAATAAAGTAAGAAATAGAGAGAAATAATATTAACCGACGGATATTTATATATTAATCTAAATATATATAATATAATCCTCCTCTCCAATTAATAGTAAGTTATAACCCCTATTCCTTACCTTCGAACTTACACTTTTATAGTAATTAACAACTCATTTATATAGAGTTCGAAATACTTTCGTTGCATTTACTATAATCTTAAACCCTTTATTCTAAAATACTTTTACAACCACTTAAATTCTCCCTTCCAATAGGAGAGATATTTATACGTTATCTATAATATCTTCTATATTAGAAAATATTTCGCTAAGCTTCATTTTAAGGCGTAAGGAACCATTGGCAAATTTACGGTTTAGAAGAGGTATAGTAAAGGAGATAGCAAAATAAGGCACTCAAAGGTATTTATGATCGATTAAGATTGATTATATATAAAGATAGGTATAATAATCGATAATATTAATGCAATAGCGGTTCAAGTAATTCGAGTACAAAAGGGGGATTCAAAGTACAAACCGGTAGTATATATTTAGAGTATTGGGTAGTGCGGGGAATTGGGCTATATGCAACTAAAAAATATACTATTGAATAGATTTATATTAATTTGCTAGCAAAATGGCAATATAGGGAGGTACCCCCAATTTTAGGTACGAATTGCTAGGTATATACGATTTAATATCCCTAATTAGTAGCCCGCCCGCTAATCAAACGGTCGGTTTTGAAGACCTAACGAGTACCCCTCTATTACCAAGACGTCCAAACACTTGGGACCAACCACAGCCTCAGTATTGCCTTTCTCACAACTTGCGCCATTCGCTAAAGTCACAGCTACCCCTCAATCACCCCTCTCAAAATCTCAAAATCTCAAAACCGCTGGCATCTAGATCTTTTGCCCTGCTTTAGCTTCCCGTGTTTTCATTTTTGTAAGCTGATACTAAGCCGCTCTCGGGTACGTGTCGCGGGGTGATTGAGAATGACTGGAGCTGGAGACAAGAGATGCGAGTGCGTTTCTGAGAAACGGTTCGCCTGAAGCTAATACAAAGATCAAACGGTTGGAAAAGGTCGAGAATAATCACCGTTATTCCCTTGTGTTTTCTGTTTCTCTTTGTTGTTCCAAATTCCGGTATTTTACCACAGCTCTTAGCAGTCTGCCTCGCCATCAGAGAAGGATAAATCTTTACGCGCAACCGTCTAACAGAGGTAAACGGGTCGATGAACCGAATCTATATGCATCTCTTTTACACTTCCCCTCCCATCATCCTGTCGTAAGACTACTGCAAATAATGAGAAAACACAAGAACGTTGTATTTCGCCCTGCTGGCTCCACTACCGGCACCCGTGGCTTTTTCCTCATGCTTGGTGGCTTGCATACACGACGCCTCCAGTCCAGTCCGGTGTACGGGTAGAGTGGTTGTGGTGGTGGTTAGGTGTCCTCCGTTTTTCACGACGCACCTACCTATGTATCGTTCGTCTGGGTAGGTACATGGTGAAAAACTCACGTCCATGATGATGAACACATTGAACCGTGCCGCTTACGAGAAACCTACCAAAGTCAGAACCGGGTGACACTCCCGCTCAGAGTCGAGATATCTATGTAACCATTATAGGATCTTTAAACAACATCTTGGCAACGTTTGCTGAATGACATTCGCTTAAAAACTTGGTCAACGTTCGCTTATGTACAACATCTTTTCCTGTGGAGCTTTCAAGATTCAGCCCGGAGATGCATGCGCGAGAGATACTACATACGTGGGGGATGCGATGAGTAGGTACATCACGGTCACGGTAACGGCCACGCCGCGCTTCCCTTCGGTCATCGCCGGATCGTTAGTGTCCGATGGTGGTTTGCAAAGTACGTCTATGTTTGGGTCCCCATAGGCTGGGGGGTCCGGTCCGGTCCGGTCCGATTGCCGGCCTCCAAGGCCCGTCGGTGATCGCCAGACCTGGTCGGTGGAGGTCGGTAATGGAGCTGGGGTTCCACGGGGTTGGGAGCCGTGAGGGCCGGTAGACGCCGGTGGAGGGGCCGGTGGAGGGGCGTGCCGGGGATGGGGTGTCTTCTCTATGTGTCCCGATACGTATTTCGATAGTACGTTGCTTGTAAGAGCCATGTAAAAGACGTTACGGTGGGAGGTAAATTGATAGATACATAGGTAAGGTACCGGCCTTGTATATTTATAATGATTCTATCAGCTTGTTCAAGGGGGTGGCAGTCGGGATCGTATACCCTAACCCTAGCTTGATAAGGTACTTCTCTCCAACATAATTGCCTTCTAACAGTTCCTTTCAGGCCCCCCCCCCCCCAACCCCCTTTTTAATATTCTGGTTTCCCCTTCATCAAACATATTTCTCATTGTAACTTCTGGGTGTATCCGGACACGGAATAACATAATTTTCAACGTGTTCTAGCCTTATGTACTAACACAATTACCGAGTGTCTGCCACTGTATGGAGATCTGAACCTTTTTCCATAAGCAACGAACGCTCAAAGGATGCGCATATCTTGACCTCCCATAGGATTAGTCTAAAGCATCATAAGTGATTGCTTCGTTCGCCTATCTTAATCCAGCAAGCAAAGCACCTCGCTCAAAGGGTTGACAGGTTTGCTACATCATCATCCTCTACCAGAGGCCACCCTATCACTCATCTAATCTAGTAGCTGGTAGAAGCTAAAAGAAGATATAGAAGAGATATTATATTACATTAATTTTAACCTTCTCCTCCGGAATTGAAGCACTCACTCCCTCCCAGCACAACAGATAGATACGGATGTCTACGGCCTGCTATGGCGAGAAAGCACCCGAGTTATCAAGGCTAGATCTTGCTGGCAACCATCTTCGTAATATTCACCGGGAGGAGAGCTGCGAAATTCTAACAAGACAAATATTCCCAACGCATGGCAACCTAGGCTGACATAGCTTGAGTCCTTCTCTGAACGTGAGAGCCGATAGAAGAACCCAGGACCGAATGCACAACAAGGTGACAGACGAAAACAGATGGCGATGGGAAATCGATTAAACCTGCGCCATCCTTCAATTAGGGAGCTGAGCAGAAAGAGCCCCGCCCCTGCGGCATCCGTCTGTCGAAAACAACAACAACAAGGCAAGCAACAGCGCTGGTCGCGAAGTTGATGTGAGACATGCTCCTCTACCTAGGTAGCTATCTCCAGCAGATGGGGTCTTTTTTTTTCAATCGTATTGTCTCTGGCGGCATGGCATATCCAAACATGTATTTCAATGCACCGACGTTTCTTGACTGCGAAGGAAACGATCAGCGATGTACTGTGTATATGTGACCGATGCCTTTGATCCAGCTTGTTAGGTCGCCAGGCCAAGTCGCTTGTTTACGCCGCCCCCTTTTCAGCTTTTTCTGTTACTAAATCCGAGACAACGCAAGCATTGCTTGCCAGGTCTTGGATGCTCAACCGATCAGCCTCGGTTATTGTGCCTCGCTAACACAGCTTACACAGGGGAAGAAATCTAGATCCCAGATCCCATCCTCCGGATCACCTAATCATGGAGGGCTCGCGATGGGCACATCGACGTCAGAGGTTGGGAACTTGGCCCAGTTCTGTTGCTTGTCTTGTCTTGTCTTTGTCTGACAACTTTGGCGGCTCTTTTTGTCTTGGTCCTTGGTTCTTGAATGTGTCGTCCTTGGATGTTAACAAAACTGCGGGGTAAATCCACGATCCATCCCCAATCACCCAGTCACCCGAGACAATCCCACTTTTTTGTATCCAAGGCTAGGATCATGGGAGAAACGAGGAGGCTCAAAAGTGTTCGGTTATCATGGTTTTTTCTTGTTGGACTGGCTCGGTTATTCGGTAGTAGTTTACGGTACGGTACGGTAGGAAGTTAGGTTCGATGGAAGTGTCGAGGATGGTTGGGCTTGGACTCGGGACGGTCATGATGATGGAGGGGCAGCCAGCGGCCGGGCGGATGCCACGGGACTGCTTTGATGTCGTCAATTGTCTTGAGCGGATCGAGATGGCATCCGAAAAGGGTTCTGTCCGTTGATTTTGACCTCGGATGAGGCAGGATTTTCAGCGCGGGAAGATAGGTGTAAGCTTTTGCATTGGTTCGGTGTTTGATGTGGTTGTTGTCAGGCGGGACGGGAAGTGGGAGGAGCTGGAGGTTGAAGTGAGGAGCGCCGAAGCTACAGAAAACTGTTTCGCTGGCACGGTTCAGGTACGCTGTAGAGGGAATTACTTGTGTAGCCTGGCGCGCAGGAATTCCACTGAACAAATGACATCAATCTCGATCCCAAATTCAATCAGGGGACCCAATTCCGCGCATCGTCGCCGATCCCTACCGCTGACCTGGGGAAGGATGCACATGGGTAACAGCGGAGCCTCCAACTACTTGCATCTACTTTCCCCATTTTTAGTTGATTTTCTGATTTTATCTGATTTTATTTTCTTCCATTATATCCAACTGATGTCAGAGGCCAGGGGATCCACTGGGCGTGCACGTGCCCAGCTGGACTGGGATATGCAGGATTTTTACCCAGATATCAGAGCTTCAAGTCTGCAGAGCCAGTCTTACACACATACACACAATCAAACCACATTGAACCCATATCGATTATTATCAGTAATATCACAACTGACTGGTCAACGTTCCCAGCAGCGTTTCCTGTCCCCACAACTAACAACCATTCCAGGTACCATGGCGCTGGACAGGCCCACCTCAGATGACCGGGCCAGTGACGTACTGTGCCCAAACCACCAAAACGGATTCCAGGTTCGTCCCAGCGACGACACCGAAATGAGCATCGGCCTCTACCAGGTCCCTTGTTCGGCGTTCTCTGGCTCCCGATCCGGATATCGTCCAAATTAGATGCGGTGGTCACCTGGATGGAATCTTTCCAAAACGTCTGTGGAAGTGCTTTGGTGAGACATCACCAGGAACATGCCCTCGGACAGGCCGTTGACATATCGCCTACCGGTGCTAGCTCCCCAATGCCTTGGGGTATTCGGCCCGTCGTTTAAACTCTAGCATGTCTAGCATTGGAAACTATGATTTCAGCCGACACCGTTCTCTGGTCTTCCCCGGATTTCCATTGTCTGCACTGACCTCCGGTTCATCGCACGTCTTCTTCAGGAACAATACTATAACGAACGAGTTAAACCCACGGACAAAGTGTTCACGGGGTTAGTGAGCATTGATCGTCAATGCGATTCTCCCCACATCAAAGTTTCAATGTTACACAACCGTCCCCGACAGCCTGGCATTGCGGGCCGGAGCCGCGTTTCCTTTCCCAACGTTTCCAATGTTTCCAATGTCTTTATTTTCTGGATCTGGGGTTTCTTTTGCCTTGGCACAAACTGCTTCTGTTCTGTTCTATTGGTGATACGTCTGTGTGTCTCACCGAAGTCACAGCGTACCAACACCAACTCCGGGGAAGCAACGGAAACAACGATAGTCCTCGGTACTAATGCATGGGAATAGCTTCACCTTGTTTTTGCCTGTTACCTGTACCACTGCAGCGGAAAATCAGCTCCATAATTGACGCCATTAAGCGCGCAAGGCGTGTCTGCGCTCTGCGGAGACGATTGGAGTTGAGGTTACACCAAGGAATTCGACATCGTCAATCTTGCAAGGTGAGGCTATTCCAACAGGTACTGCGTATCATCGAGAAAGTCTCGATCTTACGCTCGACGTCAGATTCCCATCATTGATACGTACTGTATGTGAGGCTGCCAATCATGGTTCTTTGGACTGACGATCTCTCCCTTTTTGGTTGAAGTTTTATGGCACCTGGGCTCCTGGAAACCGGAATGGAAGGCATGCACGTGCTTGATGAGATTGGGAGATCACTGCCGTCTTGTGGAAAGAGAGCCATAATAGGCATAACTTGCAGGTTCGTATATGTATCATGTATCTGCTGGGAACGGTGACAAGTAGTCGCCGGGTTCTAGAGAGGGTAATTGGGGGTGTTGATCGAATTTGAAGCAATTGTTATTTTCCCTTGGAACCGCTGATACAGTTTTCTATAGGTGACAAGTGACAATAGAACTGCAAGTAGGTAGGCATCCCAACAGTGTCCGGTAAGAAACAAACCCCATGTCATCTCTCCGTTTCTCTTGTTCGCTTTCCCATTTCATCCTCTACGCCCCAAAAGGAATGAGAGCAATATCACAACCTCCGAACCTCCGTGTCCCTGGCCGTTCGGGCCCCGGCCGGGGCAGCCGGGGCGGGGGTCGGCGTCAAACAAACCCCCACATTTCAGCCAGCGGGCATGAGCGCCCCAAACGGCCCCGGAAGCCAGGGGTTTCAGTTCCCCGGCTCCCCCGGAAATCTTGGCTTTGATGACCTGTCAGGGCATCCTAGCCCGGTTTTGGTGGTCAACTGACATCTTGTCAGGGGATGTGATAAATTAGGTACCTCTACGGATATTTGGGGACAAACATTGCCACGATGGACAAACGGTTGAGAACTTGAGATTTCGACGTGGAAGAAGCTCAATGTATTTTTCGACAAAGTATTGTTGGATATGAATACTCGTCAGAGTTTCAAAATCGGGCGCGTTGGCAAACGCGCCAAAGGAACGAGTCAGTGTTGAACACCACGGCACGACAGGATGAACGAAAACCAGGGGCACTGGGGAAAAGCAAAAACACCTCCCACGACAGCACAGGCAGGCTTGCAGCCAGTATCTGTCAACAGTTCAGCCTAATTGTTATTAACTTATTTCTTTTCTTCTTCTTTTCCATTTTCATTTCCATTTTCTTTTTTCTTTTTTTTTGCCTCTAATTCTTTCCTGGTCCTTTCCTCCTCTCCTCCAATCACAAAATTCACATGCCCTTTTGGCATTACATTCCCCGTTTTCCTTTCCTATTTTCCTTCAATTTCCCATCAATTTCTTCCCTGTTTATGCCATTTCGCCATTTTCCCACATCCCATGACCACCCTCAAGCCACCATTTCTGCCCCCCACCACACCACCACACCACCATTTCAATACCAAACCATACAAACCATACACAACACCACCCCCCTACCCAACATCCCCCACCTATGATTATTTATCCCTCCACCACCCCGATCAGTTGTAAACCACCCGCGGGTCACCCATGGACTATCCGTGAGCCGCGGCTACTGTGAGGCTCGTCACCCGTCCGTCACCTCATCACCCCCACACTATGCCCGAAACATGACCCTTCAGGCCCTTAAAGCCTCGAAATATTGAACAACTCAGCAATCCTGAGACACTGTGAGATCACACCCTTTGGGGATTCAACTGGGCGCACTGGCGCAAACATCCCATCGGCAGGCATAGGCAGGGTAGGCATGCAGGCAGTGAGCATCACGAGGACGACTGAAAAGGGACTGGAAGGGGACACACCGGTCTGGATTTACGGCCGCGTCTAGGTGTTTGCTGTTGTGCTATTGCCGCGCCTATTTCAAGTTCAACCACGGCTACGCGGTTAATGCCAACGTGGAAATAAATGCGTGAAGCAATGCGGAAGTAAACAAAGGCCATTGGACTGAATGGTCGTACCTTGCGTGCTGTAAGGGCCATGCGGTCTAACTTGTGGCTTCGGTCATTGCGTACATCGCATCATGTAGAAGCATACTTCTCGCTACCAGACCATTGGGAGATTCGCATATCGGTGATGCCTTACATGGATCGGACTTGGATTTTATATCGGGAATTGTGCCTACAAGACGTAAACGTAGAGAAGGCTTCTTTGGTAGCGAATGTCAATACCTACAATTCGATCAGCTCGGAGAGCATGATTTTGGAGTTAAACAGTAAGGTATTTTGATAACGCGTCATGACCAACGCCGTAAACATGCTATGCCATGCTAGTGATATGAACGCAACAACACCAGAGAAACCCCATACCATCCCCTATATCCTTGCGCTGCCTTTATTTGTTGACTTTGTTACCATCCTTCTTATTCCTATACTTCCTCCTATCACCCCTCCTCATCAAAACCTTATCCCTCGTCCCCTTCCCGCCCTCCCAAAACCCGCCCGTCCGCTTCCTCACCACGCTCCTCCCGCAAAACGCACAGTTCTCCACCCGATAATTCTGCTCCCGCGAGCACCACCCGCAAATCATCCTGTTCGCCCACTCATCCACATGATCTTCCGCTTGCTGATGACACTTGTCGCACGGATACACCTTATTACAGCAGCTGAACCTGAACCACCGGTACGACCGCTTGTAGTGCGCGCAGGCGCCCTTGTCGGGGAGCGGCTCGCCGGCGTGGAGACCTAACTTTTGGTCTCTGCGCTTGGGGCCCTGGGTGGGGGGTAAGGAAGAAGAAGAGGAGGTGCTGTAGGTGAGGAATTTGACGTCGGGGATTTTGAAGGTGAAGCGCGCGTGGCATTCCCTGCACACGTTGGTGGTTGTTTCGCCCCTCACCGAGACGAAGCCCGGGGAAGGGTAGGGCGTGGAACACCGGCCGCAGGTGGGGATGAAGGAGGAGGGGAGCATGTCGGCTATGGTGCAACCGGAGAGATCGATGAAGCCGGCGCGCGTGGAGTTGGCGTGGACGAGCTCGGCGCGGAAGCGGACGGTGAAGGAGGTGGCGCATTTTTTGCATGAGGCAAGCTTTTCGACGTCGGATTTGAGCGAGGTCATGTCGTTGAGGGTTTTGCACCGGTTGCATTTGACGGAGAGCGAGAGCAGGGGTACTTGGAGGAGCTCGATGCCGTGTAGCTCGATGGAGGGGAAGGAGATGGCGGTGCCGCGCTCGGCGGTGGCGGTGGGGAGGGTGGTGCCGGGTGTTAGGGCGGAGGTGTTGCCTTCACCGTCGACAAACTCGTAGTCGTCGTCGGAGTCGGTTTCGGATTCTGATTCGGAAGAGCCACCGGCGTTGACGAGCGTCCATTCCAGAGGTCTGGGAATGACATGTACATGTCCCCTTTCTCCAACTACCGCCGAAGCTACATGTTCTGCCTCCTTGGCCTCTTCATCCGCCGCCTTCTTCCTCCCCTCCTCCTCTTCTAGAGCAGCAGCAGCTTTCATCTCCTGCAACTTCTGCTGCGCCGCCTGCTTCGCCAAAGCATGTAAATTGGTCGCCAAATAATTCAAATGGCTCGTCAGACTCATCTGCTTCTGCTCCACCGCCTTCTGCGTAAACAGCTCCTCCACCGCCTCGGCCTCGTTGGCATCGACATCATTCAACAACACCCTCAACGGCTGCAGCGGGTACAGCAGCGGAATGACCAGCTGCACCGAATGCACACTCTGCAGACCCGGCGGCAAACTGCTCCTCCTCTTCGGATCCAGCGGCAACGTGTAAATCACCCCGTCGCTCGACTTGTGATAAAGCGGCAATCTGCTCATCCTGGCCTCCAGCTGGCGCACCTCCTGCGCTCTCCTGGCCTTGGCTTCGGCGATCTGATCTCTCGTGAAGACCTCCAGCGGGATATAGGGCCTCGGCTTCGGTTGCTCTACCGGCGGCTTTGGTACCTCCTTAATTACCTCCTTCCCAACCACCCCGCTCGGCTCACCCTCCAAGTGCCTTGAATCCTTAAACACAGTAATCTTAACCGTCTCCTTCTTCTCCTCCGCCAGAAACCCTTCCAGCCCACGATCTAACGCATTCATAACCGCCAACAACGTCGTTCCGCCCTTCAAGCCCTTCCCCTTCCTCTCCTCCACCAATCGATCCCACCCGCGCTCAATATTCACCGCAAACCCGCGCGGGATATCTTTATTCCTCACCAGCAGTCTCGCCGGCTGCTTGGGATACTCTTCGGGGATCCTCAGATCGCATTCCAGCTTCTCCAAATCGTACGGGAAATCCGGGTCCGAGGGTTTGAGGGAGAAGAGCAGGGAGGTCTCGCCTGTGCTGGAGTCGGTGGTCTCCTTGGGTGAGAAGCGCCGCTTGAGTTGGTCGATTTGGTACTCGCGCGGGGAGCGGAGCTGGCGCTCGGGGACGGGTTTGCTGGCGATGCGGGAAGGGGAGGGGGCTTGGACGGCTTGTTTGTCGCGGCGGGGTGGAGAGCCGCTGTCATCGGATTTGTTGCCGTCGGGTTTGGGACGGATGGGAATCATCTTCACTTCTGGGCAGGGATCCGAAGTTGAAGGTGTGTGTATGGTGAAGGCGAGAGAATGGTGAGGTTTGAGTGAGAGATTGTGATGCCGGCCCGTCTGCGCCTAGAAGATGGTGAAAGCACTGAAAAGTTGTGTGGCTGAGAAAGAAGGACTTGTGTCAATCGACAGTTTTATTACAATCGAGAAGGCGGGATGAGAATCAATGGCGGCCGGCGTTGGAAAGAGCTATGGGTGATTATGAATCATAATCAATCATGGACCAAATTGGATGAAGCTGAATGGAGATGCAATCGCCGCTGGAGACGCTCGGACCACTAGTGGCGAGAACTCTGTCCTTCCACGGCTTTCGCAGCGCGGAAGAGCTTTGGGGACATAAAAAACATGGAAGTTTCGAATGGAAATTGAATGTGAGTCCCTATCAGGTCTCGCGACGACTCAATACATTTTCCAGGAGTAGTAGAATGCTTTCTCTGTCAACAGTTGTGGTCAAGACTGATGACAGACTTCGACTTCCACGAAAGGTGGGGCAGCCTTGGCGCTTTTCACAAGCTCACCTTGAGCGCACAGACCACAGTTCACGGTGAACCCCTTTCTCTTCTCCTGCTAAGGTGAGGGCGATGTGTTCTGTTTGTTTACATCCAACGGGTAAGAACTGCTCAACGGACTCCCGGTATTGAAATCATTTGATCGCCCAGAGATTATATCTAAACTACCGTGAAACACCAAAACACCGTTCTATCAATTCCCGGTCGCCCACGTGGGCGGCCGCGTCACATCCATTTACCCGCTTTCCCATACAAGGCTTGCTTGCGCAGGCCGACTCGCGCCCATGGGTAAGTTGACGCCGAGAAACCCCTGTAGGCCTTGCTCGTTGAAGCTCGATACTCGCAACTTCTCGGTCCCGACATCTCCCTCTGCGCCAAGACAACAGCAGTGGTGTTGCAAAAGGCCCGAATGTACGATAACGCGTCGGGTTAATGGACCTAGGAATCCCGCAAAGAGGCCAGTAGCAAAGGATCATGGCTATCAAAGACGATTAGATTGTTCATATTCACGACATTCGTCCATCAGGTACAGCCGAGTATACTTACCCGCACGTCTTCAACGCGTGTTTGACCAACAGAAAGCACTTAGCACTTGCAAGGGCCGAATGAACTGGCAGACGATCCGAAATATGACAAGCTGCAATTTCATAAACACAACATGACGAATGACCTCCAGCTGATCTGAGTGCGCAATCATGTACAACGAACGTCTCAACCCAGAGTGAGCGATACTCACGAGTAAGAAGCACCGTGATGTGGGCACGATATCCCACCGAGCATATCGGTCAAGCTTCACCAAGCACAACCCGCACCGGGGCAAAAAGCTTGTTTACCCCGGGAATCACGCACTCGTATCTCAACATTATCACAATGTGAGAAGGGCGTCTTGGGGGATCGCACGGCATGCGCCACGCAGAAGACCTAGGCCTGGCGCTCGAATCGGATCTCCATGGCGTTTCCGTAAAGGCTTGAGATGTGTAAGTGACGGCATCTGCGTGGCGTATCCAACTTGCAGCGCGGATGTTGGTAAGATGACGGCGCAGTGTGTACCAATCGAACGCCACGAGGCTACTGGTCACAGGTACTGACTATGTCGCAACCCGAGTCTGCGGACTGCGGGCATGTTGGATGGAGAAAGTGGAAAAGGGAAAGAACGGTCGATCGAATGGGCCGTTCCCCTCGGCCGGCTTATTGGGGCCCAACCACGGGGGCCGGCGCATGTGGTCTGTCGGATGACTCGCCAGTTGTCCAGTTGTCCGCTATCGTCACTTTTGACGTTTCCGTAAGTGTGTCTCTGCATACTGGGAAGCCAAGGCAGACAACTTGGGGCGGGAACAAGTGTAGGCTGTCACTATCCTGCCTTGGACGTTGCCAGATCAGAGAGTCACGATGCGCTTAGCCCGGCGGTAATTGGGCGCGGGGAGGGAAATGCGGGGAGGGAAATGCGGCGCGGGTGAGCGGTGACGGGGTATGATTGACGGAGATTCATTCGACGTGGAGTGATTCTTGGATTTGCGCAATCGCATCGGCTCTTCAACGCCGTCGGTTCGGGAGAGCAGCTCGTAGGCCAGAGTGTAGGAGGTATCGGTCAGCCTCCGCCGTAATGGGCTGTTTGGAAGCACCTGCTGGATCTGGGGTTAAAGTCCGGGTCGCTTGATTCTGTGGTAGATGGCGCTATGCGGGAGGGGACGCGAAGGACTCACCGGTGATGGAAATTGATGAGTTGGCAATCATGACCTCGGCGGTTTCATGGCCAGATGACCACCATTTCAAGCATTTGAATCGGTTGCGTGCCAGGCTGGAAGGCAATGAGGGTTGTAGCAATGGGTGGGTATTGGTACTGGGCAGCCCCTCCTCTACACACCATCATCTCTGTCGTGAAGGTGGGATGGTCGCGCTAGATAAGCTGCCCTGGCTGCCAAAGGAGGGACGGGACGGTGGGATAAACGGGACGGCGAAGCGAGGCCATGTGATTGCGAGATTATCCAGGATTGGATGATATTTGGTACGAAGGTGACATTTTCTTGTCGTGTTGACACGGCAAGTTTGAGAAAGAAAGAAAAGGAGGAAATGGGTTTTGGTTTTCTCGCGGAATATCGAAATATGGCCGTCCAATGGCAATTAAACGGCCAAAGGCGCATCTGCCTGGTCGAGGAAGGAACGTTCTCAGATGAGGTGTCGAGGAGGAGGAAGGAGGAAGGAGGAAGGAGGAAGGAGGAAGGAGGAAGGAGGAAGGAGGAAGGAGGAAGGAGGAAGGAGGAAGGAGGAAGGAGGAAGGAGGAAGGAGGAAGGAGGAAGGAGGAAGGAGGAAGGAGGAAGGAGGAAGACGCACGCCCCTCCAATTCACCGCAGACTTCTTTCCGCGCTTGAAGGCATTCCACTTGTACTCTTTCTCTCTGTCACAATTTCCATTAGGCTGCGTTTGTTCTCGTACGGTTTTCGTACAGCGCTTAGAATAACTCAACTTACTCAACCAACTCGACTTAACTCAACCCAACTAAACTCAATTCGAGACCCCCAAGGCGAGTTACAACTCAACTTGGGACAGCCAGTGAATTGGCCACCTTTTTGAGTATGAAAAAGGTCGTATGAGGCTCTTTGTACGAAAATCGTACCAGAACAAACGCAGTCTTACAGTCGACCGCAAACGACAGATCATGAAGGACAACATCGCTTCCTTAACACGTTTCACTCAACCGCGTTTCAGGCAGCACATCATAAATCCGCAATCGACAAGTCGAGTTTCATTCGGCATCGACGAATTGCTCACATCAAGATCCAACCTGGGGCTGCACGGCGCTGCATTGCATTGCAGATGATTTTCTTCGGCCTGGCAGTGCGTCAGGAACTCACAAACTGATGCTACACCAAGTGGTCGCCTCGCGAGATCGAGAGGTTCATAATAAATGCCCGACCGTTTTCATCTCTCCTCAAATGGCACCGTTATGGTTACTTGCGAGGTACGATGGTTTTCGAGAAAAAGAATAATAAATATTCAATCCAGTCTTTCCTCGTTTAATTCCACCTTCTCGTACCACCCCTCGACCCATCACTTCCCCTGACCATAAATCTCGTGGACATCCCCCATTTTACCAGCCGCCCGTCATCCACACCCTCTTCCACTCTCTCAACTCCACCCAACGGCGGAGAGATCAAAACAACTGAAATCCCCATCCACACCACTTCTGCATTTTCTGGGTCGGAACATGAAAGCTTCTTTCCAGAAGACCAAGGCGGCCTTCTAAACAGGTCTCATACGGACCCTATTTGTCTCACTCACCTCAAGATCCAGCCTCTCCCCGACGTCCACATCACCCAGTCTTGACTCAGATGCCATCCATTAGCACTTGGACCCCTTGTGTCTTATCTCACACGCGTCTGGCGCCTCAAAAGCTTCGCGGGAACAAGGAACGAGACTATCTGACGGATAGGAACTGTGACCTCATCGTACCATATCCTCGGGAGCGAAGTCCGGCACGTGAGGACAAAGTGATGCCATCGGCCTCGCTACTGGACCCAATGTCTGCTGTTCTAGACTCGAACGACGTCAACGTAGCCTCGTGAGAGGTTTCGCTAACGGAAGCGAGTGGCTTTGCTATGCGTTATTGTAGATCGCAAGAGGTCAAGCGGTCCCTCGCAGTCTCATACTTCCATCCCCTGCACCCGCCGCTTTCATTATATGCCTCTGTACTTCATCGCTCTCAGACGGATCAAGATCTATGCTATCTATCTGCCTTGAGGCTTTCTTCATCTCATCTCATACCACACCTCCTACATACCAGTTAAGGAACCTCGGAAGGACCAAGCTATTAGACTACACATTCCCTCCAATGAAGACTGCTCAACCTTCATAGCAATCGAGTCACTGCTCCTCGAACAGGGACGTGATGCCAAAGGCCCAAAGGTAGGGTGTAGAAGAAACGAGCATTGATTTGTGACCCTTCTCTTAGGAAGTGAAGGGCCCGACAGCTACTATCTTGATTCGGACAGCTAAGGTACCCATGACTGTGTTGCAGGCCCAGATCAATGATAACCCGAGCCACTCCAACACCACATGCCCGACGTCCCGTACCGAGAACTCCGGGGGTCTGCGGCGCCAATATCGGGCCTCCGTAGTGGCATGCTTCCTAGACCTGACTCAAGCTATTCCCATAACATTTCCTATCACCTTGCTCGCGTAAAGTACCTTGGGCAGATATAGGAGTAAATTGCATTTAATGGCAAGCAAGAAACTCAACTCGGATCCATTTAGAAGAGCTAAACACTCACGCAGCACTACAAGCACAACAGCCATTCAGGATCCCAAATCTCCGATCTTAGCACAACTATCTCTAGAGAAACAACGAAAGAATAACTTCAAACTTCATTGCGTTCTCGGGGTACGCTATCGGGTCTCTTCATTATGCGGGTTGAGAAGCAACATAAAACCATCCAAACCATAGCAAACTCCATCCATAACACAAAGTCCAAACGTGCAACTAACTTCATACCGACACTGCCTCCATCATGCGAGCTTGAAAATGATCTACAACGTGACTATCACCCCTTACCTACCTTACTTACCTCTACCTCTGTCTACACAAACATCATCGCCTTCCAACTGTTAGCACCAAATCTTACGTCCCAAGCATCAACTCCTTCACAGGGCTTCGAAACTGCGCGAGTCAGTAATACGCCACGCCAGACTCCCGAAGATACCTTTACCCAAGGAGACTGACCATCAACAAGATCCAAAACCCTGCTTCTGTCTGGTACAATCACTGTTTCTAATCAATGGAAAGGTTAACCACGCAACCCGCATTCACAATTGCACGGTCAAGTCTCAAATGTATAGAAACGCTGTCATCGTCTTGGAGAAAGCCTAATCTACTAATCTACCACATTACACTAATACCTTTCCTCTTGAATAGAGCATTAAACTGGTCCAGCTCTCTTTCCCTCAGGGCCACATCTCTGTTCAAGGTTTCTCTACCTAATGAGGCCATGAAAATGGAGGTTGAGGAGGACTTGGAGCAAGACAACTCTCGAGAGGCTGGCTTCTCCCATCCTTCTTCCACTCATGGTGGACTCTGGCTTGCGAGCCAGACCCGCCTTCATAACATCGTCTACTAGCGTTGTCAAACCGAATAACCTCCTCCCTCTCCCTCCTAACCTCCTCCTCCCACCTCCTCATCTCCTCCCTTTGTCTTTGTCTACCCATCTCCTCCTGCTCCCTCCACACCCCCTCCGCATACGCCCTCACCATCGCCGCCAACCTAGGGTGGTCAATATTTACCAAATCCCACAACTTCCACTCTGCGTCCACTTCCGCTTCTTCCCGGTGCACGTATTCTTCTTTCGTCCCTCCTCCTCCTCTTAACTTTTATCGTTTTCGGGCTCAGGACTCAGCATTCGCTTCCCCGAAGGCGCGAGTCTTGCCCCTAAGATGAGGGAGATGTATTAGCGACACATAATTACTTTGGAGCCTATACAGGCAGACCAGTAGGGGTGTAATCTTGAGGTAAAACCAAGGGTGGGGAGATGGAAGGGAGGGAATTGTTGTAGATTGTTAGTACTTACTCATCTTGACGATTACCGTCGTTGGCCTATGGCATGGAGGAAGAGTAGGAAGCTCAAGAGGCTTCTCGTTTGCCCCCTTGTGGGCTCAGTTTCTTAGCGTGCAGGTCCTGCCTGTCCTTGATCAATTCTTTTTCTTTGTCTCCGCTCTGTTCCTGGGCTTTGTTCTCGTTTTCGTTTGAGACCGTTTGAGTCCCGGCCACTGGTAGACGATTCCATCGTAGGCTTCTCCACCATCCTCCGTTTCTCCTCTTCCGAGCCTATGATCTCGACGATCACGTATGGAGGTCTCAGACCCGAGCAGACAGTGGAGGGTATCCTTATACAGCCGTCTGGAAGGACCCTCTAAGCGATATCCTCGCCTCATGTTGCTTTCCATTTCCCAAATCCGGTCAAGTAGCCCAGCAGACTCACCACCAGCAGGCAGGCTTACATACCTCCATCCTCCTCCTCCTGCATGTCCCACACGTCCCACACCGGGGGCATGGGGGAGAAAGCGAACAAGAATGATGAGAATGACGGGGAGAAGAAGAACCGGGGGCAGAAACAGGGGAAGGAGAATGAGAACGGGTGGGGGATCGGGTCGAAGAAGGGGTTGGCGCGTTACTTCTGCGCAGCCGCTCCGCCCTGTCCTCCTCATCCTCCCGCAGCAGCAGCTGCTGCTCCGTTCCCATCGGTATCTGGGACCACGAGTGGAACAACTCCAATACATCCTCCTTCGTCTACCGGATCATCGGTGGGTCTCTTTCTCTTCCGGCTGGTCTCTTTCTTGGGGGCTTTGGGAAGCTTGGGGGCTTGGGTGCCTTGCGTGCCTTGGGTGTCTTCTTCGCCTCGTCGTTCGCATCCCTCTCTGCTAACCACGCGGCAATCTCTGCGTCCTCTACCCCATTTCCATAGCGCGCCATACAGGCCGCGCACATGCCTCCCCTGGGGTGGGCAGCCATCGCTTCCCGGAAAAAGTGGCGCTCAGGTTGTTGCCATGCCTGTGCATTAAAGGGTACCGGCGCACGCCACGCGTCCCACTGGTTTACGTAGGCCGGTGGGAGGTGGAAGGATTGGACGTAGACTCTGTCGCGGAAATCCAGCATGGCTTCGTAGAGGAGAAGCTCGAACTCGCCCTCTAAGCCATCCCATCGGTATCTGTGACCACGAGTGCTGAAGGATGGGACGAATTGCTGAAAAAGCTAGCATTAGGCCACCAGCCTTGGATGGTCCTCATTCACAAGCCGCCAAAGCGTCCACTCCGCGTCCCGTAACTCTTTCCGTTCGTCCCAAGTCAAGTGGGCCACGAACCGCCAAAGCGTCCACTCCGCGTCTCGTAACTCTTTCCGTTCGTCCCAAGTCAAGTGGGCTACGAGCCACTGGCGGTCGTCCTCCGATATGGAATAGTACCGGGAGATGATATAGTTCAGTTGATATCAATTGGTGTTGTGGATTTGAGCGGCGCGGCGGACGGAGAGGTGGGCTTGTTCGACGGCGTAGAGGTGGGACAGACAGGCCGGGAGGACCTTCGGTAGGACTTAGAGGAACGTTGGGATTCCGTCCGTAGCCCCTCCGCAATTGGATTGATGACGGAATCACCCCAGGCGTCGGGACTATCTAACAACTCGTCCGTTATCCTGGCGTCTTCAAGCATGCGCTCTGTCTCCTCGGCGACCCAATCCAACCTTCGGCCCTCCTGACTATTGCAACCGCACCGTTCTCCATAACAAATCTTATGGAGTTCGCAGTCATCCCTGCACTCGTGGTGCCCACGTGGCCGTTGGGGTTGTCGATAGCGGAGGCGTCGAAGTACGACCGGTTCTCAAAACCCTGCGACTTGATCTCTGCGAGCATTCGTTTGGTCGGAAGACTTTCCTCATCTTCCCGGAGGTTGTCGACCAAGTCGGTGTTTTTGTGATGTTCATGTTAAACATTGAATCCACCTGGTGGAGGACGAAAGCCTTGCGGTCTGGGTCGAAGACGAGCACATATTGACTGTCTGCTGCAGTGCGGACCCCATTGTATTGATATTTGTCTCCGTTATCATCGAAGCCGAGGTTGTACGAGCGTTCATTCTGCGCCTTCGCTCAGCCCGTTCCTCACGTCCCTCGACCTCACGTCATCCTCACAACTTCTCGTCTTGGGCTTGGTAGCCTGGTGATCTTCGCGGCTGCAGCGCAGGCGGAGGCAAAGCAAACCCATCGTTTGGGACAACTGGTAAGTGCAGCGCCAGCTCGGCCTCTGGTGCTGGCGTGAGCAGCCCCATCACGATTTGTGCCTCGTGATGCTCGTGATGATGGGGTACGAGGACTGGCGTGGGGAGGCCATTAACGACCTGTGTCTCAAAATGTTCATCATGATGAGGCACCACCGGGGCTGGCTCGGGGGGTAGTTGTGCAGCTATGACCTGCTGGTTGAAGTGCTGCGCATTCTGGTCCTGATGGGCGAGCGGGAGACCCAGGAGATCCGAAAGAGCATGTCCTGCACAAACAGCCAGTTGCGCAGGAAACAGGTATCTTCGCAGACAAAACGATGGAGGGAACTTAGGTGCGGTCCCCCCTGAATTTTGGTTCGTAGTTGGGGAAAAAATTGAACATATCGTCGAGCCCAATGCAAACGCCCCTGATAAGGTCGATAACAAACACCCCGGGTACGACTCAGGTCGTAGGTAGCCGGCGAGATTTGGTTGTGCTCTTGGTATCGATCGAGGGTTGTCACTCTGGTCTGGCATTCGTCGAGAATTCGCTGAGTCTCGAGAACTGACCCGTTGACAAAATCGTGCTGCTTAGCCAGACCAACATGATTTGGTCGTAGACGGGCAGTGCAACAACCCCAAAGCAAGACCAACATGATTGGGTCGTAGACCGGCAGTGCTCAGAACTGAACCTCTTTTGGTCAGATACTTCATGACGCCTTTGATGTTGCCAGACTCGCCCCAAACGTGCAACAACCCCGAAGCAAGACCGCATGATCTGGTCGTAGGTTGGAGGAGGAGAGTTTTAGCAATTGCTTTGGACGCCGCGCTGAGGCGAAGACCCAAAAGCCAGACCAACATGATTTGGCCGTAGACGGGCAGTGCAAAACCCAACCTGGGCTGTGACGGCGATGTTCTTGAGGTCTTGGTGGTTGCGGCGGATGTGATGGAGGTGACCGAAGAGGCGGTCGAGGTGCGAGAACTTTGGCCAGGGCGGGCCTGGTGCCCGTGGTGACCGTTGTTTCGAATCTTGGCCATTTGGTGCTGATTTGGACGGAAAAAAAGGATAAATTTCTCTTTTGAGTGAAGCGTGAGCAGATACTCGACGCATTACCGCCTCCATCGATGGACTCATTTCAACTCCGATGGAAGGACGGACATCAGGAGCAGCGGTCTCTTGGGTGCCTCCTCCCGGGGACTGGGAGCCGGGGAAGGTGACTCCGGCGAAGATGGCATCCACTTAACATATAATCCCAGCCACGGCCAAGATCATCAGGAACCCCAGGACCACTCCCCCTACCACAACCACCATGTATGTTGCGAGGAGAAACATCAAGGAGAGGGGGAATGCCATCGTTACAATGGCGTGGATGTATACGAGGTAATACAAGTATGTGACGGCGTCGTGCTGATGGCGTCGGTGGAGGCTTGGTGACGGAGGTCACGGCAGCCCAAAAGCCCAACACAAGAGCCCGGCACTTGGCTCCTAGGACGAAGTCGTTGATCCGAGATATCACTTGTTCCAAGTCTTGCGTCATTTGACTGTTGGCAATGATACCATGAAGTGCGATGCCCGGTTCGGGCTCGCTGCTTGGGCTTGGGCTGTACGCAATGGGCGTCTCGTCTTCAAACATTTCTGAACCTCGGACGTGTTTGGAGAGAGATTGAGGAGGGAGAGAGGCGTTCGAAGGTTTCGTCAGGTCAATAAGGACCTGTGGAGGTTTGGCCTCCTGATAGATCTGCGCAGGTCGAATCTGCTGGCAGATTTGGGGAGACACGGTGTCTGCCTCTCTGTTTGCATCGTGGTCATTGTTCGTGGATTTGTGTCTTTGTGTTTGAACTTACCATTTCGGACGCCAGACTGGGTTTTCGTCAAATTGACGACGTCTTTGACATCCTCACTTCCACTCGAGGTTGACCCAGTCCTGCAGGTTCTTCTGTGACTGTTTGTCACCAAGGCGACTGTGCGGAATCAACCTGGTTGTCAACCCAGTGTTGGGTTATGACAGCCTGAGTGATGTTGGACTCCCTGAGTGGTAGATGGCCAGGTAGAAGTTGCTACGGTCGGAGAGGTCGAGGAAGAGGCGATCCTGCTCAAAGGCTGAGCTGCGGCGTATAACGCTGCTGATGCCACATGAACACTTCCCGGTTGAGATGGAATTCTCCTGCACTGACACTGAATGTTAGCGTCTGACACAAACGAAGGGGTCAAGAGTGGACGTCGAGTCGACTGACCTGGGTGGTACACGTATTTGCTCCAGTGGAAACACTGACTCGATGTTGGACGTGGCCAACAATGCTGATTTGACGAAGACGGGAGTTGAGATGGGTTTCGCTGATGGACACAAGCAAGAAAGGCAAAAGCAAGAAAAAGAAAGAAAAAGGTGGAAGGATATGTTGAGATGGCGAAATATACAAGATATGTGAACTGATGAGATGATGGAAAATATATGTTAAGAGTGCTGGTTTGTCGAGTAGTGAGAGGTGAGAAAGCCGGGGGGACTGGGGGATCTTATACCAGTCCAGAGGTCCCAATCACTCCGGGAGGCCGTGTGGACTCATCTTGTATCACCTTCCCGTGTTGACAGCATCCTGACGAGATGTTGGCTGTCGCGGTAGGAGCGCTATCTTGAGTGTCCGGTAAGAGAGGGCGAGGCATGATGAGTTGAGCAGGCAGCCCCTACAACACAGAAGGCTCTCACGGCCAAAGGAGCAGGCGAGCGCCGACTCCGAGGCAGGGCGGTACCCAAGTACCTAGCTACGTGAGCCAGGTTGCAGCCAATCACATGTCATCACGCTGACGAAAGAGGCAGTCCCACTTTAACTTCCACTTGCAAGCCCCACTTGTCACCTCCCGTCAGTGCCTCTGCAGCTCCGGGCCCGTCCCTTCTTTCTTCCACCAGACACGACTGATTGGGATAAGAACAGGACGGATGCAAGAGGATCGCGAACTGCTTTCTGCCCTCGCGCCTGCCCCTGATCCTACTGTGACGCTACCACAGAGCAACTACAGTCCCGAGTACCTCTCCACCATCAATCTGCCGCGGCTCCTTCCCGTCTCATGGACTCGACGCGCCACGGTCCCGTCGGTGCCGACCCAGAGGTCGACAGGCAGAACCTTCCTCGTTTGAACTTGCCCTTGAGGTGGCGCCATGCTTGACAGGCCCGACAAATCCAATTTTCCTGTCCTCTTTCCCTTCTTCAGCAACAACCCGCCTCCTCGCGACCGCCGAGTACAATGTCGATTCCGGAGAAGCTCCCCGTCTCAAGCTGTCGCTATGAAAGGACTTCCTCCCGTCAGCTCATTAGCATCCGGTACCTCTTCCCAACGGGACAAGCTCACCGACCGAGGCAACCGTCCCCCAAGGTCCGTCGTCAGTCTTCCCTCACGTCCTCACGACCCAGCCTACCGAAAAATATCAACATCTCGAAGATGGCCAAGCGCAGACTGAGACGAAAGAACTTGCCCACATCGACACTTGCCTTGGGGTGTCCTCGCAAAAACTCCTCCTTCCTAGAGGACAGGGCCGGGACAACGATGACGGAGTGGCGGACATCGCAGAATACCGAACGAACAAAGAACACACTTGCCAACCGCCGCACAAAACAAGAGCATCCCGGCACCCACAGCTTCTTGATCGAGAGAACAATAGGGGGAGTAGTCGTCGGGGTCAAACAGGCTCGCACGAGGACGTGAAGACGGAGCACACACACACACACACGCAAACACAACCTGGAAGAATAGCACATGCTTCATTTCCACCGTCGCTGCTACATTTAGAGCCACGGTGCAAGATACCTACCAGCAGTTGCAGCTCCCCGGCCGTCGCCACCTCACATGGAATCCCCTGCCCCATCCACTAAGACAGCCGCACCCAACACAACGCGATCCGATCATCCGAATACATGTCCAACAGACAGCTCGCGACAGAGACCATCCCTAGATTTCACCGACCGGAAACCGAGATACGACGAACGACACAGCCACTCTGCCAGGCTAGCACCTCGCCGCATAGAACAAGAGCCTTCCGACACAGGGCATTCCCACGGTCGAAAGGTGGACAAGCTAGGAAGAACCTCCATGGTCGAGTCCGGCAGGCTGGATAAGACAGAGACACAGACACACGAACACGACAAAAGAACAAGCACAGAGGCTGATACTTCGTTCTCCTAATTATCACAGTCGCTATCTGAGTTGTTCCAAAGGAATCACAATGCGGCTTCCGGTCCGCCACAATGTACCCTTGTGCTAGTCTTCGAAACACCAACCTGATCGCAAGCGCGTCTAGCTTGACAGGAGAGCAGGTACAACATCACAGCCCTGAAACCAACAACACCGTTTCTAAAAACAAACACCATTCTCAGGGCATCCGGGAGAACAAAGCTCTGACCGCGCCTTCACTTCGCCCAAACTACCTATAAACAACAGCACCTTGCCAGCAAGGACCGAGACGATTCCGTGTCTCGAGAACCCACCCCCAAACATCCATGAACCCCTTCACATTCTGACTCCCCTCCCACTGCTCCCATACATCTTCCCTGCTTCCCAAACTCCTAAATACCTCCAGCGCCGCGTTCCTCGTCTCCTCGTCGGGCACATTGGCCCAGGTCATCTGAGGGTCTGAATCATTTCCGAAGATATCGTAATGACGATCTAGAAACTTTTCGATCTCCGCGACCACATATACGTCTCTCTGGGATTCCGTCCGCGGCCCCTGCGCAATGCGATTAACAACGGAAACATCCCAGTTCCCACTTAAGAGCGACGGATCAGTCTCCGACTCACTCCATTCAAAAAGGGTCCAGTCCAAAATATCCGCCTTCCCATTGGTTAGAGTGCCCAAAAACCCCTCGCAAAAATCGGCAGCAATAGGGCAAGGAAGCCCGACACCCTCACCAAACCTTTGGACCGCGGCAAGCACGTCCTCGTCCAATAAACGCTCATCGACGCTCATCTTAAATACCGCAAACTGTGCGCGGTGGTAGAAGTCAGGGATGGCTGTCTCCGACCCAAGAAGGCAGTGGACGGTATCGTTATAAAGCCGTCTATGTTTATCATGGAGGACCCTCTCGGCGATCCCATCCGTATCTGGGACGATGAGTGCTGAGGGGTGAGACGGGTCGCTGAAGTAGCTAGCGTCGGGGTCCAGTTCGTAGTCTGGGGCGGGGTTAGGGAAGATAGGCCGGGAGGACCTTCGGTATGATTTAGAGGAACGGTCGGACCGCTGCGGAAAGCGGGTGGACCGGTATGGAGGGTAACGGATGGCGGTCGTTGTGGACGAGGTGCTGGTGGTGGTGGAGTTGGTTTTGGTTGTGGTGCCGCGAGTGACGGTCGTGAAGGCGGCATGGTGACCCCGGGTGAGATGGTGCTCTTCGAATGCCGAGACTACTCGGGCGTGTGAGTGACCTGGGTAAATGGCCAGGTAGACGGCGCTGGGGCCGGAGAGATTGAGGAAGAGAGAGGCGCGGTAGGGGATGGACTCTGAGGAGGTCTCTGAGGGGGGCATTGTGGCGGTTTTCCTTTCTGGATGGAAGATTCTGTGTGAATAGTAGGAGAAGAAGAGTGTGACGGGACTGTTTTGAATTGACTGAGTAGCAAATTTGTCGTGTTGTGTTGGAGTTGGGGTTGATGGTGATGAGATGGGAAGTTTTACGTGAGGGGGGTGCCCGGTTGATATATCTCACTCAGACTACAGGTTTCCAGGAATTCTTTTTCGAAGGTAATGCTTGTGTATGACTTTGTCGTCGGGCTGTACTCGTCGAAATATGATGCATACTTCCAATGTTGTGTGGGAAGTCCGAGCTACAGAAGATGCACCCGACTACGGAACATGCACTCAACGGGCAGCAAAGAGGCAGACGGATTCAAGAATGTGTTGTATCCGATTCGGGCAGATGTTGTTGAAGTTTCCTGACAAGGAACATGTCGGACTCGGGGGCTTTCAGGAGTTCAGGTCGGAGATTCAAGTTTCGACGCCGGGACACGCCGTCACGAACAAACTCCTTGGACATCCCCCAAGTCCCAACGCAAGCCTCGGACTGTGTCCTTCGGCGCAAAAGCACGGCATCGTCTCAGACTCATGATCATGATCATGGCCGGTAATGCTTGGATCTGTTATCGGGCGGAGGGCAGTGGTAAGTTGCTGCGTGCATATATGTGTGTGCTCCTTGCCCGACAAGCTGGGTTGTCTGAAAAAAAAAAAAAAAAAAAAAACCTCAATGCTCACAGGAACAACGGCCACCATATGCGTTGCATTTATTCTTCACACATCCTGCCAGGCCGTCCAGGTAATCTTTCCCCCCTGAGCGTGGCTTTGGAGCCCCCAAACCCGAAGAAACTCGGGGCATCGAATTTCTTTGTCCAGCAGCTATGCACATGCAAGGCATGAAGGGGAATTTGGTGACTGGGCTAATGGATATCTGATATGTAGGTGGTGGAATATCTATGAGGCTCAAACACAGCGCATATATCCAATGCGAAGAACATATAAGTCCGAGATATTCATGCACCACCCAAGCCCGGATAGTTTAAGCTGCCGGTCATATCGTTTGTGGCCACTCTTCTACTGCATCTCATATCTGGATGTCCGAGGACTACGTTTGATGGCGAATCAGGCATCGAATATACACGGCGGCGAACAGGAAATTATCCTTGGGAAAAGAGTATAAAGTGTCGGGACTCTCCCCATTCCATCCTTCCCATTTCTTTTCTTGCCGGACAAAGTGTCATCATCAAATACACATCTCTCATCTCCACGACCGATAAATCCTCCAACAAACACACACCAATCTTGTCTTGAACTAAAAACTCTCAAGTGTCAACATCACAAACTGAACTCCAATCTCCACGAGCAGGTCATTCACATTCTCCACGAACAACATATCCCCCAACGGATCGAAGAAAACTCTACCAAGATGCCCAACGTTACGTCTGAAGTTGAGAGGAGGTACTCCTCCTCCACCGACTCCTCAGTGGCGGTCACAGCTGGCAGCTCAAACTCCCACTCGAGCTCCAGCCCTGCAACAACGACCTCAATCCCAGACCAGCACCAGCATGTGCAGGAGAGCCAGAACCAAGCACCAGCCCCAGCCCAGATTCCACACCAGGACCACCAGCACCACCAGTATCAACATTGCCACCACCAGCACCCGGACCAGTACCACCCGGACCAGCACCACCCGGATCAACATTACCACCACCACCACCACCCCCACTCCCCCCAATTCCTCCGCCTCCAGTCCACTTGGATCTACCACCTCTACGCCGTAGAACAGGCCCGCCTCTCCTTCCTCCGCGCCGCTCAAATCCACGACACCACATGGGATCAACTGAACCACATCATCTCCCGGTACCATACCATGTCGGAGGACGACCGCCAGTGGCTCGTAGCCCAATTCACTTGGGACGAACGGCGCCTTTTGCGCGAGGCAGAGTGGAAGTTGTGGGATTTGGTAAATATTGACCATCCAAGGCTGGTAGAGATGGTGAGGGCGTATGCGGAGGGGGTGTGGAGGGAGAGGGAGGAGGAGATGGGTAGACAAAGACAGAGGGAGGAGATGAGGAGGTGGGAGGAGGTGGTTAGGAGGGAGAGGGAGGAGAGGGAGGAGAGGGGGAGGCAGTTGGAACGGGTGGAGGTGGAGGAGAGGAGGGTTAGGTTGGAGAGGGTGGTGCAGGAGATGGTTAGACGGAGGGAGGAGGCTAGAAGGTTGGAGGAGATGGGTAGGAGGCAGAGGGAGGAGAGGGAGAGGTATTTGGAACGGGAGAGGGAGAGGAGACGGAGGGAGGTGGGGGAGTTTGAGGCGAGGCTGAGGGGGGCAGAGGTGGAGGAATCCGAGGAGCGGCCGAGGGGGATGGGGAGGGAGTTGAAGGACGCTAGTAGGAGGAACGAGGAGAGGTTTAGGAGGTGGATGGAGGAGTCGAGCAGAAGGGAGGGGGAGGGGTTTAGAGGAGGTTGCGAGGACTGTGGGAGAGGTGAGGGTTAGAATGACGAATGAGGATGTCTTGTGCCCAGCCGGCCAGCCGCCTGCCTGCCGGGCTGGGCCCACTCTCCAGCACCACCTTTAGCTAGGTAGCTTTCCCCCGCGCTCGTTCGTAGCCTTGTTTTCCTTCCGAATACTACAAGTTCTCTCTCGCCTTCTTGTTCCTAGGTACTATCGTGACGGTCCAAGAGGATGTGAGAAGGAGGTGGATGGAGGTATGCGAGGAGATATGTCAGCGGGGGTTATCTCAAGGAGGGCAGACGCCTTCCTTGGCTTTGCCCTCTGCCCAATGAAGAGTGACTGAGATGAGGTGGGGGACTTGGAGTACCTCTAGAGATGTACCGCCGTGGGAGGTGGGATGGTGAGGGCGAGGAAGGAGCAGGGTGGGAAACGACTGGAGGTATCAAAAGGGAATACAGAAGGGGAATTGGATAGGTACCTCTAGTATAAGAGAAGATCTTGAACTGTCACGATAGTGTGGGACAGAAGGCGAGTGGAAGTTGTTGATGTATTCGGAGAGAAGACGAGGCTACAGACGAACGCGGGGAAAAGCTAGCTAAGGGAGAGAGGTGGTGGTGGGAAGTGGGCCCAGCCCAGCAGGCAGGTGTCAGAGGCCAGGGGATCCACTGGGCGTGCACGTGCCCAGTTGGGCTGGGATATGCGGGATTTATCCAGATACCAGAGCTTCAAATCTACAGAGCCAGTCTTACACACACACATACACAATTAAGCCACGTTGAACTTATATCGATTATTACCAATAATATTACAATTAAGAGTCTTATTAATTCAACTATTAAAGTTATCACTAATAATAATAACCGACTAAATGATTGGTAATAATATCTATAATTAAAATTAATAGCGTTACCCTCAACGGCCCTAAGGATTAACCGGCCTAGGAAGATGCCTTTATTTCTATAGCCTAAATTTTAGATTTTTAGAAGTATATCGACCCGAATAACCGCGTTCCCTAACCAACCGAACCAGTAGAATCCAATATCGCCAATTACTAAAAGGAAGTTCCCGTTAGAAAAATTAAAGAAGCTAAGAAGGATAAGGAGGTTACCCTCTTTATTACTGCTAAACTATATAGCTTCTATTATAAATATAATTATTATAATTATATAATTAAAAAATTAGATTAGTATATAGAGATTAACACCTTTTCCAACTTAAGTATTAAGAAGATTATATTAAATCGTTAAATATTTAAAACTATTAGAAATAATTCTTAGGAAATTAATTTTATTAAACGTATTAATCTATACGAATAGTATAATAATTTTAATAAATCTACCGCTTTTAACGACTGTAAAGTAAAGAAATTCGCCCGGGTTAGATTTATTAATATTCTAAGCCCTTTAATAGAGCTAATTATAATTAATATAATTAGACCTTTTAATAGGAGGCGGCTATAGCCCTCTATATTATTAGAGGAATTATTAGAATAAACAAATTAAATTTTTAATTCTTAGAATTCTATATAATTATAAGGTTAAATTTTTATACCGTTTAGGTAAATAATTATTAATTCTATTATAATAAAGAAATCCACAGAAATTTTAATTTCAAAATCTTTTTCTATACTATAGTTAAAGATTTTCGCAAAGTAATAATAACGAATACTACCTAGGGAAAGGGTCGTGCCCCCCTATTTAAAAGTACTACGTTCGTAGCTACGTTAAATAATAAGTCTATTAAAGAGGATATTCCTAGCGATAAATAAAATTTTAACTCGGAGGTAAAGGGACGGAGAGAGGGTATAAGTAAAAACGGTAAATTTAAGAAGAATATTAATAAGAATAAATATACTTCTTCTTCGTCTTTACTAACTAACGAATAAACGATTATATTAATCCTTATATAAATTTTATAAATAGTCGGCCTATAATTTAAATAAATATTACTACGCTAAATTATAATTGATTTATAAAAGTTAGATTGAAAATATTATAATTAAGAAGCGTGTACTTACTAATTTAAAGAAGGATAAAATATTTAAAGAAGCCGTTAACCGTTTATAAATATAATAGGATAATAAGGATTAAAATAATTAATTCTATAGTCGCCAGGTAAGTAAGAATAATTTCTTAGTATTTATAGCGAAATATAGCGTTATATACCTATTGAGAGATTGTATAATCTTCGATTTAGGTATAATAATATACATTTTTAATAAAATTAATCGCCTTAGAGATTTTACCCCTTTAAATATTAGTAATTATATATAGGTAGGAATTAAATGGATTCTTATAAAGGAGTATAATATTATTATAATTATAATTTAGGACGATAATAGAAATAAAGAGTTTTCATTCCTTAACGTCGTTCTAATACTGGGTATAGTTTATAATTTCTTTTTTTTAAAATAATTCGAAAATAAATGAATCTATTAAAATTATGAGAATAATTACTTACGCTCCCGCCTTACGGACTTCTTTATTTATTATATCCTTTCTAAATATGAATAATGTATTTTAGAATGTATCCCTTTCCAAAATAACGCTAACGAATCTTCTTTTTTATATAATATATAAATTATATTAAATAGAAGCCTTAAAAAGGTAAGCTCTTTAATTAATATATTTGATTTAATTACCTAAAATTCCAAATTTTAATTAAATTAACGGAATAAGAATATAACGTACAATTTAAGGGATTAGATATAATATATTGCGAACTATATGTTAAGGTTAAATTAAAGCGTTAAATGTATAGAGAAGTTTGTAATTATTTAGAGGGGCTTAAGTTATAATTAGCCGTCGATTTCTTCTTTCATAAGAAAATAAAAGTAGGGTGCTAGAAGTATTTAAATTTAATAGTAATTATAAACTAATAATTTAAATTCGTTTAAATATATTATTTAAGTAATAGAGAAGCCAAATTCATTATCGCGTATGTAGAATCCCTTTATATAGGGTTATAAATTCAGTATGAAATTATATTTCGGGTAATCGAATATAATAATGAAATAATGAATAATAAAAGAATTATTATTTAATTTATGACTAAGGAAATTACTATTGAACCTTTAGCGCTTTGTGCGTAGATTTAAAATAGCAGCGTAGAGCGTTTAAGAGGTATAATTAAAATTAAGGGTATAGTAATATAACTAAATATAAATCTTCCTTACGAATTATAGATAGAAATTATTAGAGTAATTGTATATTTATATAACCTAACTCCTAAAGCGGAATACTAATAAAAGTCTCCCTAAGACCGATTTAAAATATATTATTAATTTAACAACGGTAATATTCTTCTATTAAATCCTTCCTTTATTATTATGTACCTTAAAATATATAATTATGAGGCTTTTACTCTTATAATAAAAATTATAAAAGAATAGAATAAATTAATAAAGTTTAAGGATTGTATTTAGGTTAATTATTTGGTTGGATATTAATTAATGAATATTTATAGGATTTAGAATCCTTATACTAATTTTATTATTATTATACGAAACGGTATATTTGATAAAGACGAAGTCTTCCTTAATAATAACGTTAAAGAATCTATAATATTCTTAATATCTCCCTTAAAGAATTGATTATATAATTAAAAGATTTTTATTAAATAAATATCGTATAAATAAATATCTTATAGATCGAGGCCGTACCCGCTGTAAATAACGGAATTCCTAGCCCTATTCTTTAAAATTTTCCTACCGAAATTAAGAATATATTAAAGGAAGAAGAGGAATTAGAGTTTCTGGAAATATAAATATAATTTGGATTTTTAGAGGTCCTATGAATATTAAAAATATAATTATTAAGTTTAGAAATACCGTAAGGGTTTTTAGAACCCTTACTATTACCGCCCGAATAATCGCCGTTAAATTTTTAGAATACAATTTTAAATTCGAAGGATAAAGAAAAGGGCTATTTTCTTACGCCTCCTAATAGCCTAGCCGCGTTTTTAATAATTAACCTTTTTCGTTCTAATAAAGAATTATAGTGAATTATAAATTAATACCTTTATTAGGCTTCGTTGTTCTTATTTATAAAGGGTAATCAACCTATAGGCCTTTAGAGAAATAAGGTTGTAGATTAAACTTTCTTAGAATAAATAAGAAAGAGGGGTATTGATATTAATCCCGGCTATAATTTTAAATTAAAAATAATAAAGGAAATTATTAACCGCTATAGAGTAAAGGGTATATTAAAGACCCTTTATCGAACTAACTTTTTACCTCTTCCAAAATACTAGAATAATTTCAATTTTTATCCTTTTGAAGAATTCTTCAAAGTTATAGAAAAGGAATATTTAAATAAATATAAGGATAAGAAATTTTAAAGGTAAATTAGTATCGAAGAAGCGGGAAATAAGGAGATATTCGGTTTAATATAAGTATATACCTATAAATTTAATAAAAACGGTTAGTTCTTTAAATATAAGGCGTACTTAATTATATATAGGGATTAACAGTTTAAAGATAGCGTACGTAAAGTATACATAACGATTTTAATAATTAGGTCGTTCTATATCCTAATAATTATAGCTGCCTACTTCAACTTTAATTTAGTTTAATACAACGTAAAGAATACGTTTATTAATATCATATTTAATAAAATAATATTTATAAAAGTTCCCCCTAAATATATTAAGAAATGTTAAGTATTTTAATTATTACGTACGTTATAGAATTGATAGAAATTTCCTTTCCTTTAGTAATAGGAATTTATTAAAATTTTCGTAACTATAAGTATAAATCCTTTCTCTATAGAGTTTAGTATCCTAATTAGAAATAACGTATTCTTTTTCTTTTATATTAACGATATTATTATTATTTAAAAATATAGAAATAAAGAAATTACTATAACTAAGGGGGTAGTAGTTACTATAGAGAGAAAATATTAATTAATAAGTAGAGAACTATTAAAATAGTTTTTGGGCATCGAAATTATTCGAAACCGAAAGAAGAGATTAATTTAGTTATTATAGTACAATTATATTTAAAAAATCGTAAAAAAGGTTAAACGTATTAAAAGATTATATTCTACGTTTATAGTTAGAGAGGAATTCCTATTTTATCAAAATAATGTAGCCCCGTACGAAATTTACGTATATTAAGTCAAAATCGGTTTAATTTTCTATATTGTTATTATATCACGACTAAACGTAATTTTCCCGGTCTCTAAATCTATTCGATTTAATTTAAATTCTACTTTAGTATATTATAGAGTTATAGACAAAATATTATTTTACCTTTTTACAATTTAAAATTACGCTCTTTAATTAAATAGTAAAAATTATTAGGATTTTTACGTTATAATTAAATCTTTATTTATAAATAATACTTTTAATTAAAACAATTCAAAAGCGTTTATATTTAAATTTTTAAGCGCTATAATTGATTAGCGAACTAATAATTAAAATATAATTACAATTTTATCTATAGAAATTAAATTAGTATCCTTTAATTAAAGAATTAAAGAGGCTATTTACATTCGCTGTCTCTTTAACGAACTTACCCTAAGGTTCGAAGATTAAAAGGTTATACCTATAAATTAGAATAATGAATAGACGATATAATTTATTATAAAGGATGGTGTTCGGCTGGTAATTAAATTTAAGAGAAAGTCTTTATCGCACCGTCGTAAAAGTCTTCAGGCACCGTCGACCCACCCTCTCCCGCTCTCTCCCCACCTTTCCCGCTTTCCCGACCAATAAAAATCGGTGTATCCAAAGCGCGGACTATCTTCGCTTTAGCGTGGTATTCTTTTATAGATTTCGCCTAGAAATCTAGGCATTATATTATTTTATAGTATAATATTAGATTGTAGTGTCCGCCCAAATGTGCACTTTTATAGCGATTATTTTATAGGGTATTTTATAAGGTATCTGTAGGGTAGTTAGTGGTACGGTCGTATATTTTACTCAATTGCACTCAATTAATCACAAATCTAGGAGCTTGGCAGGCGCGGTACGAAGGGGATCAGTGCAAGGTAGAGACAATATAGTCCGCGCTTTAAATTCACCGATTTTTATTGGACAGGAAAGTAGGAAGGGTAGGACGTAGGCGGGAAGGGTGGGGGGAGGGTGGGTCGACGGTGCCTAAAGACGTTCACGACGGTGCGAAAAGACTTTCTCAAATTTAAATACGTCGATATATATAAATATTAAATAAAGTAAATATAAGAAAGGAAATTTATAAATATAATTTACGTACGTCTTAAAGAATAGATTGTAAATAGTTTTATTAAAAGCTTCCTTCCTATAGTATATTTAAAATCTATAAAATAGTTAGGATTCGTAGAGTTATAATAATTATAAATTTAATTCCGAGAATTTAATATCGGAAATATTATTACAGGCCGCCCGAAGGGTATAGAGGATTTTATAGAGGAGGATTCGGGCAACGAATCGGTAAGTATAACGGTAAATATAGTAGGGCAAGATTTTTACGAATAATAATTTGAAAGTTACTATAATAAGGAAGTAATTTGGGGATAATATTATTTCTAGCTAGTTTTAGGAGGATTTCAAGGCATTTTAAGGCATTTTTTAAGTAGATCTAGCGTAGCTTGTATACCAAATCTAAGGGGGTGTGTTAGAGGCTAGGGGATCCACTGGGCGTGCACGTGCCTAATTGGGCTAGGATATACGGAATTTATCCAGATACTAGAGCTTTAAGTCTGCAGAGCCAGTCTTACACACATATATACAATTAAGCCACGTTGAACCCATATCGATTATTACCAGTAATATCACAGCAGGCGGCACGGCTGGCACGGCTGGCCGGCTGGGCACAAGAGAAGAAGACTATCAACAGCGAATTCATTTTCTACCTACCTTCAAGCTTCTATCGTAACTCAAATGGATGTATATAGCGATAGTTCCCAGTGTTCTCAGCTATACCTCCGGACGGATGGGAGGGGAGTATATCCACAGCCTAACCAGGAATAAAGGACCGCATCCACCTCAATCTTTCTAGAGGTACAGTGAGTACCACAAATAAACGCACAACTTGGAAATTTCCCCGCAAACTACATCAAAAAATCACCTTCGTCACTCCTCGATTTGACCACTTTACTATATCCTAAACCAAATGCATTTCCTTGAGGTTAGTGTTTTTAATACCTTTTAATGTCAAAGGGACTCTTGAGTAATTTTAGTTATTAGTGGTAGTGAAAGAGTGGTGTTTATCCGAAGGTAAAGTTAGCAAATCGGTTATAGCGGGCTTATAGGGGCTTATAGTAGATGGACAATCGAGCTCTCCCTTAAGTACTTACTTTATTACCTTCTTCCTCAGGCATTTTGGGAGGAAAGAATAATCGGAAAAACACGTTCCTTTAAAAGAGTAAAATAATCCTAACGCTGAAATTCATAGATTACTGGAAGATGGGTGGTGTTGTAATTTCGAGACTTGAAAAGTACGAGTTTTGCGGGGAAATAACCAGTTGTGCGTTTTTTGATGCCACCCACTGTAGTCTCTACAATGATCGATGCCCGTACAATAAGTTGGAATGGATTGGACCATTCTCAATTCGCAAAGCAATCATCAACCAGGTGTGCTTTTCATTTCGCAATCCGCGATGCCGCACATTGTTCGGGTTGTTCGCGCGGGAAACTGGTCGGCGCCGGCGACGGCAGGATGGAGAGTACAAGTGGTCTCCACCATCTGCGTTGCGTGCCGTAGTTTGGACGATCCGCTGTTTTCTTGAACCATTTGCATTTTTGGAAGTGGCCATGGCCGCGGGTCGAATTCGGCACGCAAGACTCGAGTGTTTCGAGAGAGCGGTGGGGGACAAGCAGGGCCGGAGTGTAGTTCAGCGCCAAAACAAAGACGGAGAGGCGCCGCATCAAAGTAGTTCCGCTCGCTATGCTAGCACTTGGGTGTATGCAGGACCACGCATCTTTTGGAGATGGCATGCTGGACGAGGACCTGGATGCTGCAGTTGGCGATGTCGGCTGTGCGGTGGGCGACGACTGGACTGGGATTAAAATACGGATATCGCACTTGTAAATTTACCTTTTAACCTGGGTTCTCCTCCAGAATCACAATCAGGAACCTTTTGGAAACAATCGGTTATGCTGGTCTTGCCCACCCGATAACCGTTTCATCACTGGTTCCTTTTTGGAGTTGACCGTTGTGGTGAGGGCGCTTCTGCAGACGCGATGCACATATGGACATGAAGGACATGCACCTAGAGCAAGGAAATCTGGGAATTTGCCATGCAATTCTGGATTTGTCCTTGATTCTGATCCAACTCCCAACTTACCGGTATTTAAAGCCTTGACGACATCTCTTCTTCTCACCCTCGAATCTTCCACCCTTCATCACTTTCAATTACCATTAACACAGCCAAGACAACCATAACAGTAAACCAACACAACACACCCATCAAGCACCACAACCATCAATCACCACAACCATCCCGTCAACACTGCCCACCATGGACCGAAGCGGTAACGGAAGTTTCTCTCATCACGCCTGCCCGACGGAGCCTTCCTCAAAACGAAGCGAAGCCGTCAGAAACGTAATCAACGCCATCGAGGGATTCGCCAAACGGCTGTTGCCTGCCTTCCACCTGGACGTTTCAAAGTATCTTCCAAGGCGAGTATCAGTGCGAGGACCCCACCCAGGACGAGCACCGATAACATGGCGTGTCCCTCTCTTCTTTCCAGAGGAAGACTTTGCTGCCGACGCCATGCACGCCATACACACCATCGTTTCTCGTCGGCCGTCGACCAAAGGGCATAACCGGGGGCAACTGTCTGTGAACAATTCGAATACAATGGCTGGCGTTACTGCCACCGGCACTACGACCATCCGCAACAGCTCATCGATGGCACAAGAAGCAGCCAGCACAACAAGCGCAACGAACGCACCAAAACATGAGAGCGAGCCGCTCGATACTACTTCTTCGCAGCCCCTGAGCGACGAGGAGCAGGAGGGTAGCTGGAAGTTGCAAGAGGAAGAATACGAACTCACGCTGCAGCAGCTCAACGCCCAGCGAGATAAGATCAAACAGATATACGACAAAAAGAAGGCACAAATCGACAAGGAGTGCGGTTTAATGAGGAGCGAAGTTCGACGACATTGGTGGGATGACAGGAGGTTGAACGAGCTGAAGAGGCAGCTGGAGGATATGACGAACAAGCTACAGGAGCGGAGAGCAATAGAGAAGGAGTGGAGGAAGGAGGAGGAGGAGGAGGAGGACGGGGAAGAAAGCGAGTCAGATGACGAGGAGGATGATGAGGACGATGACGAGGAAGATGACGAGGAGGAATGGGACCCTGAGGCAGCGAAACGAAGGATTTACAAATTGGAAACTCTGAAAATGCGTCATGAATGGGAAGCACTATATTATAGAATGCTGACCGAGAAGAACGACCATACAATCAGGCTTTCGAATATAGAGAAAAAGAGAACGGAGGCTTTGTTGAAGGTTGAGGAGGAGTATAATCGGGATATGTATGCTTGGTATAAGATGAGGGATGAGTATCATAGACGGGAGATGGGAGAGGAGTCGGAAAGTCGTAATATTCAGCATTCTAGAGCCTCATATGTCAGGAGGCTGGCTACATGTACTTCAGTTGTTTGGTAATACTTGAAACCGAAGTGATATAGAGAAGACAGGCGGCAGTGAAATATGATGATAAGGTATTTACCTCCACTAACACAACGAATGACAACTGCGGGCATAGAGCACACGGAATTGCACGGTACGTCTACGCAAAAACGACTGAGATAAGTTCTTAACATGGTGTCGGTCAAGTCTGCAGGGTCTCTGTTAGTCTAATAACTTTCTTTCGATCTTATGAAGTACCGAGGATCGTGAACCTGAACAAACCCCTTCGGCCCTTCCCTCTCCAGAGAAGAACAAGTAGTGCAACGGTTATCGGGCGTTCAACGACATGGTAATTGATTAGTGACCAAACGAACAACCGAAGTTCTTGGGAAGAATCCAGGGAAACAATTTACAAGTCAGAAACCTGCCTTGTGTACCCCATTCCAGTCGTCGCCCACCCACCCTCTACCCAACCCAAAGCCGCCTACTCGGACACTCGTACATCTGTCCTCGGTAGACTCAGAGACGCGCAAAAGAAAACCCGGGACTAGCTCGACCTGAGCCACCCTTGATAATTCAGACTCTAACGTCATGCCACCAGGCCTTTTATGTTCTGTCTGTGAGGAAAAGTGGGAGACAAGTGGGAAGGCGCAACATGTTTCCCGGTCTGGAGCCCAGGCCCGTCGAGTTCAACCGAGCCTAACCGACTTCCTTCCGGATTTTCGCAAGTCCCAGTGTCCCCCGTGCGCTATAGATACCGGTTTTCTAGGACATATATGCACCGTGTTGACGGGCTTGCAGGAACTTGATGTTGCAGTGGTCGGCGATAAATGTGCTGTATGGCACTTCTCGGACGCATTGCATGTAGGTAATCAATCCAGCATCGGGCATACAGGAATTTCGAGAAGCATCAAGCACGTCATTTTCCGCCTTAATTTTTGGTCTTTCAGTTAAAACCGCGAGCACTAATCAAACTTTCTTCTCCCAAACTTTCTTCTTCGAGACTTTTATCTCCAGTCCGAAAGACGACCGATCACATCCCAATCCGAACGATAACATGACGTACGGGTACCCTACCACAGCCATCGCTGACGGAGCCAGGCAGATGGAATGCCCAATGCGGGTTCTTCCTGACAGTCCTGTCGATCCCGACCTGTTTAGCAGCGAACCCGGGTCCGGCGACGGGAGCTCATCGGCAGCCTCTACCTACCGCTGTCCTGTGGGATGGGACCCTGCGTTGATTGAAACATCTTCTACTAAACGTACGCAAGCTACCAAGCGTGGTTTTTTTACCCCGAGAGGGATAAGAAAGGGGCCCGAATATAACTACGAGTTCGTCAGAGACAACAGCGGCCATGTAGCTCCAGCCATGGCTCTCAAAGACCTTCCCAGACGACCATTTAACCCGTACACTGAGCCATGGGGTCAATATCAGGTGCCTTATCAGCCATGGTCGCCTGGTTATTCTACTCCTGGAGGGTTTGAACGCCCACGTGGCTATCTCGGCATACCTTTTAGGACCGCGGAGGAAGAAGCTGAGGATTCTTCGCTAAAGGGCGAGCCTTTTAAGTCTGCCGGGGAAGCAGAAAACAAGGCATCAGCAGAGAAGGAGGGGGAGAACACGACAACAAAACAGAAGCAGCCGCCCGCCATGGCTACTTCTACTGTGGAGGTGGAAAACACTTCCTCTACCCCTACCTCCAATTCTGGTGGCAATTTCGACGATACCATCACCAGGGCCAGAGCTTCACTGGCGCTGTCAGCTATACTGGCAACAGCAAAAATAAACACAACGACCGAAACGGATTCAACCAGGCCAGCGGATGCAACGGGTGTAACTCCGTGGCAGAGAAGCACAACCCCTCCATGTCCCCAAAAGAAGCCAATCCGCAAACCAGAAGATGACCCGCGCGAACAAGCAAAGACCACAATCCAACATGGCTTCGACCACAGACGCCACGAGAAGACACAAGCATGTCAGAAGTGGAAGGAGGAGTTAAAAGATCTAGGATTGGATGAACTAAAGGATGTGGTGAACAAAGAAGTGGAGAAGTTGTTGGGTCTTACAACGCTCGTAGACGACGTTAGGAAGGCGCGTCTGGATCACAAGTAAGAGTATGAGGAGTGGAAGGGGGACTTTGCGAGGGAACAGGCTATGATATTGTTGCGAGGATCTACAAATTTATTTGTACCCAAATTTGTGTTTACAGTAAAGCTTGCAACTCAATACTCGACCATCAAGCGAACCTCCTCTTCATTCGCAACTCGTGATGCCTTCACACAACACGGCCACATCGGTAGAACGGCCCACCTATTTAGATACATCCAGTTATAGAACATGGCGTTTACCGCGGTGCCGCCTGGTCGTAAACACCCCGCCCAATTTTCTACACCATCCGTAGGTACCTTAGTTCTATCATCTAGATATTACAGACACTTCCAAACATGCTCGAACTCAATCTCCTTACATCCGTTGACCCCGTACGCGACTCGGTACCTCTAGTTCCCGCTGTTTACAACCTTGAGTTTGAAGGAGGAGATATCTGACCTGGCGGAGACATGGCGTAACATGAACCTCCGTTCACTTCCTATCCTTCCCTACCTCTATCTTGAAACTTCGTAACCTCACAGTCCCACTACAACGCTTGCTGACCACCCCAGCAATCGGGAATAGATCTGCCATCACGGCAGTCTGCCCTGCACTACCTCGTTCGCGACTTAAATGAAACTTTCCCCACGCAAGCTTCCCTACCTCCCTACCTCTTTCAAGTGCCCCCGCGAGGTAATTGAGGGGTATTAGTTGGTCAAGGGGCTGGGGCTGGTGGTACTCCTTTCCCTCTTCTCGAACTGGTCAACAGTCTGGTTGTCGGGGGCGACTGGAGGTGACGACTAATGAGGTGGGCGGAGGAACGCGCATGAAGAGCAACGATCTCTGCGAGTGTCGCAATCGCAGCTGCTGCCTCGGGCTCATACTCCGAGAGGAAAGTGAGTACATACGGCCTCGCCAACGGTAGACCTCTTGCCGAGAATACCGGCCAGCGATGCGGCCTCTCCCATGCGATACTGTCGATTGGTCGAGTTCTGGCTCGACGAACGGACGGAGCTTGCTCCTGCTGCGAGAAGGGAACGGCGAAAGGAAGGGCAATGCGGGGGTTTGCGACTCTGCCAAGGGACCCGACGGTATGCCACATCTCCCTCTTGAGACTGGAGCTGAGGGAATGTTCGAGTGCCAGGGGACTTGGAAACATTTCGTTAAACGGTTTACACCAAAGCTAGCGTGGTTATTAACTGGCCCCTCACGCGGCACGGAGGTGAAGTGTCTCGAGGAAGACAGCGGCAGAGTGCTGTGTGACTGGGCCTCGATGGCTCGGATCAAGGAGTCGCAAGCTACCCGAGGTCTTTCTTTACTTTGGTGGTTGCTGTCGCGGCCCGGACGGAGAGGAAGCATCAAAAGGCAGCTTCAACGCAACACGTTGAAGGAGGACGCGTTCGTGCTTGGTCAACAGAACACTCCTTCTTGATCACGATGGGTGAACGTGTTGTGGTAACTGCCGCTGCTGAGCTTGGAGTAGTATGCTTTTAGTATATAGACATAACAGAGAATCCACGAGGCGTGTCGAACTCCAGGTGGCAGTCAAACAACTAGAAAGCAAGTAGAGTGTCGGCGTGACGCGTGATAAACTTTTCAAGGCCCGCCTGGCTATAGCTGATGCTCTCGAGGCTCAAAACAGCCCACGAGATTTTGGCAGGTAGAACTCAGCGCTGTTCATGGGACCACTCTCTTGTCCGACCAGTAGATCGAAGAGGTAATAATCATGAGCCTGCTTGCCGCTGGGCCATGCGACTGGAAATCTATGTTGTGCTGTGAGAGGGAAGGCTCGTAGGTAGGCAGGTTTTGAGCGTTTGCGAGGCAACCGAGCAGTTTATGCTGCATCTCGAGGTGACGTGTCATTGACAAGCCTCCGAAGACGGACACGCCCGGTGAAATAATCTTTAATCCAGATGCGTGGGCGATCTGGATGCTCAATACGGGAATAGGCGTATCCGAAAGAGAAGGCGCTGAGCCTCCCCAAAAGGTGATTGCACATTTGTCCTTGGTGTCCTTCATCTCCTCTTCCGAAGTCACACCTCGGTGTCAGCAGCCGCGAAGCTGAAGAAGGGATATCGGGCTCGCAGGCGCATCACGGGGAAAAAAACTGGTTGTGGGATGGTGTTCATGTCGTAGATCACGGGTCTGTCAGTGAGGGTACGCGTGGAGCCGTTGGGCTCTTGCTGGCTAAGCCCTAGGGCACTGCGGCCTTTCTGTACCAAGGGGGAGGCTGGACAACGCCGCCGTTCGGTATGTTTGAGTACCTCTAGGTGGCCTCCATCCAGGCTATGGCCTGGCTGCTGAATGGGAATGTCGGCTCCGTTATCGGTCGGCTCTTGAATGTATTCGACGACGTTTTTGTAGTGCAAGAGCCGCTGTGGGAATCAGGAGATTGTGACCTATGTTCGTCGTCAGCGTCATAGAAGGTTGCGCTGTTGATCTGTGTGTTGTCCAGGTCGTTGTCCCGATCATCGTTCTGTTCCTGGACGTTCAGGAGCTGAGAATTAGTGATGATGCTGGACCGTGAAATCAGAGTAGCGGATTCGCCAGGGAGCTGTTCAGTAGAGGGAGAGAGATGGTTGGCGTTCTCGCTTGGGTTGGAATGACTGTCGGAGCCTGAAGCGACCGTGGATGTAGGTCGGCGGGACATGATTATGAGGAGACGGTTCTGGTGCAATTGTTAGATATATAAAAGTCTAAGAAACCCAAGTCTGTATTCCTTACGCGTGCTTGGAAGGACGAAAAGTTGATTGTTAAATGAAGACCACGCAATGGTTGAACAAGTGCTGGAAGCAAACAAGATCACGGACCGACTACTCCTGCTGGGTATCAGGAGATTGAAGATCGCTTCCGAATGGCCTTGCAACCACTTGGGAGCCTGACTGAAAAACACGCTCAACTACAAGAAACGAGATTGGGATATAAAACGCTTTTGATGCCTTGACCCTTTTTGATACTGGACTGGACCTCATATCTATCGCCGAACTACTTTAACCGCTGTTCCCACCGGATCTCATTACATCTCCCATGTCCACACCGGCGTAAAATCTGCCACGCTGACCCAGCGGGCTCGCCTCGGATCCTCCTCTGCTGGTTTGCCCAGCGTTCCCGTTCAGCACGGGACATGTCTACGAGGCGGTCATTAACCAAGCGACGCGGACGGACATGTCCCGTGAAGAAATCTTTGATCCAGATGCGCGGGCGCTCAGGATGCTCAGTACGCGAGTAGGCGTAACAGGGAGGAGGCTGGATAACCTCGCCGTTGGGAACGTCGGAGTAAGTGGCCTCCATCCAGGCTATCGCCTGGCTGCGAAGGGTTTCCTCCGAGGGCGGAGGGACATCAGGGGCTTGGAGGATTTCCTGGACGTCATCGTCGTCCTCGGTGGCGTCTTGGGTGTTTGAGGAAACGCTGTCGGATAAAGCCGTGTTGGATGACATGTCGTTCGAACCCGAAGCCTGCGACAACTCGGTGTTGTCAACGTGAGAGGAAGTGTCCTGAGTTGAATGTTCCACGTCGGTATTGTTGTGAACACCCTCATCACCGTCTTCGCTCTCGGGAATATGGTCTGATTGTGCACTGGTGGAGGGGCCAGGAGAATCAGGAGGCGAGGACTGATCGTTGTTGTCGGGCATCCAGATCAGGTCGACCCTGGCCTCCAGAGAGTCTGCCAGGGTCGGGAAACCAGCAGTGGGCGCCATGATGTTGAATGAAATAGTCCTGTTGTGTTTGTTAGAGAACTGGTATATAAAGCTATTAATGAGGTGGTGAGTGTATTACTCTTTTGTTTGAGAGCCGAGTGAATGTGTTTGTCTGCGGGGCAAGTCCCTCGTGCGGCGCGAGAAACTCCCGGTCGTCAAGGCGATAGTAACGCTTGTTGAAGTAGCTAAGCTACGAGGAATGTATGCGAAGAGACGATAGAATGTCTCGTCAACGTCTAGGAGGTGGTATGTAGATTGAGAGTGGGTGTGCTGCGTCTATAGGGAGAACTTGCAGAGCGTGGTGTTGCAGAGGGGAAGAAAAAACCCAAAGGGAGTGGGTTGGAAAGCAAATTTATGTGGGCGGTCCTTAGGGCTTGGGCTCCAAGACCAACCAAGGCAACAACATCGGGCGGTCAGGCCGTAGATACAAGTGAATTGTGGTTACAAGTGTCCCGCCGTGGGGCGTCTGCCGTGTGCGGGACGTGTTGTTTTCAGCCTCGCCCGGCCGAGGTTTTTGGTGAATTGTGGTCAAAGTCCAAAGAACAGATGACGTTTCATCTTGCCTTTTGGACTTTAATTGACAGACATGACCAGTTTTGTCCAATGCAGAGGAAAAGCAGCAAGGCAAAAATACGGTTTCGAGAGGAACTACCTCAAACATAACAAGGAAAAGGGGTACGAAAGCTACCAGTAGGTAGAAACTAATCATAAAAAGCGCTTGCCAGATTGCAACAACCTGGAACTAGAGGAAAAGTTGAATAGCAGATAAACCCATGACTCCTGCGAAGGTCATATTGCTTTGCAATAGCACAACATCAAATCCCAATGACTCGTCTTTACTTCCATCTCCCCAGAAGCCTGTTCCCACTCCGCCTACTCCGCCGGCTCTCCCCTATCCCTCCTCTCCCTATTCAGCTTCCTCTCCCGCTCAGCCAGGGACAAACTCACGAGGAGATCATTAGTCATCCGTCGTGGGCGTACCCGGCCAGTGGTGAAGTCCTTGATCCAGGCACGAGGACGATTTGGCCCGAATCGGGAATAGCTGTACCAAGTCGGAGGAACGACTACGATACCATTCGGTTTATCACTGTGGGTGAACTCCATCCAATCCACGGCTCTGTGGCGAAGTTCCTCTTCACTGAATCCCACCAGGCTGTGCTCTTCAACGCTGTGGTAGGTTCCGTCAGGCACGGGGTTGTTCTGGTTCTCCAGCCATGTGTAGATGGCTCTTGCTTGCGAGGCGCTGAGGTCTCCGTGGCAGGGCACAGACGCGTGGCTTTCGACGGTGGTGTTTGCGGTTTGGTTCGTCGGGTTTTTGTTGTTTTGTTTGGCCGTGTTTTGCTCACTGTCTTCCTGATATTCGGTGCCGTCGAAAGGAGACGAAAGCTTGTCATCGGAAAGAGCTACGTTGTCCGTATGCTTTTCTTGTTCGTCCTGGGGATTGATCTGGTCGGTTGCTTGTCGATGGGGGGCGTGGTCGGGTTCTTGATTTGCATCGTGGGCAACCGTTGCCTTCAAGGGAGAAGTGCCAACCGGGGTCTGGTACGACATGTTGATGGCTGGATGTTGTCTGAGGTGTGGGTTAGACTTCATTATGTATATAAATGGTAAGGAAAAGGGAACCTATCATACAATTGGTACTGTTCATTCAAAGGTACCGTTGGTGATGAAAATGTTCCTAGACTCCCTGACGAGAGTTTGTCAGAAAGATGGGGTTCTTGTATGCAGTTTCTTCGGTTCGCTACGATGCCTAGAACGCATCACAAAGGGATGCCGACAAAAATGGCGCAGCCTTACTGTTTTGAGTCGATCTGTTCAACGAGGAGAACGAAAACGGGTGATAAAGAAAAGAATAGCGAGAGCGAGTGAAGCAAGGGATCGCGAAGGCGAGGTCCAAGGCGATGATGTAAAGTATATCTAGCGATGGAGGCTCACTGGCGCAGAAGACCCGGAAAATATCATTAATCGGAATCTGGGGAGCAAGAAAACCGTGCCATCAAGAAAACCGTCACAGAACGGCGAGATCCGTGATCCTCAAAATAACCGTTCAGCTCAAAATAACCGTTGCAGCCGGATTCCTAGGCTCTGATTGGCTGAAAGAAAATTGGGGCGCCATGTGCGTTGGACGGGAGTTTAAGAGTCTTGGTGGGACTCCTTTTTGGGAAGGGACGATGGAAAAAAGAAGGTTAGGAAGGTGTAATGGGAAAAAGAATGGGGAGAGGAGGTGGAAGGAAAGAGAAGTAGAGAGAAGCAGAGAGAAATGGAGTTCAAAATGCCAAAGTCCCATCGACTCCCCAACTCTCCCAACATCAACCTTCTCACCAACACCAACATCAATACATCACCAACAACAACAGCGACGGCCATCACATCCCTAGGTACGGCTGCATCCCCATTTCAATTCGTCAACTAACCTCCATTATTGAAATGCAGGCTCAATTGAAACGATAGCGATAACGAGAGCGACAACGACGGCGACGGCGACGGCCATACAAAGTGGTGCAGTGGTGGTGAACTTGGTGGTTTGGACTTGGGCGGGCGACGAAGTTTGGAAGGCGACGAGGTCTTGGGAGGGCGACGAGATCTTGGGAAGGTACCGAGGTCTTGATTACCTTACCCTTGGAAAAGAACCTCGTGGAGTAGTTTCGTAGTGTAGAGTAGAAAAAAGGCAAGAGCACCCATTCCTAGATTCCAGCTAGCCAATCAGAGCCCAGGGATCCGCCTGTAACGGTTATTCTGAGTTGAATGGTTTCTCTGAGGTGTGCGGTTATTTTGAAAGATGGTGTTTGCTTACATTCAACCGTACTATGAGAGTACCGTGATATAGACCCCCAGGTTCCCATTAATGATGAAGAGCGCGCTGGTGTTGGTGAAATTGGGTATTAGGGTGCGAGGAGTGGCGAGGGGAACAAGGGTAGAGAAGTGGAAGCGAGTATGTTGTGCGCCCGGTGACTGGAAAGACGACCTAACTTCATCCGAACTGTCCACAAGGCGATAGGTCATGTTATTTCGCCGTCAGCCGGCACCAGCCCGACAACCAAACCGCCAAGCCCAAATCACCGGTGAATGGTGTATTGCACTGGCATTTTCAAGTGCGCGTCTTCCTTTGACCGTCAAGATTCGACCACTCCGCAAGGGATCTCTGAATTATCAACAGACTCGCATACTTCGCGTCACTTGTTTCCCGCTATCGCAACTCGCACAATGCCCTCCACCCCCAAATCCACAGGCAAGCGAAGAAGAAAGATAACAGGAGAAAGATGATAGATGTCGCCGGGCCGAGCAAAAGACGAAGCCTCAGGACTACTTCGCGTGTTGGAGGTGTGAGTCTCGATCCGTCTGGTAGACCCTTGTGCGTATGCCAGGTGGACTCAGAGGTAGATGGTTCCTCCGTTGTGGATTCCCGTCCCAGTCCTGCCCATCCGCGGCCCCGTCATGTTGGCCACCCCGTTCTCTTGGAGGTCTGGGACCTCAACCTTGCGACTTAAGAACGGCGGTATTCCCAATGCATCCAAGGCTCTCAGGCTCAAACATATAGCCTACAAGACGTTCGTTTGTAACGTTTGCGACCCAAACCATGCTTTCGGGAGTAATAGCGACCTGGTCCAAGACCGAAAGAAGCAGAAGCATAAGAGAAATATGCAGAAGCTTGAGGAGCTGCGCCGAGATACCCGGAATACAGTTAGTATTCTCGTGGAGGAGGCGGTTGGCCACAAGGCCAGCCTGTCGTATCGGATGCCCATTCCTGTGGAGGAGGGGGTTCGCCGCAAGGATGGATGGTATGGATGAGGTCCAAATGCCACTGCCGGTTACGAAAGTACTGAGTGACCCAGTAAGCCTCGAGTATATACAGCGGCATCCGTGGCTGGTGGCTTGCCGTTTGTGGCGGTGGAGGAGGGACTTCGTCAGCCATCGTGCTTTCTTTGGTGGTTGTTGGCATCTGCTATCGAGTCTCAGTATTGGGCTTTTGAGAAGGAAGTTCATGGAAACGGAGCGTGGGCTGAAGGGAAGGAGAAAATGTATGTGTGGGTTGGAATCTAAGAATATTTGTCTAACAAGTAGTCGTTAATCGGCTTGGGGTCTGGACGTTCTTATAGGAAGGAAATAAAGAGAGAATACATCTCCGTTCAGTCATGGTAATACCGTGAGTCAAACTTGTCAAACAGCTTGATGTGACTCTTTCACCCCTAAGCTGGCCCGTTTGGTATAACATGATTATCATGCTTGTGTTGTCGGCTTTGGTCCTTTGTCCGACGCCTCCAAACCAGGAATCTGGCTAAGGATGTGTCAGTATTAGAGAATCAAGGAGTGGATGGATGCGAATAGATGCCCATGAGGATCCACGCTCCAATCGTACTCCGGTTGTTGTTGTGGAGCGGGCTGTGCCGGAGCACCTCACAGCCGTCGTAAAAATCTGCACCGTGGCAGGCTTCGAACCGTCTGGACTGGCAGGGAGGGTGCACAACCTGGACGATTGCCAGAGCTTCTGCAATTTGGATCTCTGTGTCAAATCTGAACGCCATGCCGTCTGGGCTCGCTTGCCATGATCCTCGGTGTTCGGTGACATCTCAGTAAAGACGACCGCTGGGAAGGGTCTGTCTTCACTTCTTGGTCGTTGTTGTTAGTAGTGATGAATCTGCGACGCTTGGGATGTTGCGCTTATGGCCATCGATGATTGGGTAAACTTTATATCTTTCGAGTCTTCTTACGACACTGACTTAGAAGACGAAGGCTTCAAGGAATCGGAAGAATCATGCCTCAACACCGCACCCTTCGACACCAACGACGAGTACGATAGTTCTACCTTCTTGGAATGGTGTGCCCTAAAAAGGACGTAAAAACCGAGGAACCGAAGAAGAGTAGGTGCCAAAAGAAGGTTTGCTTGATGTCAATCGATGTCGAACAGCTCATCTTTTGACATGTAATAAGTTCAAACAGTGAGATGACAGATATGGATAGGGCAAACAGGAAGTTTGAAAATATGTACAACAGTTCGAGAGCTTTGTCTATGAATGGGACAAAGGACGTGAGATGACCAATGGGCCAAACCAACAGAAAACTACAAGAAATAGAACAGGATGCTTGCCCATGGGACACTATCAAGACCTTGCTTGATAGGCAGCATAATGTTTTCCGGACCGCCTCGTAGCCTTGCTACTTGGACCAGTTCTGTTCATTCCTTCGGGAACAAACAGGCACTTCTCTCTGACCAACCCCCCCCTCCACCCCCCTCTGATTCACCTACCCAGGCTCATCGCCTCTCCCACCCCCTCGCTCACCCTTCGCCCCTCCCTGGCACTTCTCCGTCTCCTACTCGGTGTCCTCATCGTCATACCCTCCCATTCCATGCTCCCTCGCCCACTTCTCCCTCTGGGCAACGCTCATCTCGGCCAGCCGGTCATTAACCAACTGACGCGGGCGAACTTTACCCGAGAAGAAGTCCTTGATCCACACCCTAGGACGGGGCGGATCGAAGCGGGTAGCGATGTACCACGGCGGAGGATAGACAACAGTGCCCTTGGGATCAGCCTTGGAGTTGTCCTCCATCCGGCGGATGGCTTCGCGTCGGAGCTCCGGCTCGGGCAGGGAGTTGTAATAGTCGATGTCACACATGGCGATGTAATATTCCTCCTCGTTGCGACTGGGGCTTCGATGAGAAGGAGATTTTTTGGTGACGGAGTTGAACTCTTCGTCTTCAGAGTCCAAGTCAAACTCCGAATCGGAGAGTAAGTCGTCGATGTCACTTGTCGACAGGTCGGGTTCGACTGGGGCTAAAATGGGTCTGCGAGTGTTTCTTTCGAGGGCGCGCTCAAGGTCATCGGCGACGTGAAGATGATTGCCGGCTGTGTCTTCGGACTCAATGTCCATGGGGTCAGACACCGTTCCTTCACCTTCCGACTCCTCGTCTTCGTGCTCTGACTCGACGATTTTCTCTGCCGACGTGGTATGCTGGTTTGGAGGAGAAGAGTCGCCGGGCTTATCTGCGGGCTCTTTGCGCTCGACGGTCCTCTGACGCTTGTGGTTGCGGGATTGCGGGAAGTCGGTGGTGTCAGAGAAGGGGGACCTCCTCTTCGATGGAACGCGAGGAGTAGTAGGAGGGTTGACTTCCATTTTAACGGCGCGGGGAGTTGATGCCTACAGTGACTGTTACCGGCAATTCAGTATCTCAAACGACTTTGAAAGATGCTGATGGTACCTTTGAGATCCAGTCTATGATGCCAGACTTTGACAAGGAGAAAGCTCGTGTGAAGATGACGACGACGCTAGACGGGGCGACAAGAGCGACGCAACAAAGAACAAGGGCGACGACGGCAACCTGAACGCTGAGAAGGCGCTGATAAAGAGGGGCATAAAAGGGCTCTCAACAATTCTGCTGAGTTGGCTGCGACAACTGGTGAAGATTGTTGTGGTGAGGAGGAAGAACAGAGGGGTGCGACAGATTTCCGGGCGCGATCAAGTGGCAGAAAGAATTGTCCTTTGTGCGGGGCCCAAGTGAAAGGGTTTTTACCTCTGGGGTTGCCAGGAAACGACGCGGTCAAGTGATTACCGTCAGTGAAGGGTGCCTTCCAGAGTTGCAAACCTGAAAAGGAAGGAACGGTAACTTTCGACACGTGCCCACTCGTAACCAGAACCTTGAGAGGCATCAGTGCATGTATCAGATAGGCACGAGAAAGGACGTACCAAAGATTATAACAATTATCCTTATTCCACATCACCGCATGAACGGCCAAAAGGTCGTCTCTCAACTGATTCCTATGGGTCGTTGCTCAAGGTCAGCATTCACTCCCGCGTCATCAACAGTCGCCAAATGGAAAGGCCCGCCATACAAGTCCTTATTGATCTGCTCAGCCTTTTATGAGCTACAGGATTTCCTCTGCGCGTCCTTCAGCCACCCGACATCCCGTACTGCCTGATCCACGGAATGCACTTTCTGATAGACTCGGCGAGATCGAACTCCCCTATCCTGGCGTCTTCCGGAACCATAACGAACTGGACCGGAATCACAACCATCAACTTCCCAGACACCATCCAAACGGCGCGCGCAACATGATTGCTATCCCGTGGTCGGCGGTGGCCAGGAGCTCCTGAACGGGGGATCTCGCCCAGTCCATGGTTCGAGGCTTGGAGCAACGTTCCGTCCTACAACTCTCATCAGTATCGCTCGCGAGGAGCGATAACTGCTCCCCAACCAATCTCCAAAGAAGGATCAGCCCGTATCAGGCAAAGGGATCTGAGGATATTCTTGAGCTCAAGGGCCAAGTTGACGAAATCCGACAAATATTCATCGACAAACATGGAAGCCTCAATTCATGCTGCTTCTCGAACCCCTCAACTTCATGGCCACAAGGCAACGACGACTTCAACATTTGAGACTGGGAGGACGACTGGGAAGATACGTAAGGACATGAACAGAGGCTTGTTCGCTTGGTAGAGAGGAGCATCCTATGACTTCATCAGCGTCTTCATTGAGATTTCCACCTAGAAGAAGGTTTGCCCTGGCATTTACAATCACACTAGTGACTTTTTTCCATCCCTCCTACATCACTCTTCCATCCCTCCTACATCACTCTTCCATCCCTCCTACATCACTCTCCGACCACTCTTCCATCCCTCCTCCAACAATTCCCAAACACTCCCTCTTCACTCCCCCGTAAATCTCCCAGCCCTTTTCCATCCCTATTCCCACCCCCTTCACCCTTCCAGAGAGGAGCATCTGTGTATCGAACCAGTAGGACCAGTCCGAGACCTGGTGCCCTATGGCCCTGTGCCTCGCAAAAGTCCTCCTCTTCACTCATCCCCATCCTCCTCCGCGTCAAACCACCCCCCCTCCGCCTCCGCCTCAAACCACCTCCTTAGCAACTCATCCCCCTCCTCCTGCTGCTGCTGTTGTTGCTGCTGCTGCTGCTGCTGCTGCTGCTGCTGCTGCAGAGATGTCTTGAGCATCATTACCCATTTGATGGGCAAGCTCGCAAGCCTTGTGGCAATTCTGTATGGCCAAGTACTTTTCGTAACTCTTGGGAGTTCGTTGTGGGATTCGGCCATTGCTCTTCGACGATTCGTACCCAGATTCTTTCGTAGTGTACTCCGCCCTGACAAATTCCTCAAGGTCTAGCGCTACCCACAAGAGGGAACCTAGCACCACCCAGAATTGCCACGGGTGCCCTGAATATAGTGTGGGTTCTGAGGGACAGGGACATTGGGTGAAGTTGGTAGGCGCCATTGTTCCTGGGGCATCTGAACGGCTTTTGCTTGGTTCCAGTTGGGCTGGTAGCCCTCCGGGAAATGGGCAACTAGGCCGTTAGGCGCACCCAGATCGTGAGCAGCCTGAACAACGTTGTCAGCGACCTGGGTTAGGTTGTGAGCAGCTTGAGCTTGGTCGCGAGCAGCCTGAGCTAGGTGTTGAGCAACCTCAACTAGGCGATCCAGGTTGTGAGTAGCCTGGGTCGGCGATCGGGTTCCGAAACTCAACGCCGTAGCCTCCCCACGTAGAATGTAAACCGCAGCGCGCCGCCCGCGGGGAGTGATTTGAACAAGGACAATGTAGGCGAAACTAAACCAAGACAGTGTCGGCGGAACTGAGGACGCGAGAAGAGCTGCAAGGCCGGGACAGAAAGTAACCTCGAGACTGGCGAGGAGGCTGGTGATGACTGCCAAACTAGGCAAGAATTGCTGGAAGCGGGGGTTGATCCATTTTCCAGTAGACGCCACTTTCAACTTCAACTTCGACGCTTTGTTGATTCAGACGTTACGGTGGTGTTATTGTATACGATACCTATTCATAATATGTCCCCCCCTCCCATCCCCAGACTTTGTCGTGCACCTCATCAAAGTTCAGAGTCGGATTCGGCTCGAGGGGTACGCGAACTAGCCGAGCGGAAGCTGCCCATATCGGAGTCATCGTCGTCGGATACAGAGGCGCCTGGTTCAGCAGCCTCTATATTATCTACTTTACGCTTGAACAGTTTCTCCCGTAGCTTCTACGGTCCGCGCTGGACGACGCCAAATGTATGCCGATCGCGGGTGATGTGGATGACCGGGTACTTCGTTCCGTCCGTGTCGATTGCCGCATCGTCGGACCAGTTCATGCGATCCCAGACCCTCAACGCTTCCGCCGGGTCGTCTGCGCCCAACGCATCTGCCACAACATCCCTTTCGTCGTGGAGTGCCTTGGTAATGGCCGCCTTAATGTTAGTCCACAAGTTTGTGGCGTCAGCGGGTTTCTCGGGAATGTTGGCGATGAACCGGAGACAATTACGCAATTCGTGGTTCTTCCTGAAGAAGTACACGGCATATTCCTTCAGCTCGTAGTTCTGCTTCTTCAACTCGCGGTTCTCCGCCTCTACGCCGGTCAAATGGTTCAGGGTATCGCCCATGGTTTCCGCGACATTGACAAGTGCCCAAAGCTGGGTACTCAGTTCTTCCACAAGTGTATTGGTGGTGCTGGCCATCGTGCTGTCGGCCGTGTCGGTCATGATGCTGTCGTTCGTCGTCCTCGTCCGTCGCAGTCGATCGTGACTGGAGAGCGAAGAAAGGACCGACGACAGAGACCGGCGATCCGTTCGTAACTTTTGGAGCCGGATCCGCGTAAGAGGGTCGTCCATCTGTAACGTTGGGGGCCGGAGGGGCTGCCGTCAGAATATGGCCCTTCATGTATCTGTAGAATTGGTGCCCTTTGAATATCGGCCAGACGATGATGAACAAGAGAGCCAAACACAAGAAATGGACCAGATGTCGTTGGAGCCGTTGGGGTGAATGTGAATCGTCTGGACACGTCCTCATTGACCTCGTCTTCCCCTTTCTTCTTGAAGACGGCGATAACGTTCACGATGTTGTTGTTGACCTTGAAACCGACTTATTCGAGTCTTTCGACCACTTCAAGTTCGAGGTGGACGATTCCCAGCCGGCTGGGGGCGCACAACACGCAAAGAAAGTCTTTGCAAAATGGAGCCTAGGGAATGAAACTCAAAGTTCCAAGAAGGTCATTCCAAGTTGAACCCGGACGCTCGAGATTTGTCGCGTTGTTCAGCTGGGCCTGGTGGTCTGCGCCGGCCACTCTATCAGAGATTGGAGAATAAGAATGCTGACTTATAAACGTCTTGAGCGTCGTCGCTGTCACTTCCTTTCTCCTTGTTGTCGGCCTCGTACTCCATCTTGATCATCTTGTAGTAGTGGTCCTTCTGGCTGGCGAACTGACCCAGAACAGAGCCAGGATTCGGAGAGTCATGACGGTTGCGATCGTATGCTGGAATCTTGGAGCTCGCTGGCAAACGTGGCAGGGGCGTTTTTCTTGCTCTGACCAAACCGCGGGGGCAAAAAGGGGACGTGAAGGGACGACGAGAACGGAGTGTCCTCGAGGGGTGACGGCGAAGAGGTGATCGGGTTTTGCGTGCACGGTGGGGAAGAGCCTGGAGGGAAATGGCAATTAGCTTGTAGATCAAAGATCATTTGGCTGCTGAGGAGACTGGAGGGCGTTCGAAAGCAATCCTTACCCATTCGCGCTGTGTTAGGTAACACTTAATTAAAAAAGGAGAGTGTCCAAGAACCAAGTTGGGAGGGCCATTTGCCGCGGGGCAGCCCACCCGATTCCGGCAAGTGGGGACCCACGACACTGGCCTCGCCTCGGAGGACAAAAGTTGTAAGCCAGAAGTGGAGATGCAATGTGATGCAAGATGTATTGTGGTCTGTCTGATGACTAAGAGAAGAGAAGAGGAGCATCAATACAGGGGGGGGATGGCCAGGTTTATGTAGGCCTGGGGGCGTATCAATACCTCCTGCCTACCGCATAGAGTACCTGCCCATCATGTACCCTGTACCTGCCTATGCCTCTCATGTGCCTGCCTGTGCGTGCATGCCTTGCAGCTGCTTGCAAAAGTCGAGTCTTTCCGAGAAACTGAGTAACAACCTAGGTGATGCTGGATGCAAAATCATGCATGCAGTTATGCAGTTATGCACACCTACAGAAAACCGCATCAACAATCTCGGTTAACAATCTCAGGGATCACTCCTCAACAGCGTGTCTTATGTCTTTTATCCTTTCTTCATATTCCTTTCAATCATCTGAGCAGGATTAAATCCTACCACAGAAGGTGTACGATTACCGCGCCCCTTCCATCGAAGAAGACGGTCGTGACAATATCTTGGATGTCTGTTACGCCCTTGTCACCCAGTCCGGCACCCTCTACTACCACAGTTGACTCTTGAGAGGGCGATACTTCCAGCAAGCCTCCACCTAGAGACACCCAGCCATCATATGCGACGAACACTCGAGGATCACTGGGAATCATGCTACTGGGATAGCGTCGCTGTACTGAGGGTCGAGCAAGGTACAAGGCAGACAGGATTGAGGAAAAGAAAAGCCAACAGCAAAAAAAAAAGGGGGTAAAAAGGCAAAAAAAATGGTGAAGACAGCGACTTGCCCCGGTTTCGAAACCACTTCCTCGTGCTTTGCCCTGCCACGTGGAGGTCGAGAGCTTTCAGCGCTGGGAATCGCGCAAAAAAGGTCTCTGTGCATGAGAACGATTCTCGGAATCTCAGGTCGCTGGGCAACCTGAGGCAGCCACAACTGCGCTCAGAAACTTGCTGGCACACAAGACTGCCCCACCAAATTTCCCTCCTTCACCTCCACAAACCCCAAGCCGCTTTGTTCGGATTTCGCACTCCAACAACACAAACTCAAACCCAACGGCCGTTTTCTGCTTCGCAGTGCAAGACGCAGCAATGCCGCCTAAGCGCAACACCAGGCAAAAGAGTTTCCCAATTCTCACAGTCACGCGCGGTCGAAGTAATGCGCACCAGTGCATTGCATTCTTGTTGTTCCATAGATACAATGTCGAGCCCGAGGTACTGGAGTTTGATCAGCTTGGTGATAGCCTGAACCATCCTTGAGGCTAGGACGCCCTCTTGGATAGGTGGCTCCTGAGGATAGCCTGAGTCCACTGCCGCGTTCCATGGACAACACTACTACCACTGCGCCATAAGACCCCTCGGGCTCGCCCGCCCCGTCTTCTGTTGTTGGAATTGGGTCCGGTCGAACTAGTATATATACCCCTTTCCCGGGTAAAAGGCTGTTATGATTGATTGGCTGTGATGAGGATTTGGAACACGGCAGCTTGGGACCGAGACGACAGATGGGAAGGAAGAGTGAGTGAAGGGCATATATATATCCAAGTGGAAGGCAAGGGAAGTATGACGGGAAGAATTCGAGACTGTAACTTGGCATGAACTGAATGCCCCGTTTACCATGACCGACGTGCAGAACAAGCTCGCCAAAAACGCATGGCCAGCAACATCACGACCAGCAACCAGCCACATCACAGGCGTGTAACAGTCGCCGACTTCAACGAACTCTTCAGAGAGGAAAATGAGCGAGCCAATCCCGAGATCCCTGCAACGCAAGCTCACTCATCTTCAACGGCACAATCAAGCCGTGGTTTGAATAAGCCTAGCACCGACGCTACCATCATCGACCAACCATTGAGAGAGGAAATCGAGCTAGCTCCTCCTGAGCTCCCTGCCATACTGGCTCCCCCAACATCACTTCAACCAAGCCGTGGTGGAAATGAACGCACCTCGACGCGTTCATCCCATCGTCAAACAAAACCTGCTATGGCGCAACAGTTGGAAGCGTACGCATTCAATGTTATGGCATATGCTATAGCTATCCCGGACACAATCGGAAACAACGTGGTTAAGTTGACCGCGAAACATCCTACAACCACGAGCTTGAATTCTGCGATCGACGAAGGAATCGAGCGGCGAAGTGACCTGGAGCTCACTCCTCAAGAGAAGGAAACCGACAGCGGGGACCAGACGAAAGCACCGAGCAGTTCCTGCTCGTAGGCTTGACCTACTCCCACCCGGATGAACGGTAGCCAACCGTCCCCTCCACGAGAATACTAACTACATTCCGCGTATCTCGGCGCAGCTCTTCCGCTGGCCTCGGAACCCAAGAGACCACAGCCAGGACTCCCTCTGAGCGGTTGGGGCGTCTGGAGCGGCGGCAGGAGGGGTTATCAGTCAGTCGGTTAATTGGCAGATGTGGGCACGGCGTTCCGCTGGGGAGCTGGAGCGGGAGCGGCGCCGGCAACGCGCTGGACGGCAGGAACTGGTTGAGCCGGGACTTGGAATTGCCGGGCTATGGCTTGGAGCGAAAAGTGGACGACTCCTGCGTCGTAGAACGCGACGCTCATCATCGCGTTTCCGACGCTTGCGGCCGAGCCCATGATGTTGCCGAGCGTCGGCAGGAATGCTGGGCGCTCATCGAAAGGCCTCATGTGGTCCCGGAGGACCGCAAACTGCTCGATGCGTGTATGGCACGGTTCACGACAATCGGCGCCCACTCGCACCTTTCGGTTGTGGTTCTCTTTGTCGGTGGGAACTCTTTTCGTTCCGATCCGTGATTGTGTTGGACCGAGACATGGGCATTTCCAGCTCGGTCTTTCGTGGCCGGTGTTGCCCGCTGAGAGGGTTACCAAGCTCTACGACGACGGCCAAGCAAATGCCCGGCGCCACGACAAGCTTCGACAACGGGAGGACCGGGACTCAGCCGCCCTAAAAGCTTCAACAGCGAGGTCCAACGAAAAGTGGAACCCCGTTGAGATGGAAAGGCGAAAGCTTGTGAAAGCTGCTCGCGTCTTCTTTTGCGGAACTTGCTCCCTCTCGTTTGCGACCCAATGGCACTTCGACAACCACAACAAGAAGCCGCGCCACAAAGCAAAGGTGGCGGCCAAACTGGCTTCATGTTGACATGGAATATACAGAGCTGGGCTCTGGTGTCGTAGTACACTCTTCCGCTGACCGAGCTGGTTGTTCTGGAGATATTTGACTATAACCTCCAGGAACTGGCACAAAGGATCAGCGCCGACGCGCCATACAAACTCCATACCACCGCATCTGCCAACCGGTTTGGGGAACGGAAAGGCCAGATGGATATTTTCATACAAACGCCAACTACGACAGCGACCACCCCTTTTGAGTATAAGCACGTTCTTGTTGTCGGAGAGCACAAGAGATCATATAACCCAGAAGCAACAACCTGTTCCTGGAAGCGCGGAGGACCCTCAAGGCCGTCGACGATCTATCAGACGTCGACAAGCTCAGAGCATTGATCGACAACCCCCCCCGCCTCGAAAACTCCATGCAGAACCTAGCTGTCTTCCAACAGCTGGGCAGGACTTTCCTGGAACTTTCGAGGCGGAAGAAACTCACTAGGAGCCAGCGGGACTGGCTGAATCGGCAAGGCGCGCAGCAGCTGTCCGCCCTGCGATTCAAAATGTCGATTCCAGCTTTGCAGTCGGCAATTGCGGTTTTGTACGGACAGCTCATAGAGCCTACTCAACACGGCGTCGTCTGCCGGTTTATTTCACCAGTCGACAGCAGCACGCTGTCCCCTGTGGACCAAATCCACCCCGTTTTCTTCCGCAGCGGAGAACTGGAACGTTACATGCAGCGCGACGAGAATAGCGAGGTCCACGAGAAACTTGTCCAGCGTCTCAAGGAGAGTGCGTCTGCCGACTAGGAGCGGTTAGGGTACGAAACCGAGGAGTGCGATGAAGATAGGGCCGAGTGGGATCGACAAGCCACAGAACACCAGAAGCGCGGTTTTATCGTGACTCAGTTGCAGAAGCGCGGTCACCCACTCGCAGGTTCAAGGGGGGGTTTCCTGCAACTCACCCGTCATGTACGAAGTGTTTTCGCTGACCAGCCGACCAGTCGATTCGTTCGTTCACGCCTTCTCCCTCTGCGCCTCCAAGATGGAGCTCTGGATCTTCGATCGGGCTGGGGCGTATAGTTCAGGCCCTTTCGACATTCACGAAAAGCCGGCACAAGGAGAGAGTTAGGCGTGCAACTCAAGGAGCAAGCCCAGCGCGTGATGACTACCGAGATCGAGCCCTCTCGGCCTTGGAATGAATCAGCACTCTGTAACAGCCGCATGCCTTCCAGCTCCGGGAAGCATTTCAAGATCCTGTTGCCATACTCCACGTTCGGCTTGTGGGCAGATATGACGACAAAGTCCTTTGGGGACACGCTCCATTTAGCAACTTGAAACTCCATCCCGAAATCACCCTTCACCCAACCACCTGAAGACTTTCACATATGAGAGACATATGTCTAGAAGTTGACAAACGGGAGCAACTCTGCGTCCGACTCGGACTCGTCCTCGATGATGGCCTGCCGGTACACTTGACAAAGTCTGAGAGCAGCTCTAGGGCGCCCTTGACCTGCATCCGGTTGAGCTTGGACGTTCCGACCGAGTAGACCTTTGTGTTCGGCATATGGAAGAACACGGGTAAGAGGCTACCTGCCGGGCTCCGAGCCAAGGGTTGCTTGAAGTGGCGGCTGGCGAGGTATTTTTCGAAAGCCACGCCCACGGCATGGCTATCGTTGGACGGATCAGACCACGCGCCGAGGAAGCTTGGCCGGGATGCTTCCAAATGCTGAGATAGGCCACCAACGCTTCGCGAAGATGTGGAGGTAGATCATCGTGGTGGACTCAAAACTTGGAGGAAGGTCTAAGAGAAAAGTTGGGGAGGAAAAAGGAAAAGAAAGAAGAAAAAGAGAAGTTGGGACGAGACGCAGGAACAAAGGAGCAAAGAAGTTGTCGTCGAGATCGGCGAAGTAGGACACTGTCGAAGAACAAGCTCGTATTCTGTGATGGTAAGTGTTGGCGGGTTCTGAATGTTTGCCGCATAGGTAGGTACCTTAGTAAGAATCTGCTGACAATCCATACATGGAAGACAAAGTTGCTTCCGGCCTCACCAACGATTCAAGCTTTCAGAATTTCATGTTCAAAGAATGTTAGAAGTATCGCAAACACCAGATCAGACATTAAGCAGCGAAGGTCAGTAACAGACAGCAACTCCGGGAACATATTATCACGCTTGGGTTGTAGTTGTGTCATTCTTCGGATGAAATCTGATTCAGAGGAAACATCGTCCAAACTAATTCCAACAATATCTACAGCAGAAGAACTTTCATCCTAGTAGGAAATTCTCTTGTCAAAGAGAAATGAGATGGCGTATCTTGCGGATATCTCACTATCAAACATCACAATTACTTCCTCACCTGTTCGTCTCAACATGGTCGGGAACGTTGGGGGCCGGAGGGGCTGCCGTCAGAATATGGCCCTTCATATATCTGTAGAATTGGTGCCCTTTGAATATCGGCTAGACGATGATGAATAAGAGAGGCAAATACAAGAAATGGACCAGATGTCGTTGGAGCCGTTGGGGTGAGAGGTACCTTACCTAGGTACCTACAAGCGATCCCCTTTGGGTCGATTACGTTGAAGGATCCAGAATGCTGGATATCATGATTGAGAGAGCCGAGCGAGCCGAGTTTGAGAAGGAAATTCCCTTTCTTTCTCCGTCATCGACGACTTAGGGTCGAGCTCAGAGTCCCGGATGGCCTTCGCGGCTTGGACAAGGTTGCGGCCGGGGACGAGGCGGCGTCCCTTCGGGTACTTCTCGGTCTTCTTGCCCCTCTTGCACTTGCGACAAGTGCCTCTGGTCTTGACTAGCCTGAGGGTTAGACACGACGACGAAGAGAGACGCAGGAGAGACCTACACGGATCCGAGAAGCAACGGGCAGCATCGAAGCCACTGCAGAAAGACTTGTGGGAGAGGGCGACGCGAGGAACAGTACGGTGCAAGGCGCGGATGCACAGGACGCACCAGACGTTGTCGCTGGGGATCCGATAGTGGGCCGTGGAGGTGTTGCTCTTCTCACGCTCCTGCTCCTTCTGCTCGTCCAGGAACTGCTGACAGTAGCGGAGGGTTTTCAGCCGGCTGCGGTACGGTTTTTCCCACCGACTTGTAAGAACGGAAGCAGCACCGCATACCCACTGGGTGGACTACATAGGTAGTTAGTTAGCGTGTGTAAGACCAATAATAATTTCTCCGTCATCGGCGCCCGTAGCCCGGGTCTTGAACGACCTGCAATGGACCATTTGTGAGGTCGGACACCTTGTATCCAAGCAGCATGCGAACACAGTCCCCCATATAACAACGATGATGCGTTCGATCTCCCGTTACGTCCAAGTAACGGCCCCAACAACACTGACCAAACACTTCGGCGTTGTGGGAAACAATCTCTGATCTGGAACTTCATTTCGACCCAGGCTTAGTTACCATTTTACAAGCCACACAATCATCAGCACTGAGCACCCTTCAATCGTTAGTCGACTAGAAATTGACGGATGGGAATGTGTGGGCTGTTTATCTACTACAATCTTAGAGAAGCCAAATGAGCTGCCGCTCCTTTATGTTGGTTCTCACAAGACAAACTACAAAGAGATGCAGACACAAACGGAGGCCAACGAGAAGATGCAGGAAATGCATTTGACCATCGACGAGTTACAGAAGACGATTCTAAGATGCGGATCACGAAGGAGCTAAACGAGCTACGCCGCCGACAGGCGAATCTAGAACAACATAGGTACCTCCTCAACGGAGAATGTCAGACAACTCCTCGCCGCAGTCATTAACACGCAAACCTTTATTTGCGATGTTTGCCCGGGTTTAACTTGGGCCAAACAAACCGAACGGGATGCACACCGCCGCAAATCTCACTTGCACCACGTGCGTGCTGCCGCCGCGGCCGGACTTCCGCCGCCGCCTACTCCCCATGTCCAGCCCAACCTCCCTGAAGCGGTCTCTGATCTTCTAGAGGGTCTTCGGGAGTTCGAGCCGTCGTTCCCCAGGGGCGAGCGCTTGATTCGAACGTTCAAGGTTGAACAAGATGAAGAGGGACGTAACTTCGAGGTCTTCTATACCAAACGTACAGACGGCACTCTCGTCAACAGCCATAAGGTTCCCGTCAACCCTCTGCAGCATATCCTGGAATGGGCAGAACCCGCCGCCGATTTCCTCGAGTCGCCGTCGCCTCCGCGTACGCCCGCCCCCCCTCTGAATGATGAAGAAGTAAGTTGGCTCTATTGTACTACTCATATGCTGAACTTGTGTTAACTTGATGCAGGATAGCGACCTGACGGACATCCATGTTGGTTGTGGCTTGCCCACCAGGATATGCCAACTGCAGAGGAGAACCCTTTCCACCATCGGGCTGTATACATCCCCAGAGGTTGGTATCGTCATGAGGACCCCGACCTTGTCGACTTGGTCAATGGGGAACCATGGAATGGCAACATAGAAAACCCAGGATGGATTGGCCTTTGTGTCGGTTGCGCGCGTCCGGAGACTTTTGGCTCTCTTGGCGAAGCCTATTTGGAGGAAACCTTGCCCCGCGATGTCAAGCGTTGTATAATAATGGCTCACGACGAGTAGATTGACGTGGCAAGACATGGAAGAAAGGGTTGCCTGGACAAAGCACACACCAACTTCCTCGGCCTTGTTGCATTTGACGATGATGAACTGGCTGATACCGATCACGGAGGCTTGTGGGACCTCAATCGAAGATGAGATTTCACATAGATACCCTTCGCACAAGCAGGGTAGAGGTAAGAAGGATGGGGAACCCCCTTGCTTGTATGTGGGGTGTGAACTTGCGGCGACAATAGCGGTCTCAAGTTTCGTCTTCGGCAACATGTTTTGGGTACATGTACCGGCCAAACCATTCCGAGCAAGATCGTGGTGGCCAAGGAAGAGGGCTTCCATCTTCGCCATCACTTTATGTTGGCTTCCTGTGCTCTCCCTGTGCCCGAAAACCGGGCTCTGGTTCGCTCGGTCGTTTTCGGCCTTGAATCGGCCTTGTCGACGTTGTTCTGGGTAGTAGTAGTTGCCGCAGTAGGAAGGTGTGCTTGTTGTCTTGGGGGAGCAGGTGCCAGAGGACGATGACCTGGAGCCATCGGGATGGGCGGAGGTGCCATGGGAGGTGCCATGGGCCGAAATGGTTCCGGTGCCCGTTCTGGTAGCTCATCGAACTCTTCTTCACGATGTTGGGGTCGAGGTAGCAAAGGTCTCAGCTGGGGAGGGCCTGGCTGATGCTGAGGCCATGCATCCCGAAGAGTGTCCCAGAAGGCCCTACGCAAATTTGGCCACCCTTTGCAATTGGCCAACGAACTAAACAGCTTTCCTGGACCGGGCTATGCAGCCACAATTTGGTATGTTACTGCTTGACCTCTTTTTCGCCCTTTTAGCTTTTGTAGGCTGCACCGTTGCTATAGCACCTGCAGGTCGTTTGGATTGGAGCCTGCAGTCGTGCGCGGCGCCACCGTTTGAGTCTCTGGTTTCGGCGGAAGAGGCGATAGCAGTGCCCATTTCGTCGATCTTAGTCTCGAGGGCAGTGAGACGTGCGACAAAAAGGCTGCCGAAAAGCATGGAGGCCGCGTCCGGAACCGGAGCGGAGGCACCGGTAGCGACGGGGACATCAGGAGAGCCGGGGACGTCGAGAGCATTAGGAGAGCCGGGGGCATCGTCGTCCTCAATTATAATAGGAGGTATAGGAGCCGCCTTGTAGAGGCGAGCGCGGTGGGCAGGAGCGCGCCAGCCCTCGGTGACCAATTTGCCGATGGTCCAACCCAAAATACCACGGGGAAGGGGGTTCTCCGTGACATCCGCGTGGTTTATATGGTACTTATACTAAACCTCGTACAATTCGGTGGCCGCGACCACGACAATACCTACGCTTGCGGGCGACGACCTCATCGGCGGCGCAATCGTCGAAGCTAGCGAGCGCCCAGGAAGCGAAACTGGCCTACAGCTGCGCTCCGAGGGGCGCTATAGCGACGGGCAAATCGCAAATGCGGGAGTTCTGAGTGCGGTCGCAGGTGGCAGTGGAGCGGGTGCTCTGGTCTGGGACAGGAGCATCCGGATTGGATGTGAATGTATTCCCGGGGTATTGTCCGGTCAAGTCCTCTGCAGATAGAGACACCAGTCTAGTGAAGCAGACTATCTTCGGGGCCGCCTGTCAATTCGCAGGGAGGCCAACGCGGAAGGGCTTTGCGTGATGGGGTGGAGGGACGTTGACCGGCCTGTTGGCCATTTATCCTCCCGTCCATTTGGTTTCTGATACCAGCCGCATTTCCGCGGCCGAAAGCCTCAATATCAATGCCGACTCTGGGTATTCGTTGCAGTATTTCTCCTATGCTTTGCTGATTGCTGAAGGGAAGGCTTCTGAGCAATTCGTCCATCGTATTGTTCCCAGATAGGTTGTAATGGTTGGTCCTTCGTTCAGGTTCCCCTTGTTTGCGGCGTCCAGTTGTTGAACTTTTTGCAAACCCATCGAGTTTACTTGGTTGTTTGATGTCGGGTGCGAAGCGAGGTTTCGCAGTTGCTTCCATGTCTGTGGGTTCATCGTCATTAGCATTGGAGGCATCGCCTGTACTTGATGTACCCGGACCGGAGGCAGCTCCAGATGTGCCGGAAGATGTGCCGGAAAATGTACCGGGTGAAAGTTCCAATCACGCAAACCTACCCCAAGGGACCCGACCCCTATTTGCGCTTCTTGGAAGGACTACCAACAGCCATCTGACCCGAAGCATTACGCTTACGAGGAGAACGCCGATGGGTTGCCCGAGAAGCAGACCCGGAAGCCGAGGTACCCGTAGTACGGTCAGCGCGAGCGGCAGACGCGGTGGGCTCAAAACGAGCATCTACAAAGCTCCGCGGGGAACGACAGCCGGATTGCCGACACGCGGGTAACGGGGCGAGGCCTTGGAGACACTGGGGGAGGCCACAACCGAGGGGGCCTCGGGCCTAGCAGAAGGATGTATTATCGGTATTAGATGTGCCGGAGGCTGCATGGTTGATATTGGGCTGGTCGATGATTTCGGCGGCGATGATTTCTGGGATTTCGGATTCGGCTAGAGCAGCCCGGGCATTCGAGCTTGAATGGGCCATATTGCGTAAGGTATGGAAGAATGTCTGGACAAAGCAGCGGTTAGATAACGTTTACGCAAAAGACCAACTGGTCAGTGAGAAAAATGCGATGGGGATCCGAATATCAATATTCGGTCATACCTTGAACATCCTCCCCAACCCCACCGTCAAATCCCTCCGCGTACTCCTCATCCTCCTCGTACCCCCCTCCATTGTAAAGAGGTTCTCGACCCTTCGAAACATATTGTTGATATCATCTGGGAAGCGCGTTAAAAATCAAAACGTCTTGGGAGGAGTTGGGACGCGTCACAGGTTGGGTGTGGGGACTCGAACTTACCTTGGTAACTAAAGAAGAGGAAAACGAAAGTTTGCGACATCTTGTCGCCGTGATTATAAGTTTGAGCTGAAGCTGTCCAAACCGGCAAATAGTCTCCTCTCAAATTCGTCACAGAGGTTGAAACCGAGACCAAGTTCTCAAAAGAACGTCCTCGTCCTCAGGCTCTGTGCCATACAGATCGTACATCTCCTCCTCAAACAGAGAAATAACACGATCGGAGGCGAGGAGAGCTAGTTCTCATTTGCTCTCGGAGCTTCTACATTCTACGGAAGGCTGAAGATGTACCTTTACCGGACAGCGACCACCACCGGGAGACCATCACTAAACATTTTATCCCCTGGAGCAGACCTCACCAACGGAATAATCGCCCACTACCATAGGTGCAGCTACTGCATTCGTCAGAGCCAAGGCCAACAAAAGTTTTGTAAGCAGCTGCAAGGCATGCAGGCGATGTCGGAAGCAAGGGTCTGCCGAAGCGTGTTAGTTTCGAGGCCGATGTTGCCGAGGATGATGGTGATATCGAGGAGGACAACTACGAGTCCGAGGGTAGCTATGAGAGCGAGCCTGACGATCCCGAGTTGGGCTCTCCCGATGCTCGCGACAGCCCCGGCCCTGAGTAGTTGGTGAGTGGCGTTCGCCCCCTCTACATTGGCGACTTGGTTCCGTTTCGGTTCCGTGGTACTTCTGGGTTGTGTTTGTTGCATGGTCTTTGGTGGTCGAAACTGGTCCTGGTCGGTAGCTTGTCGGCGTCGTCTTGGTGTCGTGTTGGCACCTTCGTGGGATCTCTTCGTATCCGGGTAGTTAGTTCAGGGGTGTCGTAGACGCACTCCCGCCCCCCAAAATCAAAGATCAATCTGAGCTCCCCAGTAGCTCCTAGACAACCCGCGAACTTGAAGCAATACTATTGCGAAAACTGCAATATTCCGTTCGTGAACGCCCAAGCATTAAGCCAACACCAGCGAAGAAGCAAGGGACACAAAGCAAAAGTGGCCGAAAAGGCGACAGTTTGAGTAGGATGTACTCAGGCGCCGCGCATATCCCTATCAACAAGCTTGCGGAGCATGGCGCTGCTCAGAGGGGGAGGGGGCGCGTTCTTCTGGCGCTTGGCAGCGGGGGCGGTCTTGCTGTCGCAATGTCGAGCACTCTATGAATCTTCTTCTTGTCAAGTGGTGAAAGGTAGAGCTTTCCATCCAGCGAAACCAACAGGGCGTGGTACCTAGCTTTCCGATGCATGAATCACGTTGAGGATGGCTTCGAGCCCAGGTGCAAAGGTAAAATCCGCCCAAACCATCGGTTTCTGGGGCTGCACTTCGTTCCCAAACAAGGGCGGGAAGAAATGATGGACTTTAACCATCTTCGTGCTGATCTCCCAAAAAGTCCGGCTGTTGGGTGCCCCTGACCTCTTCAGCAACAGTCACAAGAGGTTGCTCACGCCGCTCCAGGTCCCACCATCTGTCTATGTCAATGGATAACTCGAGCGTCTTGAGCTGGCGTAGGTCCTGGAGCCAATCCAAACTTTTTGACGGTTTTTTCTCCCTTCCTTCCATGCGCATGTTCTCGCGGCGAGTGTTCCATTGTAGCCTGACGTTTTGGGCGTTCGTTCTGAAGAGGGGGGTTCCTTGAATAAGGCGCGTTACGCTCCCATGGTTGCCTTCGAGCCACCCGAGCGGATGAAAAAGGGACGGAGGCCAATCGTACCACAGGTTGTATTGGGCTCGGGGGAAAGCCCCAATTATGAGCCTGGGGCACGACGGCGGCCGGGTTGTTGTTGCCGCGAAAGTTTTAATTCTGGAAGCAGACGAGTTGACGGTTCATGAGCTCCTCTGGAGTAATCGGGAGGAAGCACAAACGACTCAGGCGACGGTGGATGGCGGTGACGAGAATCTGAGCACTGGTACGAAGGTTGGCGGCGAGGTTGCCGGTGTGCTTTAGAACCCCAGTATCGTTGTCCATGTCAGATACTTCATGGTGGGCACCCCAAAGCACTGTTCCGGTAGTGCAAAGTCGGTTCTCGGCCTCCTTCATCTGCTTGTTGAATTCTTTCCCCGGTGCCCGGGGCGTTGCGTCGGGCGGCCACAACCTGCTGCTAAAAGGCGTGGCTGGTGAAGGCAATGTGGCTGAAAGTCACACATGCGTGTGGACTGGCAGGACGAGTACAAGCTGCTGTCTAGCGTAATGGAAGGTGGTCGCTCTCCTTTAGCTTAGCCTCCTCAATGCTAGCTGCCTCGTTCGCCATCTTTTCTCCCACGTTAGGACTGTGGATCTGCAAAGTTTGCGATGACTCCTTAATGGCAGGCTCGGCTGGCTGAGGGGGGAGATCTGAGGTTCCCACAACCTGCAAGACAACTCCCTCCGTGGTTGCCGGAGACGTCATAGTGGGCAGCCCACTCTGGGACAATGGTTACATCCCAAAACAAAGCGGCTTCTAGAAATCCGTACACAGCTTCGGCTAGGGGCGAGTGCCGCGAAGGGTCCTATGCCGGCAAGTGCTTGGCGGCGAAGTCGTGAAAACGTTGGCGGGCCTCGATGATCATCAGGAATAAGGCCTGGAAGACGTGGGGGTGAGCTCTTATCCCAGCGTGGTGGCCTCTCTGGTTTGCTCCATGAAGTAGTCTTCGTAGGTAATCCCACACATTGGAACATTTGACATATCGACGGCATTCGGACGAGGAGCTCCTCGGGGCTTCAATATGTCGACGCTTGATGCTCGAGGCGCTGTTCTAATGATAGGTTCGTCATGACTGCTTCTCTTACCGAGTCTGTCATGGACACAGCAGAGGCATCCGTTGCGTTCAGCTGTCTTCGTTACATAGGAGGAGGTGGTTGTTTGGAGTTCGACATTGTGAGTGGTGATGGCTGTGATGTCGTTCAAGTGCGCTTCACGGTTTCATGGCGGAGTGTCGCCTTGGGGGACATGTTTTTCTCAATTCCGCTGTAGACTTTCCACCTTATGTTTCTTTAATGACAAGTCTCCTGTTCTAGTCTCCTTCCTACTCGTCCTCTTTCGCAGCAGCGGCATCACACTCTCTCCCTGCATAGCCAAACTCCGACCAGATCTTCCGCCGCTGAAAGAGAGCACCGCGAACTTTGCATTGGTCGCCGCCAACTCCCCACGCACCGCCTCCAGTTTTTTGGTGAATTCTCCCATTCTCTGCAGTCAATACATTGCGGATGGTGATAGACATCGGGATGTCGCATTCGTGAAAATCCACGAACCCTTCGAAGGTACTTTGAACTTGTTCAAATACCAAAACACGCCTATCAAAGACACAGCTGTGCTGGGCGTTGTTGGTTATCCCGGAAGCTCCCGCTGCCGTGTTGCTTAGGCTCGAGAAAGCCGAGACGGTGACCATGTTTCTCAACCGGGCCCACGTACCGGCCGATCTGCTCCTGAACAACAGTCTGCACAGTTGACGATGTGCGGGTTCCATAGGTGATTAATGTCAGAGGCCAGGGGATCTACTGGGCGTGCACGTGCCCAGTTGGGCTGGGATATGCGGGATTTATCCAGATGCCAGAGCTTCGAGTCTGCAGAGCCAGTCTTACACACATATATATACAATTAAGCCACGTTGAACCCATATCGATTATTCCCAGTAATATCACAATTAATCGCCCTCTTCTTCACTCTCTCCCTCCCCGTCCTCGTCGCCCTCCTCCTCACACTCCCTCCTTTGACTTCGAGCCCAGCGCTCCCTTCTCGCCAGGGGCATATTAGCGAGGCGATCATTAGTCAGCCGTCGCGGTCTGATATGCCCCCAAACGAAATCTTTGATCCAGACCGCCGGCCTACCAGCCGGACTGGATCGAGTGCGCCGAAAGTAGCTTGGAGGCTGGACAATTGTACCATTTGGAAGGTGACTGTATGTCCGCTCCATCCACGCCACTGCCCGCCTGCGCAGTTCAGGCTCGGCTAAGCCCGTTGGGTCCGTGGCGTAGTCATCGTCGTTTGGTAGGTTCTCTGTGGGTGATTCAATTGAGGGGATGATTTCCTCAATCTCGACGTGAACTTGGGCAGCATGGTTTGCAGCAGGGTGAACCGCATTCTCAGTAGCATGATCGGTGTCATACTGGGGAGCAGAGGGAGCAACTTGCTCGCTGGAATAAGGGACCGCTTGGTCACTGGATCCCTGGAGAGTATGCTCGCGAGAGGAGTGAGCAACTTGCTCGAGGGGAAGCGAAAAATCTTCTTAGGGAGAAGCAGCGCGCTCGGTGGGCAGCTGGGTTGAAAAGTTGTTGTTGTTGGAAGACATTTTGGATCTGTGTGTTGACACTTTGTTAGATCAAAACAGAGAGCCGGGAGACGAGTGAGGTAGTGACTTACTCTTATGTGTGGTATATAGAAGCCGATCTTGATGGTTGCGGTTGTCGCTGGACTACTTTTGGGGTTGCAGTTGAATTGATCGATGCTTGGTTGCGCGAAGCTGGGAGAATGGAAGTGAGCAATTTGGTGTAGAATGAAGGCCGGGAAAGAAAGATTGAGGAGGGGCAAGCCTCGACAAAATTTTAGGCAGCAAGTTCAGACGGAAAAGACGGAAGGTCCAGAGGCGGTCAGGTGCTGACGCGTGAGGAAGGAGCGCAAGACGTGAGTGAATGGTGTTTTGGGGTCCCGAAAAGGGGCACGCGGCAGGCAATCTCTACCACGTTCCAGGTAGGCAAGCCAGTATCGAAGGCATACCGGGAATTCCTAGCCAACAAACCCGTACAACTCCTGGAGAATATTTGCAATAACTGCACTGTCGTTGAATGTCCATCTCCAGCAACAGAGCCGCATACATGAGTCCCATGTCTAGTGGAATCAAGGGTTCGAATCCAATACGTACCTCTACCCGCCCTACGAAAAAGAGTCGTACTCTTATCGAATTTGAATACATCGCTAATTTATTTAAGAAGGCTGCCCTTAAGACGGCCGCCCCTAAGAAAGCTCCTAAGAAGGTTGCCCCTAAGAAAAAGGCTACTCCTAAGAAGGCCGCCCCTAAGAATAAAGGGAAAGGGAAAACGCCTACTCTAGAATTAAAGCCCTCTCTAAAACCTGAAATCGAAGCCGAAGCTACCTCCGTACCCTCCTCCCCGTTTATACGGCTAGCCCTTATTAAACTTTTTGACAATAATAACGAAGATAACGACGACAAAGAAGATGAGGAGGAAGAGGAAGAATAATAGCTCCCTAATCTCCCAGTCCGCTTTACCCCTAAAAAGAAAGCTATTAATATGTTATTCTACTTCTTTAACAATAATAACGAAAATATAATATTCTTAACCCTAGCCCAACCGCGTACTTATAAATAAATCGCGCTACTTCCTAAGCCCGCTCTCCCTTTTTATATTTAGGTAGAATTTATAATTATAGGGTTATACTTTACTACTTTTAAAGTTAAGCCCCCTGCTATTTTAAACCGCAATAATTATAAAAAAATCGAAGTTAAATAAGAGAATAGTAAAATATATAATTAATAATTTAGGACAATTTTACTTAAAGAGGTCCTCCGTTTATAGATAGGGTATATTTAAGAAATTATTACTAACGCGGCCGCCGTTGGGGTTAGGCACTAAGTCATCCTTTATAATATTATATATACTACTAGTATTTATAATAATAACGGGAGGAATAAAGTTACAATTTATATAAAGATTATTATAGCTGCCTAATTTAATAGTAGTAATTGCGATTTTAACAGCGAGGGTATTATAAAGGTATACTTTCGTAATAATACCGTTTAATACTATACTTTTACGCTCGCCTTTACTTTTTACGTTTTCGACCCGCTCGCTATAATATTAACGCCTATCTTTATTATTAATTTAATTACTAATTCGGTTACTAGCGTACCCTCTACCTTTACCCCCTTTTATAATATAGCTAATCCCTTTATAATTACTATATCGTAATTATTATACGCATTTATCACCCCTAAATTTAATATAGGGAGGAGGAATATAATTAATATAATACTAAAGGAGATTAATACATTTAATAAATAAAATTACGAACGAGAAGTACATAGAAAATATAAGTCCCGCGGCACTACGTACTATAAATTCTTTTAAACGTAGAAATATAATACCAAGTACGATTATAAAAATTATAATAAGGGAATTAATTACTAAATATATTACCTCGTTGATAATAATAAAATATATTATAACTTCTCTATTAAAAATACGGGTAAATAAGTAAAAACTATCGCAATTGTGTATATTATCGTACGAAATCCCCCTACTTTAATTATTTAAAAGACAATTATAATAAAGACCGCCGCGGCTAATATTAATTTGAATAGCGGGAGACGTAGCGGTAATAAACTCCTAGTATATATTAATATTATTAATAACGTTAATAGCGGTCATAGTAATACTCGTATAAAATCTATTAATAATCTTTTATAAATAATATTAAAAAGGGAAGAGAAATTACTAGTACTATATTACCCTTTATATTAATTATACCTATACCCGCCATACTAACTAATATATTACCCTCTATATAGCTACCCTTAATACCTAATTCTCCCGCCTTTTCTGTAATGGCATTTGTGGGATGCATCTGTCATTACAACTATATAAGACCACTTGAGCGACCGAATTGCCAGCTTCGGTTACTTGTACCCTTTTGCGGGGACACGGGCTGGTTAGTGTAGTGGTCTGCCAGCACCGTGACATTTTCCTCCTTCTTCTATTATAGCTACTTCTATTATTACTATACCGGTACTAAGTATTATAATAACCCTACTAAGCGCCGCTTCAAACGCGCCATTTAATTATTAAATTACTATATTCTATAATTACCCTATTAATTACGAAATTTTAGTAATTAAATGTAACACTCTACCTTTATCTATTATATTTATATAGGTACCTTCTATTTTATTTTTAATTATATTTCTAGTTCCTCTATTAATTATACCTCCCTTTATTACCGACGAAGATAAATCCCTTCTAATTCCCTCCTCTCCGCTATTACCTCCGCTATATAACTATACCTTAAACGAATTTATTACTAAATTCTTTAAAACGTTTTACTAGGAATATTATTTTAAGAAAATTATAGTAGCAACGTAGGCATCGCAGGCTCTAATTGTATTATAGGAGGTATTTAAAGGATTAAACGCCCCCGCTATAAATATTATAGCGCTTAAAGACTAACTAATTAAATAGTTTATAAAATTGGGTTTTATAATAGAATTCTACACTTCCTTAAAAAGTAGTATTAAAACCTTCCTCAAATAAGAGTAATTAATAATCGCCCAAGTAAATTGCTTCTATAGTATACCTTCTACCTTCTAATTAATAAATTTAATTAAATATTATTATTTCATATTAAACTCTTAATACGGCTTTATAGTATGACCGACCGATACTACCGCCCTCGAATTTAATATTACGAAAATATTTACCTCTCTAATAAGTAATACGACCGCTAATGGTAATATATTAAACGAATTATAACGAATCGATATATAATAAAAGAAGTAAATTATTTTAGCTATAAGGGGGGATTCTACGCTTTCTAGCAATTTCACATACTCTTTTCATTATTATATAAATAAATACACTTCTTGTCGCGGCGGTGGCAGACCACTACGCTAGCCAGCCCGTGTCCCCGCAAAGGATACAAGTAACCGAAGCTGGCAATTCGGTTGCTCAAGTAGTCTTATATAGTTGCGACGGATGACCAGGCTGTCACACTTCTAGTACTTCTAGCGCTTTTAATACTTCTAGCACTTTTAGCACTTCTAATATTTCTAGCACTTCTAGCATTTCTAATGCTAAATTATAATATAAATTATATATTACCCTTTATACTACCTAATTACCCTCCCCATCTACCCTCGCCTAATAACGTTATTAATCTTTTTAAACTCCTCCAATTGGCTAGTAAACAAAATCGCATAGTCTTTATCAATATTATTAATACCCTCTATAATCAATTTCGCATTTTTAAAGTAGCTACGGATTTATTATATTCTATACCTAATACTTTTAATAGTTCGATAGAAGAAGATAAGGAAATCTTTATTAGCTATCCTATCGCTACCCTCGTCGTTATATACCTACTTTATATACTTCTTAAAATTATTAGAGTACGCTTCAATCGAGTTGAATTTTAAAGAATATAGCGGTAAATACTAGAATAATACACCCGTACTAATATACGTATAATAAAACTTATTACGTAAATATTAATTCGCGTTATTTATTATTAAAATATTATTATAATTAAGAAAGGGATTTATTATAGGAAGGAGGCGATTTTTTAATGATTTAATAAACTTTAGAGTATTTATTTATCTCTTAAAAACTAGTATTTCGAATACGCTATTAACTAATATAATTGGGAGAATATAATATTATTTACTATATTTAAAATAATTCGATATTATTATAATAGCACCGTAGGGAACTTAGTTAATATAATAAACTCTATTGCGTCAGTCTATACTAAATTCATCATAAAAGACGAATATCTTTATAATAAATATCGATATTTTTATTATTTATTTTATTACTAACTTAGGCTCCTACTATACCGTTTTGAATGCTAGCTTCTTCTTTTTCCAACGCTCTTAATATAAATAGCGTTGTATAGTCTCGTCTAATACGTATATATCGTACTCGTTAACTACGAAAATATAGATCTCGTCGAAGTATAAGGATAGTTTTAATACTAATAGTTTTATAACCTTCTTTATAACGTTAATTATAATAAATAAACGATAAACGGTTACTATAGTTACGAATATACCTCTATAGCCTATATAAGGAGCTTTCTAATATTTTGGGGGGATTGAGATTATAAGACGGGCTTGCTAATAATATTAAAATTTCGTTTATATCGATATACTATACGTACGCTCACGCCAGCGGCCGTTGTAATATCATCAATATACTCGTCATTATAGAGTATTAGATTTACGACAGCTCGTTAGCTTACGTTAGGAACCTTTACTATGTTGTACGATGAAAAGATTAGTAAAGACAATAAAAATGCTAAATAAAACGATGGCTAATATACCAATATTGAAATGCTGGCTTTTTGGTGCAGATTTCAATAATTTACAATGCGATGTGGTTAATTTGCGTTGATTAAAACGGTTAAATCTAGTCAATCTATCAAATCTATATTCAAGTCGGTGTTGTGGCCAGCTCAACCCAACTAGCGTGCCAAGACTGTCAAGGCGTTTGAGGGTGGGAATGGTGTTGGCCGGTTCCGGAATGACGAGTGTCGGCGGGGCAGTGGTCGGTGGTAGGCGCCGCGGGTAGGCGCCAACGACCGACATCTGCATAGCAAGTTGCCTCTTTCCGAACTTAACCCGCCCAAGCCCAACGGAATCCCGACAATCGATGCGAGATGCGATCAAGGCGCACCAATCTCTCCAAACAACATCATCATCACGGACCCCGAAATCGCAGATGGCTTCAAGGGCATGCTGATCGACCTTGATATGGCCAAGGTTCGAGATGACAGCCCGAGCGGAGCGCGACAAATAACTGGACTCCAACTACCTTGCAGACAAGGGCTGCAAGGTACAAATTCACTGGATGCCTCGGTGCTCCACATTGAGCGCGGTTATCGCCGACCATGCCGCCGGGCTGTAGGGACAAGAGACCACCATCTACAGCCAAGAAGATTTGCTTCCCGAAAAGAGAGATGGAATTATGGACAAACTCCACCAGGAGGTCAGAGATGCTGCCCGTATAAGTTTCAGCCTGCCCCCGGACGACCCTAAGGATGAACGCCCTACCAAAAGGCGGAAGACTGTTGAGCCAAGGCACGAACGACACTACGAAAAAAATACGAAGAATACTGGCGTACCTCAAGTCGGACGCGCCCGTCTCTTGCTGAGACACCGTATTCTCCCAACGCTGAACCCCACCCGCTAGCAGGGTGGCATTGAAGTTGGTGAGTTGCAAGAGTCCTCGATGGTCGGTGGTGTGGGAATAGAGGTACGAGAAAAAGGGGCGTTTGCCCAAGCCGCTGTCCTCGTCACACCCTTTGAGAGCACTTGGGCAGTGTCCTACTTCGCCGATCTTGATGACAGCTTCTTTGCCAAGCATCCACATCATACTGCTGGGATCGTAGGTCGCGCCGAAGTAGGCGTCGAACAATTGCCCCATAGGTCTCGATCTCAATCTCAACGCCAACTCTTTTGTGTTTGGCCACTGCCCACAACAAGAAGACCGCTGCCCCCAATGCCCGCTCTCTTGAGAGCTTTCTTGTCCCCCAAGCTCCGGCTCAGACTGAGGCCCAGCTCGTTCGCGCTTCTTCGCCTCAAGGAGTAGAATGTTTAAGTCTCTGGAAAACCCACTTTCATACCTCGATTTTTGAGGTAGAGTGTAAGTGAGTACGCACTCTGGTAGGCGAGTGGTGCCTCGAGGCGTCGGAACAGAACACGGTGGTATTTGCCGGCAATCGCCCACTTCAAATCAAGCAACACCTTCCCACTGCGACATCACTCTGGGAAACATACTTTGACTTGGAGTTGAATTTCGACAAAAACCTCAAAACAATCCTCCAATCACCAAACCCTCCAACCTTGGCTGCTCTAAAGTTGTTGACGGAATTTGCTTGTAAGGACGAATACGCTTTTTCGATCTACCTTTTGATCCTTGAAAAGCCAAAGCAACTACCATTGATTTATATTAGTAGCGGAATCAATAAAACCACAGGCACACACGACAGGTTCCAAGATTACGACAAGGGTGAACAGCTTTCCACACTAACAACAATCGCATACCAAAAGGGCTATCAAATTACGCACAAGAAAATTCTGGTATCAGCACCATGCCCTACAACAACTCCTTCTTCAATTCTATCTGCTCGTGGATTGTTTTCCTCATTGACCGTGTCGTAGGCCCAGTTGTTGGCGACGACTCCTTTCAGAGGCCCGATGATGTTCTTCGCCTTGATAGGCTTTGTGGCCGCGGGTTCGACGGTAAGTTCGTCGAGCTTGCGCTTTGTGGCAGACTTGGGAGCAGTGACCTCCGACTCGGGTTTGGTTGTGGCAGCCTTGGGTGCAGGAATTTCGCTTGGTTCTTGAAACTGCGTTGATATATAGATTATACGCATCCAAGGATAGAGAAACTATCCATACTACGTTGACGAACAACCAATGGAGCGGCTCGTCGGTACCCTATGAGGGCACGACATCGGGCTCTGGCGCCAACAGAGCAGACCACGCGACGTGATGGTATAGCCCTTTTTCAGAGCCGCCGACACGCCGGAAGGAATGCGGCTTTACCGAAAAGGTCTCGGTCGTTGCACGGAAATCCAAACATATATTGGATACAACGGCAAAGAGATGCAACTGGTGATCCGACTGTACAATGCCGCGCTGCCTCGAAGGTAGTCATCCCATCGCAATACATTGCGGATGGTGATAGACATCGGGATGTCGCATTCGTGAAAGTCCACGAACCCTTCGAAGGTAATTTGAACTTGTTCAAATAAGAACCCCTGGGGGAGGAGAAGGCAATCGAGGCCATGGCTTTCCCTCGCTTCTGATACTGACATTGTCATTTCTCAGTTCTATCACTCATGTCGAAACCTGTTATCACACCGTCGTGAAAATTGTCAGTCGAAATATTGACGAGATATAATCTTGCTCGAGGGCCTACGAAGCGAACACACTGCTCGTAGCAATTCTCCAGAAATCTCCTTGTCAACCAGCGTCTGCTCATACAGCAAAACAAAGCCGTAAGGGCGCCGAGCAAATTGTTCGAGCTCGCCCAATTGTATTGTGGATTTGAGTAAGAGTGTTCTCCGGGCATGACTATAGAAAGACGCCAACACGAGCCCGGGCCAGCCCCGCAGAGTCTTGCCTAAGGTAGGTATAACATTCTATCTAATCCTCGCCATGGACTCGAATCACTGTGCTGATACAGGAGTCGAACCTGCTCCTCGAAGGCTTTACCCCCGCGCGCTACCGTAGCGCCTTCACGAAGCCTCAAGGCCGGTGAGACGAGCGACGAGGAGGCTGCGGAAAAGGACGGTGCTCATAGTGTAGCGGCGGCGCCCGGAGCCGGGGTAGGAGTACCTGGGGCGTCAGGGGCATCGGGGGAGTTGGGGATGTCGGAGACGTCGGGGGAGCTGGGAACATCGTCGTCCTCGAACTCGAGGGGGGGGACGGGAGGGAACTTACCTTATGGACAAAAAGTTCACCATATGTGGCCTTGAACTGCGGGTCTTGTCTTTCTGAGCAAACTCTTCCAATCTGCTGGCAATCCCATTCATGATCCAGGCGTTTTTGGGAGTGTGATGGAAGACCTCGTGACGCCACTGCCGGGTCAAAACGTGCGCATTCTAAGCGCTCTCCTCGTGAGCACGGGCAATACTCTGAGCTTGTCGACGTCTGATAAATCGTCGACGGCCTTGAGGGTCCTCCGCGCTTCCAGGAACAGGTTGTTGCTCGAGACTTGGGCGACGTTGTCCATCGACGCTTCGTGTCCCTCTCGGCTCATAATGCCGGGACGGTCGTCAAGGGAGATAACAGAATGCGGTACGGCATCCTACAAAATAACAATTCTTGCTAGAACGACGACCGATAGTAAGGTATAAATATAATGTACTATGGCACGTACCCAGTCATCTGCGTGGAAGCTACCCTAGTGGTGCTTCTTGTCGAAGTCTTCGGACTGTTTGAAGTAGAGGTCGCTAGACTAATTGACGCCGGTCCGAGACGTTTTAAGATAGGTGAGATATATGGCGTAAAACGTGGCCGTTATGTGAATCTTTTGTTTGTTGGCCGGCGATTGCTGTTGCTTAGTAGGGTTCTTTAAATCGCTAATCCGGATTGTATATAGGATACCTAGTACGTATGAATCAAATTGTCTTGTTGAACCATTGCCGTTAGGATGTGTCCGTATTGGGGGTTCGTAAAGTACGCGGGAAATTGTTTAAGCATGTCGGTCTAATTGTTGAACGTGGTACCGGTCTAAAGTGTTGTCGCCGATGTTGTAGGATGTTTTCAGGTGTGTAAAAGGACCAAAGGTATGCGCCACTAGAAACAAACCAGCGAATTAGTACGAGAAAGAGTAGCGGGGCCCTATTAATGGTAGCGTAAATACGAGGTCAAAAAGGGACAAAAGCACGAAAATGACAAAAAAATAAGGACGGGAATTCCTTACTCCGATGTCACTCAGCAGGGCTCCCGCGCGAGCCAGCTTCTCCTTGCGGAGGATGAGGCGGGTGTGCTCCTTGCGGATGCGGCGTGCCTCTCTGTCCTTCATAGCCAGAAGGTCTTCACGTGCTTGTGAGGCCGCCGCCTCGGCCTTCATGACCGATTCCTCCAGTTTTCTAACTCGTTGGGCGGATGGTATTTTATTGCGGCTGCCCCGCGGGCGGCCGCGGCCGCGGCGAGGGGTATCTGCGGGTGGACGAAAATGCCGGCGGAGCTAAAAGAAGATCAATAAGCTCGGCGGAGAGTCCGCCAGCAACATCTTCCCAAGTCTAGGAGCGACTGTTAGGGGCCAGGCTGTTGCCTTCGACCAAAGCTCCCGTGTCCCGAGGCGCTGCTTGAAGAAGGGATGCACAAACCAATCCGGGGCATCCTCTGTTACTACCGCGGATGTCAGGGTGTTCACCACCTCCTCACCGGTCTCAATATCTTGCTCGTTCGATATTGTGATGGCTGGTGACCCAATGGTACGGGGTTGAAGGAGTAATACGAATCGTGTGAAGATGAGGGCGACAGATATGGTGGTGTTGAGGCTGGCGCCTCTTGGTTGTCCCTTGCGGGCATCGTCACTACGTTCAGCGATGGCTCCCCAGTCTCAAGTGAAATTGAACATCTCTGTGACCGAGCGCTGGATCTGCATAGCGCGACGGACGTGATCAAATTCGCCCTCCCAGCTGGCGCCGCCTCCTAGACGGCGCATAAGCTCCACCGGCTACTTTGGCCTTGTGCCCCTTGCTTCTTGTCTTGTGTTTGCGTAAAGTCTGGGCGGTCCGGAACGGCTTATTATAAACTCGAGAACTCGGGCAAGGACTTGAGCGTGTCTCTAAGGTCGGGGGATGCGGCGCTTTTAGGATAGTTGAAAGGCTGGGGCTGAAATGTAATTCTAGTCCGAATATCGTTTCCTATAGCGATTGGATTGATGGTAGTTGTTTTTGCCTCAACCATTATGCTGGATGGTGACGGGGTCGCGGGCCATCCTTTCGCGATATGATCTGATTTGTAGGGGCGACTGGGTTGATGCGGTCGGGGTATGGGTCGAGCACGCGGAGCATGTCTGGCGTTCCTCCAGATAATCCGCTCCCCCCTGCCACTATCATTGGGCTCCCCCTAAACACCCACCGAGTGGTCTACGACAACCTGAAATGCTGGAACAGGGAAGCGCAAAACTGGCCCGGCATTCCAATTGAGCCTGGAGAAGTCTGCCCGCCCCGTAACGAGCTCGCAAGGCCCTTCGATAGGAACACGGACTGGAGATACGCCCGACTGGATGAACATCAGGAAGTCGACACCAACAGATCAGCTCCGTTCCTAGTCCAAGCAAGAGAGGGCGACAGCGAGACCTTGGAAGTCGCGACCGGAGGAGATCCCCCCCCCGCCACCTCTAGATTGGCCTGAAAAGGCACTTCCTGGTGCCATGCTATGGGAGACCGTCGTTCTGGGCTTCATCAATATGTGGCACGCCTGCAACACCACCAATTTCTTGGAGGGTACGTCAGTCACCGCTGTCTGCGTCTTTCATGGCAGTGGACCAAGTCTCAAACGAGCTGGTGTCGCCCATCATCTGATGGGCAATGCCGGTTTGCTTTCTCGCCGCCATCCTCCGACCATAGATGACCTGAAAAGCCTCCCTACTCTCCATCACTATAGCCCACGCGAGTGGGCTATCTACGTTCTGATTTTGGAGAAGAAGGATGCCCGCCCGGCTATCTATGTGGGATCGGCTACGAATGCGACGCTTGGCGTAGCATCGAGATTTTCGGACTATGATAAGTTGCGAAATTTGTCTGTCCGTTGTCAAGATCGGGTCGATAATGGGTATCAAATTACCCGAAAGGCCTTACTTTGCACATCTCGTCTCCCCCCTCCCAACACCCGGTGTGTAGCCATGACGCAATGAATCACGGGCTTCTTATCCATTGACCGAAGGTTGTCGTTGAAACTGAGGGTGCCGCCTTCGACTCCCTTTCTCATGGTGGTGCAATGTTTGTAGTACTTCGCTTGGCTGAGTTTGGTGGGAGGCACCGGGGTGGTAACCTTCGCCATGATGTTTCTGACCTCGGCCTTGTCAGCAATGTTGATGAAATTGTAGAACAATCGCATACCCACCTGTGAGTCTTGTTGATCGACCACGGGGTCTCGGGGCCGGAGGAGGAGGACAGAGGAAACTTACGGGCCGATCGCTTGAGACTTGAATGACGAAAGGAGAAAAGGAATTTTGTCCAAGTGTCGTGTGACGAAAGGAGAGGACGCTTGAAATGATGACGGAGAGAATGTGTCAAAGAGGTGGAAGGCCGTGGTCATGCCCCGAGATTCCCACGCTATTCGCTGAAGTCCTGAAAATTGAAAAGGATCCGACGCGTCTCTTTTATCATATCACCGGATTTCTCAGAGAAAACACCGTGTCCTTTCATCTTATTTCCCTGCCGAGTGATTCCTTCCATCCCAACTCCACGATGTGGCCTGTTCAGAGGAAAAGGCCCTTGGGGAAGGAGCAGTGTTACTACCAGACTGACGGTTGTCGCTACTATTGTCACTATGACCCGTGCCGCCGCTATTGCCCGGACTTCTGCCCCTGCTACTGGCAATGCTCGCAGAAGAACCGCTTCGTTGCTTTGTTGTTTTCTCGCGATTGCTTAAGGTAGCCCATGCTGTTCCTTCCGCACGCATTGCTGCCTTTCTCTCTGTAGCTTCCTCCCCATCAATGGCATGAAGCTTCCTCTTGAGTCCTGCAATGGCCCAATGTAGAGGGTTTGATCTATTGATGCCGATGTATTCGTAGTGATCCTTCGGTCAAGGACAAAGGTCCTTGCCATCTGCATCGTGGAAGCCCCAAACTTTGTTGCTCTTCATGGACCAGAAGATGCAATGCATCGTAGCCTCGATGGCTACGAGTAGAGCGCGGATTTCGGCGGTTTGTTGGGTTGGCATTGGGAGTTTTGGGGGCGGGACGATTGTTGTTGTTGTTGCTACTGCTACTGGAGGCGGGACGACTGCTCCACGGCCTGCCCGCGTGACGTGAAGTTGGAGGTTTCAGAGTTGGTGACAGATTGGTGGAAGGAGTGGCCAGGCCGCTACAGCGTGGTGCCTTCTCTCTGCCGGTTCCACTCTTCCTCCTGGTCATCGTCAAGGTCATTGTCGCTACCCTCGTAGCTTGATGCCGCTTGGTCGTCCTGGTTATCGTTAACCTCGTCGCTGCTACCTTCGTAGCTTGATGTGGCTTGGTCGTTCCTTGAGTTGGAGTGGGCGATTGCCGGCATATTCACAATATGCTTTATAAGCTTTGCTAATAAAACGTGCTCCGAACGTTGAGTTTGGTGGCGCTTGGTCGTCCTCATCCTCGCTGAACTCATTGTCGCTCTCTTCGTAGCTTGGTGTGGTTTGGTTGTCCTTATCGTCAACGTTGATTGTTGCTGCTGCAATAGCCGCCTTTGCTCTCGTCGTAACCATTGCGTCGGTTGATGGATAGGTAGGGACCCCCGGACAACCATTGAGAGAAGAGGAACAAAATCAGAGAGAACAAGGAGGGCAAGTAAAATATCCAGTAGCGGCAGCAGCAGAGTTTTCCATTCTTCCTAAGGAAGGAACACTCGACAACATCTCCTACCCGAGGAAGGAACACTTCGTCTTAAACGGTTTCTCAATTAGCTCCTTCCTAGAACGGGCGCTATGTACATACCTAACTCTTCTTCAAAACCTTGTGCCATATTCTCAACGTGCTCCTCGGTAGCCACTGTGGAGTATTTCGTCCTGGTCTGGCACGCGTTTTTTTTCTTCCTCCCACTATGCATCTCTCTCACCCATCTGGTTCCCCGTACGATGGCCTGAACTACCACCAAACACCGATGGCAAGCAAAACCCACCAACAACGGCGCACCAGATGACCCAGCACCGACTTCAACTCGACAAGTTCGGAGTCCCACCGTCCTCACCAAACGATCACCTTTGGCACAGTCGCAAATGTTAGGGCATCCTATCTTCCAACGCGTCACCTCTGTTCACCTCATCTAAGCCACAATCTGTCCTGACGACCGCAACCGCCAGTCATGGCCCAGTACCCCATCTGAGGTTACCACCTCGCCTCGGCCTGCATGTCAGTGAGGACGATCAGGGACCAGCACGGTCTGCGGGGCTATTGTGACTTTCGGCTATGAAGAAGGAGCCAAAATATCCTTCTGGGTGCGCGCACTTAAGGGGATAACCGTAAGTTTCTCCTTCCAGTCCAACAAAGACGCAACTACTCAAACGGTATCCAGCTCAGCGACCTTCACTATACCTAAGAGAGCACCACCAGCGTCGCAGAAGCCGCCAAAGCTATTCGGCGCGGAAAGTCCCTTTTCACAGCCTGGCGTAAGTTATTGTACCCTTTACTTTATTCCGTTTACTCGAGTTCCTCCTGGCTGTTGGTGTATTAGGTTGCTGATACTCTGATGCCCTCTAGTGTCCAACATTTTCGTTATCGCAATCCCCGGTAACGCGGAGTCGACAGTAACAAGCACAATGGCTCCAATCACCCCATTCACGCTTGGTCCGACGGCAGTTTCCACGTCTACAATTAATTCCACGGTAGCAACAACAACAACAACAACAACAGACCCAGTCCTCCCTTTTATGATGGATCCGACAGCAACAACACCGATGTCATGGTAACGCGTGGCTATGGCGAACTATGAACAACGGGAAAGCCCCACCGAAAACGCCCGTGAAAGGGCCCCATAACATTCAGAGGAGGCGCGAGAGACTCTCGTCGTCCTATGAAAATGTGATCTCAGGTCCAGTTACGCCCATTCTCTATATCAGGACGACGTTATCCTTAGCAACAATAGAACGGCAAACATCCATATCACCCCGAATATCATACCTCCTCGCCTGTTCCCGCCCGGATATCGGCTGGAGAGGGAGCAATCGGGGCAATATGAGCCATCTTCGGGACGAAATTCATCATGGCCAAGGGTCCGAGCGATGTGGTCTAAAGTGACCACCTAAGGGCATGGGTAGAATGTGTGAAAGTGTTACTCCGTTACGGGGCCAAGATGGACACGGGTTCCTTCAATTTGCCGAGCTTGTTTGAGCGGGCTCATGAAGGGGGATTCCCAAGATCATCGAGAAGCGTATCGAGTGCTGATGGAGCACGAAGGTATTCCGCTTGAAACGATACCAGCGGAACACTAGGCTTGGCAGAAACGACAAAGAAAGGTATCAGTGGATGAGCATTTGACGACCTAAAGAGCGGTAGACTACAACCTCCGGGAAGACCCGAGCAATGGAAGAACAGATCATGTTTTCCTCATCCGGGATGATAGGAAGAGGGAGAGTAGCAGGATCGGAAAGGGTGTCAAAAGCAGGGCTCGAGAGGCTCATGAGTCCAAGGGTGTTCTCCAGGACCCCAAAAGTCAGGTGCTCATCGCACAGCCGGTGGTGAAAGACAGCCAGCTATCACATGCTCATATGCAGTGGTTGGTTGACTCGTAGACTCCGTGTCGAGATCGAAAGGGGGTTCGTTCGCTCCTTTTTTCGTTGGCTCCTAGGTAGAGGGGAGGAGGTGGTCCCTGGTGCGGCCTGTCATGGGACGGGTCGACCTCCGCGGTTTCATTTTCTCGAGAAACAATAGAGAACAAGTTGACGGCCATGGCTCGGCTCGGCTCGGCTCGGTAGGTCTTTAGGGTTGATGCTGTGATGTGATGCGATGTGATGTGATGTGAAAAACAGCATACTTTGATCCAACTAGACGCTTTAAGGACTCGGTGGCCGGTGCATTGGCCGCGGGAGGAGCGATTAGGGTCGGGTATTACTCCCGCTCCTGTATAAGCCGGTTCTATTAATCCAGTGAGTCATTCATGGGATCTCAGGCAGAGCGGGCAGAGTACCTTAGGCAGAGTGTCAGAAGACGGCCCGGATCTGAGAGTAGGTAGTAAGTTAGGGGGCGGGTTATCTATCCTGACTTTCTAAGGACGTCATATCCCTTCCTGAGGTACCAGAATAGCCAAGCCAAAGACAGCTAGACCAGCAATACCCTCAACAAGGAGAGATCCTCGCCAGCTTCCCGGATCTCTACTTTGAGATCCAAACTGGGCTTGCACGTTGCCCAGGTGTTCGAGGCACGAGCGGGCGCGCGGCCCCCCGACTCCGCCTTCTAAACGCGGACGGTGCACCCGGCACGACGACACCCCCTTCTCATGGATATCCATCCACCTGTCTTTCGAGACTAAGACGGTTTCCAAGATGGGCCAGGCAATAGCGCCCGCGGGGCGCCTTCCAGAACGCGTGCGGTGCACCGCCTGGCTGCTCTACACCATTCCTGTCGGGCGAGTATCGCTTGCACTGCCCGTTTCCGGCGTACAGCACGTCCGCTGCGTGGAAGACGCTTGCAAAGCCTCGCTAATGATGCGTTCTATGTACTTCCTCAGTCTCCGTGGCCGGTGTCACGGTGAACAGGGCCTGGACGGCCGGGCGCTGGGCTGGGCCTGAGGGTGAGGCACAGCAACTGGAGCTTGCTGTGCCGGTGCGACGTTGACGCTAAGAGGTTCGATGGACGCACGCCGAGAGGTTGTTGGACGCCGAGAGTCACCAACAGGTTCATCTCCTGAGGTCTCCTGAGGTAAGTACCGAGGACGGAAACTGACGGACGCTTGCTTGAGGCATCCGTCGCAGAGTAAGCAGAGTAATAAGCCGAGTCTCGATTGTCTTCGGTCCAGTCGCCAGTCCGAGCGAGGACCAGGACCAGTTTACTTCGCTCTTCACTTCATTTGGTTTCTTCTGAGTGTTCTGGGCATGTAATCCAGCTCCTTAGGCCAGCGGTCCTAGGTCCAGGTCGGCTTCTTCTTCCAACCGCAACCGTTGGATTCTGAGCAGAGGTAGGCAGCCGTCGATGACGGCCAGCTTCCTGCTTCCAGGATAAGCCGGGAAGTTTCACTTGTCTCAGTCTGAGTCCGCCGCTGGGCAGATTCTCGGGAAGCGGAGGGTCCTATCCGCTCTGATTTTGATATCGTCGTATTTGTTTTGAAGACGGTGACGGGGGCGAGAGACAAATGGTGTAAGATATTGTGGAAGATGTCGGTCATGTCGTGGACGCGGTCATTGGTCTGTCTTTCGACGGCGTGATAAGTAGTGGTATTGGATGTGCGTATATACAGGATGATGAGAAGGGTGTCAAATCCACATTTGGATGATTGGATCGGTGGTATCAGTATGTACAGAAAAATATTCGTTGGCAAGAAAGAGTCTGTCCTGATGAACTAGATATGGTGGCCTAGCATTTTTACAGTCTTGGACTGCTTTTGGATGATGTCAAGAACTGGCTAAATTGGCTGGGCCCATGTAGAAAAACTTCCAGTCAGGTTCCCTGACCAGGTAGGTAATGAATTTGGAGGACCATCATGTGGCAGCTCATGGGCCGTTTTATACCTATCCCTCATGGCCATGAAGTAAGACACATTAGTAGGGCATGGGTCATTTCGCTGTTGAGGCATGACGGGTTTCTTCTCCCTGGCCGCAATCATGAAGCCATAATGTAACAAACAGAAGGAACAACAAGTAGAGGGGAAAAGACCTGACTCATATCGAATCAAGCCGTATCATTTGGTTTTATGTAAATCCATCTGTGTAATATGTTCAAATATCTTTCCACACCAATTTTGGTCTCTATTGGAACCAGTTGATGGCCAACGCACCGGACGCACCTGTTTCTCGCACTTTTCATCATCATCATCATCACCCTTCTCTTTGATATCTTGGCAGGTATTTAACATTGTTCGTCCGCTGCTTTTTTTCACGCACCAGTATAACAATCACCATAGCCGTTCGTTGAGAGCGGAGGCTACGCTTGACCCTAGGCCAGTTTGACTATCACCATCAAACTTGACTGTATGCGTACGTAGCCCGGCGATGTATAATTTTCCTGTTGACACAAGTTGAGTCAGCTGGTGTTCCGTTTGTCCACGCCTGAGAGGGAGGGGAGGGACCTACGTCATGCCCACATGCCCAACCTTTCGGCTGGGCACGGCGATCCCCAAGACTGAGTCAACAGCTCAGGGACCGCCTTCCTTTGCAGATTTGTTTGTTTGCTCGGATTTAGAGCTCCTTCTTGCCGGTACCGGCAGCCTTGGCCTTCTCGCGGTCGCGTTTGGCATAGATCTCGGCAGTGAAGGGGTTCTCGAACTGGATAGCGACAATGTAGACAAAGAGGACCCAGGCAGTCAGAAGAAGACCAGCGGGCTTGCCGTACAGAAGGGCGGTGCCGAGGAAGCTCATGGTGGAGCCGTAGTACATGGGAGCGCTGGTGACGTTGAATGGAAAGCCGGTGACGATGCCATCCATCAGAATGCCAAAGTAGTCACCGAGGAAGGTGCCGGTGATGCCCAGGCGCAGTGTAGAGGTGATGACGAAGGTGTTGCCGAGAGCGAGAAGGGCATAGGCGGCGTATTTGACGTTGGTGCCCTCGAGGAGCGGGTGGGAGGGCTGGTCACGGAGAGCGCGCTCGTAGAGAAAGTCGCGGACAAGACCGAGGCCGAAGATGGTGGCGGCCAGGAAGTAGCAGGCTACCTGGGCATTGCCGCCGAAAGCGCGGGTGAGGAACTTGGTGCGGTGCTCTGTGGATATGTGTTAGGGAGTCTCGTTATCGACCGTTGGGCCGTTGGGATGGTTGGGTTTGCGCGGACGAACCTCTGCGGGCAACGATGCTAGGGAGGGGTTAGCTGACGTCGCGATCAGGTCGAGGACACAAGATACTCACTTCCAGAAGATGGGGTTAAAAACAATGGCAGCAGCAGAGACTGGCGCAAGGAGGTTAGCAAGATAGATCGCGAACAGAAAATGGCATGTGAATGTTGGTGGAGTCGCATACGGGCGAGGCTCGGCTTGCTGTAGTCAACAAAGTTGAACAGGTCGGCGACACCTTTGGCGACGAGAGGCATGTTGGCGATGATTTGGGGGAGGTGTTCGAAACAGGTGCGTCTGGTTTGTTGGTTCGTTGGTGGTTGGGCTGTCAAGAGATCGAGAGGGAAAGAAAAGCTGGAGGACAGACATGGTGGCCTTTAAAGAATGTTGGGACTCCCTCCGCATGGGAAGCATCGGATGGATGGGACTGGAATGGAAGTTTCCATGGGCAAGTCGAGTTGAGTTTCACGTGTCAATCCAATGACGTTATGCCCAACAATTCTCCAGCTCGCTGTAGGCTATCCCGGGTGTTGTCAGAGGCCAGGGGATCCACTGGGCGTGCACGTGCCCAGCTGGGCTGGGATATACGGGATTTATCCAAATGCCAGAGCTTCGAGTCTACAGAGCCAGTTTTACACATATATACAATCAAGCTACGTTGAACCCCATATCGATTATTACTTATAATATTACAATTAAGAGTTTCATTAATTTGATTATTGAAGCTATCGCTAACAATGACAACTGACTAAACGATTGCCAATAATATCTATGACTAAAATCAATAGCGTTACCCTCAACGGCCCCAGGGATTGGCCGGCTTAGGAAGATACCTTCATTTCTATAGCCCAAGACCTAGATTTCTAAAAGTATATTAACTTAATCAACCACATTCCCTAACTAACTAAACTAGTAGAACCTAATATCGCTAACTACTAAGGGGAAGTTATCGCTAAAGAAATTAAGGAAATTAAAAAGGACAAGGAAACTACCCTATTTATTATTGCTAAACTTTACGGCTTCTATTATAAGCGCGACTACCGTAATTATATAATTAAAAAGTCAGACTAGCGTATAGAGGTCAAGACCTTCTCTAACCTAGGTATTAAGAAAACTACACTAAATCGTTAAATATTTAAAACTATTAGAAATAACTACTGGGAAACTAATTTTACCAAATATATTAATTTATACGATTAGTACGATAATCTCAGCAAATCTACTGCTTTTAACGACTATAAAATAAAAAAAGTTCGCCTGGGCTAAATTTATTAATATCGTTAAACCTCCTAATAAAATTAATTATAATTAATATAATTAGACTTTTTATTAGGAAGCGGCTATAGCCTTCTATATTATTAGAGGAATTATTAAAATAAATAAATTAAACTTATAATCCCTAGAATTCTATACAATTATAAAATCGAATCCTTATATTATTTAGGCAAATAATTACTAATTTTAATATAATAAAGAGATTGAGAGGAATTCTTATTTTAAAATTTCTTTCCGTACTATAACTAAGCACTTTCGTAAAGTAATAATAGCGAATACCACTTAAGGAAAAAGTTACATCCTTCTATTTAAAGGTATTATATTCGCAACTATATTAAGTAGTAAGCCTATTAAAGTGGGCGCTTCTAGCGACGAATAAAACCCTAGCCCAGAAGTAAAGGGATAGGGAGAAGCTATAAATACAAATAATAAATTTAAGAAAAATACTAATCAAAATAAATATACCTCCTCTTTATTCTTACAAACTAATAAACAACTACAACAATCCCTATACAAACTTTATAAATAGTTAGGCTATAATTTAAATAAATATTACTATGCCAAATTATAATTAGCCTATAAAGACTAGGTCGAAAATCTTATCATTAAGAAACGTACATTTACTAACTTAAAGAAGGATAAAATACTTAAAGAAGCCGTCAACTATTTACGAACGTAATAGAATAACGAAGATTAAAATAATTAACTCTATAAACGCCGGGTAAGCAAGAGTAATTTCTTAATACCTACAATAAAACGTAATACTATATACCTACTAAAAAACTTTATAATCTTTAATTTAAGTATAACAATATATAACTTTAATAAAATTAATCAGTTTAAAGACCTTACCCTATTAAACATTAGTAATTATATATAAATTAGAAATAAACAGATTCCTATCGAGGGGTATAATATTATTACAATTACAATTTAAAACGACGTTAAAAATAGAAAGCTCTAACTCCCTAACGTTATCCTAATACCAGGTATAACTTATGACCTCGTCTCCTTAAAATAATTCGAAAATAAATAAATCTATTAGAACTATAAAAATAACTACTTATATTCCCACCTTACAAACTCCCTTATTTATTATATCTATTCTAAATACAAGTAATTTATTTTAAAATATATCTCTCTACAAAATAACATGAATGAACCTTCTTTTACTATATAATACACAAATTATATTAAACAAAAGCCCTAAAAAAATAAACCCCTTCGCTAGTATCTTCGATTTCGCTACCTAAGACCCGAAATTTTAATTGAACTAATATAGTAAAAATATAGCGTACAATTTAAAAGACCGGATATAATACACTACAAACTATATACTAAGACTAAATTAAAACGCTAAATACGTAGAGAAGCTTATAACTACTTAGAAGGCCTTAAACTACAATTAGCCATTGACTTCTTCTTTTATAAAAAAATAAAAATAGGGGGTTAAAATACTTAAATTTAATAATAATCGTTAACCAATAATATAAATTCGTTTAAATATATTAGTTAAACAATAAAGAACTGAATCTATTATTACATATTTAGAATCCCTCTATATAAAGCTACAAATTCAATATTAAATCGTACTTCGGGTAATCAAATATAATAATAAAATAATTAATAATAAGAAGATTACTACTTAATTTGCTACTAAGGGAACCAATATTAAACCCTCAACGCCTTATATGTAAATTCAAAACGGCGGCGTAGAACGTTCAGGGGGTATAATTAAAACTAAAGGTATAATAATATAATTACATACAAATTTTCCTTACGAATTATAGATAAGAATTACTAGAGTAATTATATATTTATATAACTTAACCCCTAAAGCGGAATATTATTAAAAATCTCCCCAAAACCGATTCGAAACGTACTACTAATTCAAAAACAATATCGTTTCTCAATTAGACCCCTTTCTTACTATCACATACTTTAAAATATATAATTGTAAACCTTTTACTCTTATAATAGAAACTATAAAAGAATAGAATAAATTAATAAAATTTAAAGACCGTACCTAGGTCGATTATCTAATTGGATACCAATTAACAAATATTTATAAGATCTAGAATCCCTATACTAACTGTATTATTATTATACAAAACGTCGTATTTAATAAAAACGAAGTCTTCTCTAATAATAACGTTAAAGAAATCTATAATACCTTTAATATCTCCCTTAAAGAACTAGCTATATAGTTAAAAGACTTTTATTAAATAAATATCATATCAATAAACATCCTATAAATCGAAATTATACCCACCGTAAGTAACAGAATTCTTAGCCCCGTTATCTAAGACTTTCCTACCAAAACTAAGAATATACTAAGGGAAAAGGAAGAATTAGTGTCTTTAAAAATACAAACTTAATCTAGGTTTTTAAAGGTCCCATAAGTATTAAAAATACCACTAGGTCTAAAAATACTGTAAAAGCCTTTAGAGCCCTTACTATTACTACCCGTATAATCGCCATCGGACTTCTAAAATACAATCTTAAATTCGAAAGATAAAAAAGAGGGCTATCTCCCTACGCCTCCTAATAATCCAACCGCGTTTCTAATAACCAACTTCTCTCGTTCCAATAAAGAATTATAGCTAACTATAAATTAATACCTTTATTAGGCCGCGTCGTTCGTATTTATAAAGGGTAGTCGACTTATAAACCTTTAGGGAAACAAAGTTATAAACCAAACCTTCCTAGAATAAGTAGGAGAGAAGGATATCGATACTAATTCCAATTATAGTTCTAAATTAAAAATAATAAAGGATATTATCAACCGCTATAAAGTAAAGAGCATATTAAAGACCCTCTATTAAATTAAATTTCCATCTCTTCTAAAATACTATAGTAATTTTAATTCTCACTCCATTAAGGAACTATTTAAAATTACAAAGAAAGAACACCTAAATAAGTATAAAGATAAGAAGTCCTAGAAGTAAATTAATATCGAAGAAGTGGGAAATAATAAACTATTCGGTTCAATATAAGTATATACATATAAATTCGACCAAGACAGCCAGTTCTTTAAATATAAAGCGCGCCTTGTTATACATAAGGATAATAATCCAAAAATAACCTACATAAAACGTACGTAGCGACTCTAGCAATTAAATCGTTCCGTATCCTAATAATTAAAGCCACTTACTTTAACTTTAGTTTGACCTAATATAAAGTAAAAAACGTTTTTATCAATACTATATTTAATAAAATAATATTTATAAAAATTCCTCCTAAATACACTAAGAAAAGCTAAATATTCTAACTACTATATATATTATATAATTTATAGAATTGTCCCCTCCTTTAATAATAATAATTTACTAAAATCCTTATAATTACAAATATAAACCCTCTCCCTATAGAACCTAATATCCTAATTAAAAATAACGTATTCTTCTTGTTCTACATCGACAACATTATTATAGCTTGCAAACACAAGGACAAAGAAATCGCCACAATCAAAAAATAATAGCTACTATAGAGAAAAAATACTAATTAACAAATAAAGAGCCACTAAAATAATTTCTAAGCATCAAAATTATTCGAATCCGAAAAAAGAAATTAATTTAATTATTATAATATAACTATATTTAAAAGATTATAAAGAAGGTTAAACGTACTAAAAAACTATATTCTACGCCTATAACTTGAAAAAAACTCTTACTTTACTAAAATAATATAACCCCGTACGAAATTTATACATATTAAATCAAAATCGGTTCGATTCTCTATATTATTATTATATCATAATTAAACATAGCTTTTCCAATCTCTAAATTTATTTAATTTAATTCAAATCCTAATCTCATACATCAAATAGCTATAAATCGCATACTACTCTACCTTCTTATAATTTAAAACTACGCCCTTTAATTAAATAACAAAGACCGCTAGGACTTTTATATTATAATTAATTCCTTATTTATAAATAATTCTTATAATCGAAAGAGGTTATAAGCGTTTATATTCAAACTTCTAGGCGCTACAATTAACTAATAAGCTAACAAACAAAACACAATCACAACCTTATCTACAAAGGCTAGACTACTATCCCTTAACTAGAGAATTAAAGAGGCTATCTATACTTATCATCTGTTTAACAAATTTACCCTAGGGTTCGAAAATTAAGAACCTATACTTATAGGCTATAATAATAAATAAACAATACAATTTATTATAAAAGAGGGAATTCGGTTCGTAACCAAATTTAAATACGTCGATATATATAAATACTAGTTAAAGTAAGCGTAAAAAAAGAAGCTAATAAATGTAATCTATATACTAACTAAGGAATAAATTATAAATAACTTCACTAAGAGCCTCCTTCCCGCAATATATTTAAAATCTATAGAACAATTAAAGCTCGTAGAATTATAATAGCTATAGATTTAATTACGAGAATTTAGTAGTAAAAATATCGTTATAGGCCGCCCGAAAAGTATAAAGGACTTTATAGAGGAGGATTCGGGTAACGAATTAGTAAATATAACAATAAATATAATAAGATAAGATTCTTACAAATAAAAGTTTAAAAGTTACTATAACGAAGAAATAATTTAGGAACAGTATTATTTCTAGCCAGTTTTAGGAGAATTTTAGGGTATTTTAGGTTATATTTAGGTAGATCTAACGTAGTTTGTACACTAGATCTAAGAGGGTATGTTAGAGGCTAAGGGATCTATTGGGTATGTACGTGCCTAGTTGGGCTGGGATATGCGGGATTTATCCAGATGCCAGAGCTTCGAGTTTGTAGAGCCAGTCTCACACACATATACACAATCAAGCCACGTCGAACCCCATATCGATTATTACCTATAATATCACAGGTGTCGCGCCTTAGTGGCCGTTTTAGCGCACAATTGTGGGTCCGTCGCTTGCTGACAGCGTCCGTCGGCCTGTAAGAGCGCTCCAAACCCCGGCCGTAGGGCCAATAGGATCCACTCCTTCAGAAGCTACCCCTCCGCGATTGAGAAGAGCTCTTTTCCCTTTTCGTCCTTCGTCCGTTTCTCATGAAACCGATGCAACCACCAAGACGAGACCGGGATTATTGAGACCACATTGCAGCTGGCTGCTTCATCAATTGTTTTGTCTTTATCTTCTGCTGACGAATTCCTCATCATGAGTGCATCATGATCACATCATCACTCCTTCATTGATTGCACCTTGACGTTCATTCATGACCACACATTGATATCGGACACTCTCATACTCACATCATGCCCCCAAAAGCAACAAAAAGGGGCAAAGCCTCCAAGGCCACCACCCCCAAAGAAACAACAGCAACAACAACAGCAACATCCGCCTCCGACTTCCTCACCAAATCCAAAGAAGCCTACGAGCAAGAACTCAAAGACCTCGCCAAAAAGGCCCGCACGCAAAAGGGTTACTGGGCCGGCCAACTCGCCATCTACATCCACTCCATCATCCTGCTCGGCCTCATCGCCATCGCCTCCAACGTCTCGCAGCTCGTGCTCTCGCCCGTCTACGGCTCCATCCCCGCGTCGATATGGCACTCCAAGCTGGTCATGGCCGCCTGCTTCACGGGTTGGGCGTCCAACATCTTCTTGGATCGCGCTCTGCCCATTGAGCCTGTTGAGCTGCTGCCTCTGATCGCTATTTACATCCCGCCTGTTCAGTATTTGCTGTTCCGGGCGAGCGGGTATCTGGGTGCTTACTATGGGCCGTTGGTCACGGAGTTGTTGACGCTGTTCCCGTTGATCACCATCTCCTCGGCGTGTGTTGCGACGAACTTGGAGTATGCCGACTTTGGACCGGTGCCCAAGTTCATTGCTGATGCTGTGCCTGGTCTTGGGTCCTTCGGCTTTTTCAAGTTCGCGGAAAAGATGAGCGGTAACTTCATTGCGCAGAATATCGGCAAGAATTTCTACATGACTAGGATTGGACTGGAGGGTTTGCTGGCTGCTTCGTACACCACCATTGCGCCGTCCAAGTTCTTGCTGTTTGGGTTGCCCGCGTTGTTGCACACTACGCTTTTGAACCCGCATCTGCCGTCGCCTATGGCGCTTTCTCGGTTGAACAGTGGGTTGGAAAAGGAGGGATGGCTGGTGCTGGACCGCCGGGATTCTATCACGGGTTATGTCTCGGTGGTGGACAGTTTGAATGATGGGTTCAGGGTGTTGAGATGCGATCACAGTCTGCTTGGTGGCGAGTGGGTGAAGTTCAAGGATACCGGACGGTTCAAGGGAAATCAGGTCGCTGAGCCTATTTATGGCGTATTTGCCATGTTGGAAGCTGTGAGGTTGGTCGAGGTACCTAACCCGGTTCCCGACAACGAAGCCAAGGCGCTCGTTATGTGAGTTCTCCCGGTCTCAGCATCCGAAGATGACAACTAACATATTCCAGCGGCCTCGGCATCGGCACCACACCCGCCGCCCTCGTCGCCCACGGCATCAACACCACCGTCGTCGAAATCGATCCCGTCGTCCACGAGTTCGCCACCAAGTACTTCCAGCTTCCGTCCAACCACACCGCTGTGATCGAAGACGCCGTCAGCTACACCGATCGCCTCGTCAACGAGACTCAGGGAGTCGGTCAATTCGACTACATCATCCACGATGTCTTCACCGGCGGTGCTGAGCCCGTCGCCCTATTCACCTACGAGTTCCTCCAGAACTTGAACTCACTTCTCAAGCCGGACGGTGTCGTCGCCATTGTACGTTACCATTCCTCTCCCCTTGTGGCCTAAGCAGGTGCTAATGATCAGCAGAACTACGCCGGCGACTTCTCCCTCCCCCCACCCCTCCTCATAACCAACACAATCCGCTCCGTCTTCGGCCCTTCCTGTCGCATCTTCCGCGAGCATCCTCGCGACGAAGCCCAAGCCGCCGCGCACAACGGCCGTGATTTCACGAACATGGTCATCTTCTGCACCAAGTCTTCTACTCAAGAAATCACCTTCCGCAACCCTACCTCTCGCGATTTGCTCAACAGCCCCAGCCGCGAAGCGTTCTTGCTGCCCAAGTGGGAGGTCACGGAGGAGGATCTCCTGAGGGGTGTCAATGGGAGTGTGGAGGAGGCGGAGAAGTTGGGTGTGTTGAGGAGGAATGATACGAGTGCGCTGGAGAAGTGGCAGGAGGGAAGCGCGTTGGGACATTGGGAGATTATGAGGGGGGTGCTGCCGGAGGTTGTGTGGGTTAATTGGTAGATGTTTCTGTTCGAGTGAGGGGTGAGGAAGAAGGGATCTGGGATGAGTGTGAAAGGGCAGAGAAAAAGGAATGTGTTGGTAGATTTGTCATTTTTTGTAGAAATCGTGTCGTGATTGCGCAATTGAGGGCTTTCCTGTTGATATTTGCCTTCCTTTCTGTCTTTCAACTGTTGGATATCGTGCGAACCCTGTGGTTCACCATCACTTTCCCCCGTCGTTGCGGTTTTGTGACTTCCAGGTTCCCTCATAAGCAGCCTACCTGGAAAAGACAAGTACATACGGCCATAGATAGTGGAAAACTCGGGATCCCGTCCGCTCTCCCATAGATAAGCCACTAATCGGAGGACTATCTATGGGAGCCGTTTTCGACAGGGGTTTGGATGACTCAGCTGAAAACGCCGCCCCCGTTTCTAGAACCGTTTTCCCATTGCCTTCGCCGTCGAGTGCACCGTTCCACTTACGCCAAGCCCAGCTGAGTAGGCTAGGCATACACTACACAAGGTACTTACCCCTGCCATTTACCCCTGACTCCTACTCCATATATTTAGTACTTCTAACTGGGAGGTGTGGTTGGCTTTTGGGAGGTGTGGTTAGCTTTTGGGAAGTGTGGTTGGCTTTTGGAAGGTGTGGTTAGCTTTTGGGAAGTGTGGTTGGCTTTTGGGAGGTGTGGTTGGCTTTGGTAAACACTCTTCTCCGTACGTATATCACTTCAGGCGAGTTAGAAGGGCCTCAAGATATATATTGCGTCTCTACCCTCAGATTCCCGACCGAACCAAACAAGCACACTTTTGTCCCATTCTCATTGCATTCACTGTATATCCATTCTTCCCAGTTGATTCTACCGCATGAATTACGGCCCCTACGTTGCGAGGGTTGCGTTGGTTTTTCATATGAAACCCTCCTTCCGAGTTTTCTAATGAATTTCTCCTCCTAAACATACTGAGCTCGTTAGCTATTGCAGCTTGAGAGGGTATTGTTTGAGTCTCACGGTGCCGATCACACTCCATCCATATGCAATACGGAAGGGATGGAGCTACAAAAACCGCCGATACCGCCGACTGAACGCGACGTCGAAGAACGGAAAAGAAGAGCATTTGCCGACGTCGACGAATTTACGGTAACAATACATGAGCGTTCGCTTTGTAAAAAGACCAAAGCCCAGCGAGAACGCGCGTGGTGTCTATGGAATAGGTATGTACCTTATCATTTTGCTGTTTTCTTTGATATTGCGTACTAATGCTTTTTAGATTTGTCACAGATGTGTTACAATTAACACCAAAAGAGGCTGATAAGGTTTGGTTTGGTGTGTGCCGAAACAAGAAAAAGTCCATTGCTATCTGCAAGAGCTTTCTGGCCGACTATACACGCTATGCAAGATGCAAGCGTCTGTGTATAGACGGGACCGGGGAACAGAAGCAGGTACCATCAGTTCAATCAGTAGTGACTATTATTGCTGTATGGAAGCATATAGTAGCTCAAGCTGATGCTGTAGTGCTCGCGAAGAGAAGGGATCAAGATTCAAATGAAGATTCAGACGAAGGTTCCGAACAATGGACATTGCTTGGCAACCGTGGGAAGGCCCGTGGAGAGGTTATCCAGGTAGATTCCCTCCTTACCCATACCGATACTGTGTACTGACATTTCTTTTCACAGTGGATCCAATCAACTCTTGCACAAAAGTTCAACCTCACATGCAAACAAACATTTGAGAAAACTGAAGCCACAACAGACGATGTTCTGCTTATTCTTAGCACTTTGTGGGAACGCGCAGTCGATATACCTTGTGATCCTAGACATCGGCTTGCCTTTCATACATTGGTGCTTATAGGAGGCATTGGTTTTCGGCCCGGCACTTATGAGAATATGCTTTATCAACAAGTCAAGCTACTTGTCGTTCGCGATCCGGATACAAAACAGCCAAGGCTTGTTGCTGAGATCACGATCAATCAAAACAAGCTATCGGCTAACAAAATTGATAAGGGGGCAGATGTGTATGTATTCTTGCCTTTAACTGTTGATCCAAACTAACACTTTTCTAGGGTGACCTTTTCTGCTACTATGGTACCATGCCAGATCGTTTGTTTAGTTACGTTTGTAGCTATTCAAGCTCTACATGATGATGCCTTCGAAACAGAGTTTTCGTCCTTCGACGAATTACTTCAGCGTCCAAACTTGGAAGATGTTGATTGCATTGAACTTAGGTGGAAGGATGGGATGCAGGAAAAGCCTATCTTTCCCTTAAAGTACCACAAATTTCTGGAACTTTGGAACCGGAGATGGTTGGTAGCGGGCAACAGAAACACTCTCCGGCCCTATGCGCTGCGAATCGGCGGTGGAAATAAAATTGATGGTAAGAACCCTTTACCCGTTTCCCTCACTATTTTGCTTACAATTTTTACACAAGGTTCCCTTACATCCGCTATTTGAAACCACATCCTGAGCCATAACACAAAAACATTCGAAACCTCTTATCAAGCGAGGCATATTCCACACAATTTGATGTCATTCGTTTTCGATAGTACATCTGAAGACGATTCCAAGCTATTCAAGCTATTAGCCTCCGCATCCTTGCGCAGGGATGACAAAGCACCGCTTTACCCGACAGCGGCTACGCTAGAAACGTTTGAAAATCGCGAGGATATGAAAGCACTTCGCGCACAGCGTCGTCACTTCCGGGAAGAGCTCAAACTCTCTGCAGACAATAGAGAGGTAAAGCAACTTACCGCAAAAATTGGAGATCTACGGACGGTATTGTCAAACTTGGCTGTCAAGCAGGCTCGAGAAAACTACTTCGCTGAAGTTGATTCCCTTAGGGCTCGTGGCCTGTCAACCGAAGATATGCCAGCCCCCCCTCCAAATCCTTTCAGATGCTCCTTCGGTCCCAGTTTACCTGCAGCAACAATCATTGGTCGATACTTGAACCCCAAAGATCCGGCTTCCGACACCGCTACGAAAATGGTTTTTCCAAATTCGACCGACAGTGGTTCTGACCAAACTACCCAAAAGCGGCTTGCAGTATCGGAAATGCTTTTTGCGTATCTGAATGATAGGTACGGAGAAGTAGAAGGGATTGCTCAGGAAATGGAGCAACCAGCCTCCGAACATAAGAAAGCAGCTTCCACGCTCTCTACATGTCTTCTCTGCCTACAAAGCTTCACTCGTCGACGTAACCTCAGTAGACACCATCGGAGCGTCCATTTCACAGCAACGACCTTTGAACCTTTCTCATGCCCCGAATGTCAGCGGCAAGGAAAGGAGGAGTATAGAATCGAGAGGGCATCGGAGTGGAGTAACCATGTCGAAAGAGTACATGGTTTCATCAATACTCCGGTTCTCTTCACTAAGCCAATCGTCAAACCCAAACCAATGGCTACAACTACCAAGTCGAAATCCGCTCCTTGTTTAAGATGCGGCCAATTGTTCTATGCCGGAAACAGTTTGTCAAGGCATATGAATAAGTATCACAGAATCGTAGAGCCATTCGATTGTCCAAAATGTAAGGGAGAAGGGGAGAATATCCAGATTAATGACCTCGCTTCGTGGCTTACACATACGTCGGATGTTCACGGTTGTAATGGGCAAACAGGAGTGGTTATTGATAAGGAATGCCTACCAAAACAGGGACAGAAGAAGAGGAAAAGAGAAAACATAGTGGAGGAAGCAATAAAACGTAGTAAATTAGAATCCTAAGTATATAGAATACAAACTAGAATGCTATCTCCGTCTCTCCCACCGAGATATCTCCTCCTGGAACCACGATGCCAGATCTCGCTCTCCACAAGCGTGCTCTGATCCAAAGCATAATCGACTATAAACTAAAGGTGACAAGCATCTAAAAGATGACGACTCAGTAGAAATAGTCGGCTGTACTGCCCGCGCGATCCCCGCATCCGATCAAACCTGCTTCACTTCGGAACTACAATGGCACCACCAAACGGCAATCCCGCTTTGTTGGGGCGGCCTCACGCCACAAATAGGTTGACTCGGGGATTCGCGACAGTGCGATGTTCACGTTGAAGAATCTTCCTGTAGCTCGCTACCTTCGCCCTTCTCAAAAGAACTAGAACTGGAAGTGATATACACTATTGCGTCATAGACTCTAAATATCCAAGGCATCCGTTCTAGATTCAAGAAAATTTTCAACTGTTGGTGATATCCAATACATATGAAACCGTGAGATATACAGTATAACTGGGCTATCACTTGATATGTTACGTTTCTTTTCAACCGTATACTATCCAATTATTCTACAACAGACCCACTTTCTCTGGGGTGCACCAAACTAAATTAGCGTTCCGTTCCCTCGGGACACTTGAACCAAGCGGCTAGTAACTCAGTGCGAACGCAGCACCAATGATCACTCCAGCATGCGGAAGATTTTTTTTACCGCCCTTGCTAAACCCAGATGGGGTTCTTGATTGAGTAGGGTATTTTAAAATGAAAGGAAGCTGGAAGGCAAAACCAACGTAAGTAAAAGAGCATCAACAAAAGTACCAAAGAGAGTCCAGTCCTAACATGTCCTAAGATGTCCCAACACATTGTCTTCAGGCCCCACCTCCATTCGTCACTATTAGAAGACATCCAGATAATCCAGGTCGGCTTCCCCCATATGTCCGTCACATTGGCGTTGGGTCCTCGCCTTAACCCTCGAATGTCCAGTCCTCAGAGTCGTTCCTATTAGCTCCCGTATCATAATAGGTTCATGCCCGTATACCCGCGCGATCGAAGACAAGTGATAACGGATCTAAAGAATGTGACATATCTCCACGATTTCTGTGTGGAATAGGATGTCCGCCTGGGCCCTGGATAAAGTGGCGTCTTTTTAACAGCTGGCAGCAGTCGAAAAGTGGATAGGACCGGTGACTGTTCCGCTGAAGAAGTAACCCTGTCCACTGTTAATGTTCTGGTTGCCGCGGCCAGAGTGGACATTTTGTGTTCCAGTACCGTAGTTACGGAAGACGGACGGTTGGTGATACGACATGGGTGGCCTTGGTTCTTGTGACAAAGGTACAGACGACTGCTCTGACGGCACTGACGGCACAGAAGGTTTATGATCCTCAACACAAGCAATTGGACTCGCACGTGTAGCCGGGGGCGATGGACAAGTTCCCGACGACGGGACGACATCATTCTGAGCTGATATATTCATCTCGATTCTGGCCTTCATCTTGCCTCTAGTGGCCTCATCCAGTGCACGATTGTTCGCCAGAAGCTGGATGTCTTGTAGGATACCCTTCATCAGCGATTCGACCTTCCTGCTCTTGCCGACATGTAGCGTCATGATGACGGCGGTGGTGAAGCGCTTGCGCGCCGAAGGGCGCGTCGTCCCTGGGGGCAAGATCGCCTCGAAGAGAGTTCCCAGCAGCGCGGCTTTTTCTTGACATGCTTTAAGAACTTGCACCATCGCACTGCAGGACTTCTTTGCCGTGTCATCCAGATCATTGCCGTGTTGGCTTTGGTTCATACACTCTATGGCCAGTCTGAGCGTGTCTGCCACCAATGGTAAGCGAGTGTAGGCGTCCCTAACGGCGTCGGGGAGGCCGTTGATGTTTCGGTACGCACTGATGACTTTTGAGACTGCGTCGACGATTGAGATAATGCTGGAAGCGACGCTGAGGACTTCCAGGCCTGACATGTTCGGTGAAGTCTGGGGTAGAAACAAACGACACCAAACTGAGGAAATGGGAGCGTGGGTGATGCAGTGTTGGTCATCGGGTGTGCGAGAACTCGGGAGTTGAGCCGCATGTTGGGGAATGAAGGGGTTTTCAATAATCCTGGGTGGCAGCCAACAGGGCTTTGGGAAGCCAATGAAGATTGACTGGAAGCGGCATGAGGCGGCAAGGTTTGTCCCATTCTGAGTGGTTCCACGGAGAGCCGAAGCCGGCAGCCTGCAACTCGACTTAGAGTATGCACGTGCCCGACTTTTCACTTGTTTTCCTTAGACCTACCTCCTTCATCTGCCTGCATCAGCCTACCTCTTCCCTTCCATCCTGGCATATTATAATCATGGTGGTTGGCTTGCAACACACTGTTGGCGCAGCCGCCAACACCTTTATAGACGAGTCGATTGGCTGAGAGAGATCAGTGGGGCGGTATTACGGACCGGGCGGGGCCGTGGCGGCGGAGTGGGCCCCGAGAATGACGGAGCGGTGGGAGCACAACCGGACAGTAACTGCCGAATCCGAGCAACTCGCAATGGCCTCCAGCGCCTCAATCTCCGGATTGGGCGGCATTATCTCTCAGACATCATCGGGGACCATCTCGTTAACGTGTTAACTGACGTAAGACCTAGTTTAGTAGAAAATAAGGTTTTGGCGCATATGTATAACCATATCATACGTTAAAGCTCCCAACTCCTTAACCACATCTCGCACCTTTTCCTCGTCTAGCCATTCAGAATGCTTACAAAGGGTTTCCACGACGACATCTCTTAAGCCTCTGTCGTCTTCAATAGTGGATTCGTAAACCACTAGCGCTGCCCCAAGGAAATCATCGATGTCCAAGGAGACAGTAGCCGCCGCCTTGAATTGCCGAAGCGCGAGAGCCTTCAATCCACGGATCAAGTACTTCTCTGCTAAGGCGTAAATTTTTGCATGAGTCAGAAGGGCGTCCGCTGCCGGTTCATTGACGTTGGTTTCGTATCCGTCCATTTCTAACCCATCAAAACCACTACGCTCGTGTTGTAGCTGTACGTCATAGTCGAAGTGGTATAGATAATGTACCATTATATGGACAAGCCGAGGGTCATCATCTGGGAGGTCAATCTTTCCTTCTTGTGCCTCCTAAATATAACGTTAGTTTAGTGTCGTTGCTAGTGTATGGACTGTCACTAGCCTTGAAACTTCCGCGGCAAGCTGCAGAGAAGAACTCGGACTGCGTGCATACGATGACCCTATGCACATGGTATTCCCTTCCTCCGCAGGATATCACGAGGTCTGAGTACTCCCCGCTGGAGTGGAGCCTATTCGGAGGCCATTGTCAACACCTGCAAGTTCCGAAGACGGAGGAATGACGAGAGCCAAATGATCATACCCTTTTAGAGAACTTATTAGGTCTTTAGAGGGATCATCTCCGGCCGTACCGTGAGCTGGCTGAGTCACGGAGCCAGCTGGCCTGCGTCGAAAGGGTGGAAACGCCATTCCAGAACCTGATGTTGTATGCGATGGATCACGAATGATGGGAATGATGTAGATTGAGGGATCCAGCTACCTGAGGCTGGAAGGGATCGCCAGCTATATAGAGCTGGCGATACAAAGAGGAGGAAGGTCTGCAAAGGAGGGGATTCTGGGAAGTGCCAGAACCGCTGTCAAAGAGGGTGCCTGCAGGGCAAACGACTAGCGGTCTGTGCAGCAAACGCCCAGAATCTCCTCACATGTTGTTGTCTATGGAAGCATGGACACGATACATGCACGACCCTCCACTGAAATATTCACATTCACAACACCCACCGGCGTTTGGCATGGCCTCCCGTCGGTTATCCACCTTAAGCATCCAACGGCTTTTGCGCCCTCACCATGCGCCACCTAGCGTTAGAATGAATCTTGGTTTCTCCTCAGTAATCAACGTCAATCCAGTTGTTGCTTCCACTCAGCCGCCCAAAAGACACCGACTTGTCCTCGGCCGTGCACGCTGTTAACTTCGTTTGCAGGTATCGGCGTGGCGGACATTTGTTGGATCAAACGGCTTAGAGAAGCATGCATCCATCCTTTTCCTGTCAGGTAGGCATGCATGGGGAAATGGAGAGCCGTTTGAAGCGTTCCCGTTGAGCATTGGTTGCCATCAGAGTAAGAAACACTAGCAGTCTCCTGCTTTCTTCATCCTTCTTCCTCCGTCCTGGTGATCAGTTCGGATTATAAATACCTTTTCCCCCATAACCAAGATGAACGTCCCATTCGATGGCCGGTTAAGTCGCGTCCGGAAGAAGGAAAAGACGTACACACGGCCAACAAGAAATACGCACACAACATCTCATTCTTCTGCCTCCCGTGCATCCTCAACTTCCTCAAGCAATACCATCCAAACTCCCACGTCCGACTCGGAACCAACAGCACCATCCGCTCTTCCTACTTTCGCCGCTTCGAGGCCTCGTCCAAAGATGGAACGCTTATTAGAATCGTCCGTATCTGGATCAGTTGGTGACTTCTACCCGGACCGTGACGATAATCCCACGGCCAATTTGACATATCTCATCCTCCACCAGCCCACCAACCTAGCCCTGACCTTGGTCGGCGGCAAGCTGACCCTTCACAAAGTCCCGGCCATGTTCGAAAAAGGCCGCCCCCTCGAAGGCAAATGTAACTGGTACTGGCAATGCGTCGAAACGGACGGCTGGCTCGGGTTTCGCAATGCCGCGAGCGGACGGTTTCTCGGCGCCCCTTCGGGTTCTCGTGACAGTTTTGATGTTGCCAACGATGCCCATGACCGTTTACAGCGGCTGTTATGCGTTAGGGCGGGAGGAGGTTGTGAGCAAGGACCTGAGGCGCCGCAGCAGCGTGGGCACGTGATGCACTTCCAAACCTCACAGCGACTTGTCAAGGCATGGATGGAGCCGAGCTGGAAAGAGGGATCCGAAATATCGATGACTTGGATGGATGGGCAGGAGGGAACAGTGTGGAGGTTCGTCAAGGTTGCATGATATCTCGACCCAAGTCCTGTCACGACCATAACCGTACCTCTCTGGTGCTGTCACATCTTCCAAACTAAATCTGTACCAAGCCTTAACACTCAGTGACTTAATAAATTAACAAGTCCCCATCGTCACCGACGTCGCAAATATTCCACTGATTTTGCTGTAGATACTCTCGTTCCCTTAAGCTTGTGTTGTATGTGTGTATATCGTCATCCCCGGGCCGATCCCGTTGTCTGTACATACTATGTACGCCAAGTGTTAGTGTTAACGCTAGGTTGCCCGCAAAATCCTTAACACCACCAAGGTCGCCGTTTTCACGGTCGATATCTCAACAACCACGACGACGAAATGTCTACGCCTTCGCCCCCTGGGGCCCCCAAACCGTCACCGCCGGCTATGATGCCGGTTACCCCTCTGCCGGACACCCTTTGCGTCCCGCCCCCGCCCCCCAAGACGGCGCAGTCGGCCAAGAGAGCTCGGACTGCAGACGAGGAAGTCCGTCACGCCCACGCCTCCACCGCCTCCCCTGCTGCTTCCGGCCCCCTCACGTCCCTCGCCGGGACCCTCATCTCTGAAGCTCTCGCCAAAGCGGAGGTCTACCGCTCCTTCGCCGCCTTCCTCGACACCGAACTCGCCCGCCTCTCCGTAGTCTCGCCAGCCCACGCACGTGAAGCTGACCACCTCGCAAGGACTATCACCACTGCCCTGCAGAAAAGTTCTGCTTCTTCACTGCTCTCGCTTACCCCGGACTCCACCGCCCCAGCAGGCAAGAAGGTTTCTACTTCCTCCGCCCCGACAAGCAAAGGGAAGGGGCCCATTTCCTTTGCAGAAGCTGCCGCCCGCGGTGCGGATTCCACTCCCGCCTCCCGCTCTACTTCCCGCTCCCACTCCAGCCCCACCCGTAAGGCTACGCTGCCCCAAAGTGACGGCCGCGTCTTTCTCCGACTAGATAGGGACTCCCCTTTCGCCAACAACGACGCCTTCGCCATTCGCAAGGAGGTTCAGTCTCTTCTTCGACTCGCCCCTACTGATATCCCTGGCTGCCATAAGGTCCCCTCTGGCTTTGCCCTCGTGCCCAAAGACGACGCTGTCCGCCAGACCCTCCTGGCCCACAAAGATGAGATTGGTGCCCGTTTTGGCTGCGTCCAAGTCGAAGTGCCCAAGAAATGGGTCACCTACGCCGTCCAGAATGTGCCCATGACGATGCGGATCGGTATCGTCCCTATCGACACTACAACTGCCATTAAGGACGAGGTCCTCGTCCAAACCGGCCAAGAGCCTGTCGCCCTCCGTCCCTCCCAGTACTATCAACCTGGCGAGGCCTATGCAACCTGGCTTATCTCCTTTGACAGGCCTGTCTCCCCCTTCCGCCTCTTCGACGTGAGCAACAGTAGCCGCCTCGTCCAGAAACGCCGCCCGCTGGACCAGTGTACAGAATGCTTTGAGTGGCATGGCCGTAGAGGGTGCGCTCGCGCTGCTAAATGCCCACAATGCGGACAGAATGCCCACGGTAAGTGTGACCGTCACATTCAATGCGCCAACTGCCGTGGCCCCTTCAAGTCTACCCACGCCGAGTGTCCCATGCGCCCAAGGCGCCAAGGAGATACCGTCATCCGCCCGACCCCTCAACAACGGAAGAAGATTCGCCGCGACGGCGGTGACCTTTTCTCCAAGGCACATGACCGCCCCGCTCCCCCCGATAGCCAGGAAGACACTGCCACGTCTTCCGGCGAGCTGCCCAGCTACAGCTCCGCCCCCTCCAGCCCCGAGAATTCCGACAGCCCTGACCAGACCCAGCCTTCAGCTGATGAGGATATGATAGAGGTCCAGTTGAGCGAGGACTCGTCCTCCGACGCCGCAGTCCGCCGCTCCAACCGCTATAAAACGCCCTCCAGGAGGGCCGCTGGCCTATGAGTAGACACTCGACCCCCTCTCGTAATAGCCTGAACAATTCTAGACTACGTATCTTTCAGGCTAACGTAGCACGAGCACGAGATACGCACGAAATTGCCCTCCAAGCTGCTAGTGAGGCTGGAGCGGACGTAATTATGATCCAAGAGCCACGGGCGTGGTTCTACGAGGGCCGCTTTGGTATTCCTGGGCACCCCCTTTACGCTCTTTACACTCCTGTCCGCACATGGACAGAGGAAGCAGCCACCCACCCACGCGTAGCCACCTACGTTCGTAAGGATATGGCAGCCGGGGGGTATACTCTCGGGTCTACAAGGGATCTTCTGTGGGTAAAGACGCAAGGAATCACCTTCGTTAATATCTACCGACGATCCGATGACGTTTTCTGCCCTTGAAACTCTTCAGAATTGGCAACCAACAGCCAAGACACTCCTTGCTGGCGACTTCAATGCTAAACACCACACCTGGCAACCTGGCGCAGAGACGTCAGAGGGCGCCACGCGCATTGTTGACTACGTTGTAGAGCACGACCTCGATTTACTGACGGTGCCCGGCATTCCTACTCATAATCGTGGAAATACCATCGACCTCACTTTTACGAATATTCCCCTTTGCTCAACAAGGGTCGCTCCGGAATTAGACTGCGGTTCTGATCACCAGGTCTGTATTACAGACATCCCTACCCAGCCGGTAATGCCTCCCCGCCGTCGACTAGTCCTTCGGGAAGACCCAGAGGCTATTAAGCTTTATGCTGAAAATGTCTCCTTTCTCATGGGTTTGGTCCCGCTCCTCCCTACAGGCGAGGACTCTCCCGAAAGGCTCGACGAGCTCGCCGAGGCCCTCTGCAACGTCCTTACAGAGGCCCTCCAAATCACCTGCAGGCCTTCGAGACCTGAGAGGAACGCAAAGTGGTGGAATAAGACGTGTGCGCATGCATCTAGAATGTTCCGCAACTATCGGCACAACAACCCGAATCCCATCCCCCAACGGATAGGAGCGCTTCGGCAGGAGTTTAAGAGGGTAGTCAGAGAAGCAAAGCAGTTGTTTTTCGACGACGTTATTACTAAGGCGCAAGACGACAAGGACATCTATCGGATCGTGGCGTGGCACAAGCCCCGCGACCGAATGGAGGCCCCCCCGCTAGTCATCAACGGGCAGACGGTTATTGAGCCAGAGGCCAAGGCGGAGGCCCTCCGCACGGCCCTGCTAGAAAGGAACAGCGAAGACGAAGACCTCGAAACTGGCTGGGTACCCACGGTATCACGCCGTCGCCTACCCTGGTCGTCCGTCGTCCACGCGGACGAAGTCTACAAAACCCTTTGCGGTACTGGCAATACGTCCCCCGGCTCCGATGGCATTACGGTCCGTATGCTAAAAGCATCCTGGGAATTTATTAAAGACTCTGTCCAGCAGCTCTATCAGGGCTGCGTCGCTACCGGCTACCACCCCCAAGTCTTCCGACAGGCGGAAGTGGTTATGATACCGAAACCGGGGAAAGATCAAACGACGGCCAAGGGATGGCGGCCCATCTCACTCCTGTCCTGCCTTGGAAAAGGCATTGAACGCCTTATTGGTAGGCGGATCGCTTGGACGGCTATTTCTAACGGGGTCTTAAATCCCCAGCAGGCTGGTGCCCTCCCAAGGCGTTCGGCTGTCGATATTGTGGAAGCTCTGGTCCACGACATCGAAGTTGTACTCGACAAGGGACTCGTTGCTGCACTAGTAGCTGTGGATGTCAAAGGTGCCTTTGATGCCGTCCTAGTGAATAGGCTAGTTTTACGTTTGCGGGAGCAAGGGTGGCCAGACTGCGTGGTCCGCTGGGTGGAGTCTTTTATGACGGACCGTATGGCCTGCGTTCGATACTCGGGGGTGACTACTCCTATGCGCCGTCTTAGATGCGGGCTCCCTCAGGGCTCACCTGCCTCGCCAATCATCTACCTGCTCTACACAGAACCGGTCCATCGCCTCGGGGAGAGCGAAGCGCAGCATTTTGGATATGCAGACGACTGTGCAGTCCTTGTTACTGGCTCTTCGAACGAAGAGGTTGCAGAGAAGGCCCAACGAGAGTTGAACGCCATGGTCCGATGGGGAGTGGACAACGCCGTCGATTTCTCGCCGGACAAGACCGAAATTCAGTTTTTCTCCAGGAAAAGACAAATTGCGCCTTTCCCTACCATTACGCACGGAGGAGTCGAGGTGGCAGCACAGCCGGCAATGCGTTGGCTGGGGATTTGGCTCCACAGCAAGCTGAACTGGAAGCACCACATTGAGCACAGGCTCGCCTCCGCCAAGCAGGTAGTCCGCCACATACGCGGTCTTAACAGAGTCTACCACGGCGCTCCTCCAGGCTCCATGGTGAAGGCTATGAAGGCTGTCGTCCTGCCAAAGGCCCTATTTGGCTCTGAAATCTGGTGGCCAGGCCATAAGAAGCACGCCCTTCACCGTAAACAAGGGGAGTTTCCGCTTGTTAACAATGGACTGACGGACCTCGTCCATAAAGTGCAGACGGCGGTTAACACTGCCATCCGCGCCAGCTTACCGGTATGGAGAACGACGCGCCTTGCCATTCTCTACCGCGAAGCTAGCCTGCCCCCCGTCCCCCTTCTTCTGGAAGCGGCCCGCCGGCGGCACGCTGTGCGCCTCCTCACCTTAGATCCCGCCCACCCGCTCGTCCCGCGTCTTTCGGATTCCCCAGTGACGCCGCACTGCCTGCCCCGCCGCCCTACAACGCTACAGACGGCTGCCCAACACGCCTTGCCTTTCCCACGGCCGATTCTACAGCCGCCCGTCTATAACGGAAACACGCACAAGGATCCAGCGCCCACGTCTAAGGTCAGGGCTGCCAAGGATTTCAAAGAATGGCTTCTCCAGCTAGATCCCTCGGAGGTCGTCGTTTACACCGACGGCTCTATGATAGCTAAGCAGATGGACCTTCCAGCGCACGCGGAGGACCCGGACGCCGAAGAAGAAAGACCAGAGGGCGAGTGCGTAGGCTTTGGCTACGTAATCTTCCAGGGGCAGACAGAACTTGGCCGTGGATGCGGTCAATTAGAATATGCAGAAGTCTTTGATGCGGAGGCGGAAGGAGCGCGGCATGGTCTCAAGGCCGCGGTGGCGCTCTTTCCGGAGGCACAGGCCCGGCCACGCATTACGGTATGCCTTGATAACACGTCCGTCATTAGAGGACTCCGGGGAACCCCAGCTGCGTCGTCACAAGCGGCTTTCCTCGATTTCCGCGCCACCCGCAAGGGCTATGGCCCCAGTCTGGTGGGCGTCCGCTGGGTTCCTGGCCACAAGGGCATCACGGGCAACGAGATTGCTGACGAGCTCGCTAAGGCGGGCGCTGAAGGAGGAGAGGTAGTCAATGAAGGCTTGGCTACCCTTGCGCATTCAAGGCGGCTTGCTAAGAGGGAGGCGCGTACGGATTTCAAGGCATGGTGGGCCGCGAACAAGCCAGAGTCGTATGCAGACTACCGGCTGGGTGTCTCTATCAAGCCTAACGACGAACTAAAAGAGTTGGACAGACGCTCCCTGCACCACCTTCTGGCAGCTAGATCAGGCCATGGGGATTTCAAGGACTACCACGAGCGCTTCGAGCACGAAGACGCCTTGCTCACATGCTGTTGTGGAAGCTGGAAGAACCCCTTCCACCCTTTCTTCTGCAGGAAGGCGTACGCGGTCTCCCCGGTCACAGGCGAGGCGACTACGCGGAGGAATCTCTCCCTTGCTATCGGTATCTACTGGCAGCACTTCATCGCTAGGATCCAGACCTCGCACTTCTTTTCGTGGACTTGCACGAGAAAGGCATGGCGCCAGTCACTCTGGCAACAGCACATCGACAACGGAGGCACTGCTGACAATCTTACGGGGTTTTTACGGGGCGAAGGGGTGGAGGTTGGCCACGGCCACGACATCGAGAGGGTTACGGTGGACTTGGACAGGCTAGTCCACCGTGTAAGGAGACGGGAGGAGGCCCTGCGGGAGGAGGAGAGCGAGAGCGAGAGCGAGAGCGGGGAGGAGTGATTTTGCCCTTTCTTCTGTCTTTTCCTTTGTTCTACGGGTCCCGCCATATACTGGCGACTCGCTCACTGGGCGATTCGATTGGAGGTGTTGGGCCGCGTTTACGCTATGGGCAACACGTGATTTACACTGGCAATAGGCCTTGGGTTGCCCTCGGATTAATGGTTTTTGGTGGACAGTTTTGTACGCTAGACTCACCGATGTGGCACGTCTCATGCCCTACGGGAGGCGGAAGTAGACGTTAAAAATAACAACAACAACAACAACAACAACCCCACATTTCGTAATCACAGTCGTTATCTTATCACTGTTATCGATATCCTCACGTGATACCCTTCAGCATCACCACCTAAATATCGTTCTGACGGAGGCATTACGGTAGTGGGGAGGCGGCGCTGACGGTTTCCGAGTCTGCGGTTGTGCGTCAATATGGGAGTCGAACCCATCTTCTCAAGAGCTAGACTCTCGCGCGCGACCGCCGCGCCCATTAACAAACAATCCAGACTCAAATCTCACCAATGTCCATCATCGCATTGTTGACCGCCAACGCCAGCGCGTTCCCATCGTGGGGCTGAGGGGATACCTCGGCGGGCAGCAAACGGCGAACATCAGCGTGCACCGAATTCACAACCTGGAGGACATCAGCCAGACCGACCGCATCCACAGGGGCAGCGGGAGCCGCCAGGGGAGCGGGAGCCACAGCGTCGAACTGCTCGCCGTCGAGAGTAAGAACAGCAGCGGGGGCAACCCAACCAGCAGGGCGACCATTGGCAGGACGACGAAAGTCGTAGCGCTCCATCCACTCGTTGAGGCGGCGGCTATGCAGCTCGGAAGGCACCAGAGGAAAAATGTAAAGGCGCTCGCAAACGATGTGGATTCCAGCCATCAGGGCATTGGCGGAATCACGGAAGGCGACAACGAGGGCGGGCGCGATGTCATCCATATCTCCCGCGTGAACGGCGATCACGTTTCTCTAAAACGCGACCACACGATCATGGAGGACCGGAGGGAAATCGCAGAGGCGCCGGTTCAGAGTTTCGGGACACGCCGAATACGTGTTGTTGCCTGGAGAAATGGTTTCGTTAGCGCTAATACTCATGAAAAAGGAATAGGAACCTGACGGACCTTGCTGGGTACAGACGAAGTGGCCGGCGGCCAGGACCATGGTGGCGCCGGTGGTGTTGGGGGGCAGGTTCACGACGGCGCTCGCGGCCTCCCAGGAAGAGATGGCACAAGGCGGATCGCGGACGGCGCTGTCAGACGGTTAGCATAGGAAGCATAGAGCGGAAAGGAAAAGCGCCTACCAAGGCTGAGGGCGGTCGGCCCTAGTAAGGAGGGCCAAATCGTAAAGGGTATACCGGTCGGCGGAGTTTAGGAAGGCGGCCATAGTTGTGGTACAGGTAAACCAGGACTAACCCTATCATAGCTAGAGGTAGCTTTGGTGAAGTGGGTCAATTATTATCCGTGATGAACCATCGTACTTTCTAATATTATCGAAAGTGTGAGAGCGTGATTCTACAAGAGATAGGGACTGCAAGACTAGAAGGCACAAATCAAAGTAATATTAAGTGTAAAGAGGAAAAAGGAAGCTGTCAAACGAGGGCATCACGGTTCTGGACATATAAGTCAGAACTGCCACTCGTCGCCGCCTTCCCAATCCGTCTCGCTTATCGATAAGAAGCATAAGCCTCATTCCATCCGATGTGTCATGGTGCCCTGTGCTGGGCTCCCATTGCCCAGTGCCCAGTCCTCTGGGAACCTGTCCAGCCATGCCATGACAAGGGTGAATAACGAGGTAAATAGTATCTAGTCTTTCTGTATCTAAAAAGATAGTTGCACGGTAGGACTCTGAAGGCATAGATGTCATAGGATCTAGTGACATTGGTTTATAGTGTGCATTCCGTGTTCTGCCTTGCAAGCAGAACATCGGCCTATCTTTTGGTAGTTTGGCTCACTTGGTATATGCACCCTAGCCTGTCATAATAGATAATATATATTTATAAAGGGATTTCAAATAAATAGAATAGTATATAGTTTTAATTAGTGTCACAGGGTTAGCCTGTGTCGCATGTGACTGGCTAATGGCGGCTTCCTGCTGTGGACCCTAGTGGGTCCACAGCTGGACTGCCTTCATAAGGCCAGTCTTCTGGTCACTCGTCGACACTCTCCTCCTTTCTCCTTCGTGCAATTACGCATATTCACATCTACCATCTACCCTTTGCCCGTGATACGCATGTATCTAGTTCTCTTCCTCTTTTCTCCTCCTCACCTTAAATCTTCTGTCATAGATGGTGTCTTAGCTTCGCCTTCGACTTATCCATACTAGCGCTCTTACAACTCCCGAACCTCCACGCAGTCTTGCATCAACGCTAGGGCATCTTTATGTCGACCTTAACTCTTCTACGCGAAAGCAAAGTTGGCCATACTCGTCAACGTCGAAGGATAATCGGCTCAGAGGCCTTGTTGAGCAGGCAGACGAAGGTAAAAAATCCGACTCTTAGAGGGACGAGGAGAGTCGGTTGGCTAGTTGCAAGCGAGACCCCTAGAGGGTAGGCTCTACACCTAACTGACGAGTACAGTACCTTCCTTAATTATCCTAATTTGGACCGACCAGAGTAGTCTTAGTAGCGCTACACCCTTGGCCCAATAATAATTGGTACTACGTTGGTAGTTAACGGTACTGTAGAGCATACAGTGTTATATGTATTGAATATCACTAACACGTTAAAATTTTTTAATTTAAAATAACGTTTTTAAAAAAAATAAAAATTCTATTAGGTACGTACTCTTTAACTATACCTACCTGGTTATATAGCTCTATATAAAGTAGGTTTATATATGACAGGGTGGGATGCACATGCCCACACGGCCAAACCTATAAAAGATAGGACGATGTTCGCTTGCCAACGAACATCGAAGTGCATACTATATAGGCAGTCACAACCCTGTGACACTACCTTCCCCTAAAAGAGGCTCTGCAAGAGCCGAAACTCGAGAGGCATCTCATGGATGCAAGGCGCCTATATAGCACTACCTGAAAGGGCGACGTATCCCCCTTTCCAATGGGAAGCCGTTGATATTTCGGTTTCTGCGTTGCATTGTCTTTCGTACGAATGTTTCCAAGGTTCTCGCCGGAACCCCAAAGTGTCAGACCGCATTGCGGGACGGAAAGCAGCACGAAAAAACCGCCCTCGAAAATATCATGTCTGGGATTGAACCCACGACCTCCCACCGTGGTAAGCGAACATACTATGACAGGGTGGGATGCACATGCCCACACGGCCAAACCTATAAAAGATAGGACGATGTTCGCTTGCCAACGAACATCGAAGTGCATACTATATAGGCAGTCACAACCCTGTGACATTATAATAAGATAAGGAATTCCTATAAAGGGATTCCTTCCTATAGCAACCTTCGGCTCGCCTTTCTTACTTTAATATTAAAGTACCTGTTAACGTGTGGCTAGTACTGTGCCTTGTAACTGCCTTGTACTACTTTGTAGTATAGAAGGCTGATTGAACTATTCCTTCTACGGAATCAGTTAACTCAGTCCCCACAGAATGTACTAGAATACAAGAGGTTTTGCCACTGTATTCTAGAGTCTTATAGCTTGGTTAGCATTTCTTCCAGACTGATTTGTCATCATAGGATTCAACAGAAGCTTCTAGATGCTTAGTGTCCATGTATATAGAGACCTCTCCTCTCCTTCAGTTAGTCACTCCTTAAGCAAGCAAGCACAACTCAAGCAATACAATACAGTCTTTTCTCACAGTGCAGAGTCCACTGTAATCTTCTGTCTTGAGAGCAGAGTTCTCCCTAAGACCTCTTTTACAACATCCTTCTATTGTATTTGCAACTATGCTGCTTCCTTCAGCACTGCTGTCGTACTTCCTACCGCTTCCGCTCCGCTCTGCTACAAGTGCATAGTTCACTGTAGCAACCTTGTACTGGTGCTATCATTATAGGCCAGTCAGGGCATCGCAGCAAACAGTACCCAAGTTACCCAATTATCATGGGCAAAGGGTAGATGGTAGATGTGAATATGCGTAATTGCACGAAGGAGAAAGGAGGAGAGTGTCGACGAGTGACCAGAAGACTGGCCTTATGAAGGCAGTCCAGCTGTGGACCCTAGTGGGTCCACGGCAGGAGGCCGCCATTGGCCAGTCACATGCGACACAGGCTAACCCTGTGACAATGCGTGTAGACTGGCTGCCCCGCTCGTCAGGCAGAGAAGCGCAGCTGGCATCTGACTGCATCAAGTTCCCCAAATCCTGGGAAAGCCCGGTTGCCTCGGAAAGCGGTGGGACATGTATGGGACTCGTGACAAATGGGCACTGATAGGAGGGTAATGGTCGGGATAGAGCTAGGTTTCATGTCTGGTAGTGCCTCATGTACAAAAAGGAAAAGTCTTATGAAGGATGGGCGGTTGGAACAAAGCTTGGAAATGTCGCAGTGTTTCATGTACCAAAAAGGAAAACGAGAGTGACGTGAAGAAGGACAAGGTCATGGGCAGGACAAGGTCTCTCAAAGACCATGAGGAAGATCTTAGTTGCAATTTGAGATCGCCTTTGTCCCACATTCGCAGTTCTGCCTTCGTCCAGATTATTTCCTCCGAAATGACGTAACAAATTTGTATCGGTGTCCTTGAACCATTGCTGTTCTAACGAACGAACGGACGAACTTAACAAGTCCTGGAAGACACTGGAGAACTTGCTATCTTTTGGTGTTGCAACCTACACTAGCCATAGGACCTTGTGACAAGGGCAGTATTCTGGGCTTGGAACAGTAGTTCAATTCAGCTGATAAACTTCTTTGGTCTCGAAGGCCTTGTTGATCCCTTTCGACCTCCATGAGAAGGCCGGGCTTCAAGGCCTTCTTATGCCAAAGGGAATCGGTACGTACTTGAGGTACGTATCGAGCCTTGTCACCTGAGGCTTCAAAGCATTTGTCTAGCAGTCTGTGTACATGTGGATCTTTCGGAATGCCTTCATCCATTCCCTATCTTCCTTCTAGCGCCGTCCTTCATCCGGGCACCCTGCTCCTTGCTTGGTTGGTTGTGGTTATTCCTAGGATGACTAGGATTGTCTTGTGGTGATCTTTCAGTGTCTTCGGCACTTCCGTGGTTGGCTCTCTAGCCCGGTGGCATCGAGAGAAGTTCGGGTAAGCAGTACCGGTGGCCGAGAGTCCGGCCGAGGTGAGTGTTGCGGCCGGAGGCCTCCGGACATCTCTGAGGAGGCCCCCGGCCATCTCGAGGCTGATGCCAAGCGTCGAGGCTCTGCTAGGCCTTGCAACCCTGACCCTGGACTGTTGGCGATGTCCGTGTGACAGACCTTCAGTGCGATGAAGCAACTTGAAAGCAGCCGCTAGGGATACAGGCGACATAGAAGCTCCGGTTCCAACACATTGCATGATAACTGGAAGCAGACGCGGGAAGAAAAATCATACGACGCGTTTAGCTTATATAATATACTGACCGTAACGTATTCGGTTTATTCTTACGACCTTGCGGCAAGCCAACTGGGTCTCAACAATTTTGTCAGGAACGAGAGTGGGAAGCAGACTTACCTACCGCATAAACTGTGGTTGAGGAAGATCTTGGCCTTAGACCGCTCGGAGGGTAGTTCGACTTGTTTCAGCTCAGTCATGCGAGCCAAGTCGCTGGTCTGCAGAAAGTCTTAGAGCAACTTCAGCACCCACGCCGTTGACAATTGCTTTTCAACACTAGCACGAGTTAGTAGAGGGGTAATAAGTTAAAAGCACATTGATAGGGAACGTACTGTGATGCCATGTACCTCCTAATATGCTCCGGGGGAACGACACTCTGTGAGAAGATTCTGGGCGTTTGCTGCACAGACCGCTAGTCCTTTGCCCTGCAGGCACCCTCTTTGACAGCGGTTCTGGCACTTCCCAGAATCCCCTCCTTTGCAGACCTTCCTCCTCTTTGTATCGCCAGCTCTATATAGCTGGCGATCCCTTCCAGCCTCAGTTAGCTGGGTCCCTCAATCAACATCATTCCCATCATTCGTGATCCATCTCATACACTCTCTCCCGGACAGTCGTAGGGTTGCATATATAGTTTGAACTCCATGACCTGACAGGCGTATCGGACTAGAGCGGTCAATTTTGTATTGGGAAGGACTCCTTGCGTCGATGACTCCCCTTCGTCTTTCCACCCGCTTACTGCCATCATCTGCGGGACGGCCGACCCATAAGAGGCGATGAAGCCACAGGTAGAATTCTGGACCGGGAACGCCAAGACTCGTAGTGACAACCTCCTGTAGTATTGTCAACTTTCTCCCGTCTGTCAAGATTGTGGAGCCCGAAAGGGGGTGGTCATTCGTGGAAAGGATAGCTCGAAGGGCCTCGGGTTCGCGGAATATGGTTGAAATGAACCGATCCTTTTTTCCCTTCCTTTTGGGTGGTTGCCAACCGAGTCGCTCGTATTGCTGCAACTTCTTTGCCCTTAGGGCGGACGTGGAGAGAGGAGAGGGGAAAGACGTGAAGAGGAGCATTTCGGGAAGCAGGGAGAGCGTGGGTCCGCTGACGAGCGCTCAGAATTGGAACACTAGCGAGATCAAGTTGACGGATAACAATAGTGACGATGGGCACAACCAGAGTGGCTGGCCGACGGGGACCAGGATAACGATGGTGATGTATGTCATGAGAATTGAGTAGTGTCACGGAGCCGTAGGTTGGGCGCGTGAAAAGACAGGGCTTGGGCCTGAAAACCAACTGCTATGCGTGAGACCAAGCTGGGGAAAACGAGAAAAAAGGAAGAAGTTCTACGCGCTCCGTCCGTCTCCCATTGTTGAGGAAGATGGATATCTTTGTTAGTATTTAGTGTATCGATCCACACATGGATCACTCATGTACATATATCGGGGGATTCCCCCACCCTTTCTTTCTTCCCTTTTTTTCTTCTTCAATTAACAAGTTCACCACTACTATTCTTTTATCCTCTTGTACACTCATATTTAGATCCACTCCGTTCACTTCGACAATTAGATCTTCAAGACTTGACGGGCCTTTTTAACCCAGGCCCGAAGTAGTGAACTTGTAAAAGTCATTACATTGCGTAACAGCTAAGTCACCTTACTACAACGCAATTCCAACTTTATGTTCAGCCTTCCGTCGATTTAGATGGCGTAGTTCTCGTAGAGGTTCTGCGTATCTTATCTCGTAAGTTATTCCCAATTTTTGAGCGCCTCCTCTTCAACGACGTCTTAGTTGCGGCTGATGAACCTAATTGAAGCGGAGCTTCCACTATCGTGGAGGTAATTTCATCTGCCGAAGAATAATTGAACGACGATTCGATTTCTAATGATGAACGTAGTTGTAAATGTTAGCAAACTTAACTATTAGTTCTTGCAGGGAGACGCTACCTTTTGCAAGTTGTAAAGATGCTATATTGTGACGAACGGCAGTCTGACCTGCCTAAATGGGATAGCTGAAGGTGAAGACTATCAGAAGACGTTCGGTGAAGCCAAAAGGTTCACGACAAGTATGGTAGCGTTATACTAGTCTGAGTGATAATATTCTGTTGACTACTGCAGAACTATCTAGTGTCGAGGATTCTCGGGGTTCTTATACATGCCTTGTCCGTTCATGTAGACTGGCTCACTGGCGATGGCTCACCCGTCGTGAGCTGGCTCACCAGCCGTGAGCCTTGCTCGTGAGCCCTCCTTGTCTGATCCTGGTGTCGGACCTTGCAATGGTTACATTGCCCCACCGTGAGCCGCTGGCTCACCGGTGGCTTGGGTTGGCCCGTGTTATTCGCTTAAAGTTCGTAACATATATTTTCTATGACAAGAAGAGATTTCGCGTGGGACGAGCCTAAGGCTGCTGAATAACCAGACAGCGCCCGTTGACACATCACTTCAGCCTCCTTTAGTCGGCCCTGATCCGCGTAGAGGCTGCCCAAGTTGTTAACTGTATCGAGAGTCGACGTATGATCCAGACTTGAGTTGGGCCAAGAGGTCCTACCACACAAGAAAACAAATACGCCGCTACCTTCAGAGGGTAGGGTAGAGGAGGCCAGCTAGAGTAGCTAGGTACTTAGTAAATTTGGCCACAAAACACTTCATCACAGCATAGAGGTTATTACTGTCGCATATCGGCCCACAACTGCGACTGCTGCTCCTCCGCCTTCTCCACCACAAGCTGCTGCGTCTCGCCAAACAAGTTGTCCTCCAACTCAAATCGCACATTCTCCATGTCAGTGTCGATTTTATCTTCCACATGACCGACGATGTGCTCCATTTCCTCCGTATCGTATCGGCATGGAAGACAGTGTTCGCCCCGAACAGAGTCGGCCATCATCTTTTCAAGGTGTTTGAGGCGACTTTGCTAATCGGCGTAGCTCTTGGCTAGTTGAGCTAAGGCAGTGAGAATGCGCTTGTCGGTGGTTGAGGGAGACGGGGGTTCACTTGTGCGCCGACGTTTGCACATTCTTCTTGTTCCCACTGTATCTTTGGTTTGTTTTTAATTAAAAGTAGAGAAGATGATAGCTGGCACTAGGCACGGAGTTGTACGTTACCTCTATCCAGATCGAACAGAGAGCGCATTGCAGGAATAAAAGCGAGAAAGTTGGAGGCGTGATATTGACGAGACTAGCTATCGTAGGGCAGTATCCCCATTCCCACCACTATTAATTTCTAATTGAAACCCAAATCATTCGCCTTTCCCAACCACAGCTCACAGAAGAGGCAAATACGAGCCCGGGCCAGCCAGAGACTTGCCTAGGTATAATACTCTACTAATCATTACCAAAAACCCAAGTCGCTTATCTTCGATACGGGAATCGAACCCGCTCCTCAGAGGCTTCACCCCTGCGCGCTACCATAGCGCCTATCGAAACGCAAACTTAGGTCACTTCTCACCGGTAGAATCAGCAGCCTCCGCCATAGACGTATCAGTAGCCTCCGCCTGAGCCTCGCAAAGCGCCTCTACTTTGCCCTGCAGGACACGGAGGGCAGCGGCCATCTCAGACATCTCTTTCTTAACATCTAAGGTTAAGTCCCGAACAGACGCAACCATGTTCGTGAAGAACGCCGCTTGATCCTGGGAAGAGGAGGTGATGGTAGTATTCATCTCGCCAATCTTGTTCTCGATGCCAGCAAGGCGAGTAGCGAGGAGGTTGCGGAAAATGAGGGTATTAATGTCGGCAACGCCAGAAACCGGGGCGGGGGCATCAGGGGCGTCGGGAGTACCGGGAGCATCGTCAGCAGCGAGGCCGAGGGAGGGCATCAAGGCCGCCTTGTGCAAGCGAGCAAGGTGCGCAGGGACGCGCCAACCCTCAGTGGTGAGCTTGCCGGTAGTCCAAGTCAGGACAGCCTTGGGCGTGGGATTGTCCGAAAGATCATTGTGCTTAATGTGGTATTCGGAATACGCCTCCCAAAGGTCGGCAGCGGCAGTAATGAGAGCCTGCTTCTGGGTGGCCGTCTCCTCTGCGTCGCAGTCATCAAACTCGGCTAACTCCCAGGACGCAAAGCTGTCCTACAGCCGGGTTCCGAAGGGTGCCAGGTCAGGGGGCAGATCGCAGATACGAGCCTTGCGGGTTTGCTCGCAGGAGGCGGTAGCACGGAAAGCATCGCCTAGGAAACGGATGTTAGTAAGTGAAAGAAAACTGAATTAGGGTATACTCACGCTTCACGAAACAGGAAAAGTCGCTCGCAATCTCCCGGAGGATAGTGTCTTCGGCCACATCGGGGCCGCCCAAGTCGGAGGCAGCCCGCGCGAAACTGAGAGTGCAAGTCGCGCAGGGCGGCAGGCGAGCAGCACTACGGAACAAATTAGCGGTACGAACGGGCATAACCATAAGGATGACTTACGACTCCGGGCTGTCGGAGGGAATGCCCGCGGCGCGGCAGCGCGCATGCGTGAGGCGCTCGACGGGAGTGAGGGCGAGGGCCATACTGGGACAGGAACTGGGACAGGAACTGGACAGATAGGGCGCGGGGCAAAAGTTTATCTGCGGCGATGAAAAGAGAGAGAAGGGGAGGAAGAGGAGGGGGGAGGGAAGGGTTCTTATTACTAACGCGGAGGATCATCTACAGATTCTGAAGCACAGACTTACAATAGCACTTACGTTATTCGCAGTCGCCAGGTAGCCAAAGAAGCGATTACGCAACTACTAGTAAACCGATCTCGACTACAAAAGAACACTCTCGAACGAGCAAACAAGGCGAAGCGGGGTTGGCACTTGGGACGACAAGCACCTTGAGGGCCGTCTGACCGCTTCGAACCAATAACACCGCCAGGATAAGATAGAATGAACCAATAAGACGACAAACCGGCATAATAAGGAGCTCGAGACTACTTATACCGAATTCCAGAAGAAAAGTCGTAGTGGGGCGCCACTGACCGGTCAAGGAGGGAGAGATAACACAGCGAGGGCACTCCGGCACGGCACCCGGGCGGCCGGCAACGGGACGACTGACACGGAAACGGGCACGGACCTCGGGACAGGACACAGAGGCCAGCCGGCAAGGACGGACATTGGGACAGGCCACGGAGGACGAGTGAACCCTGGAGAAGGGGGCCACGGCCATGGAGGTTTCTGGGAACCACCCCCCCCCCCCCCCCCCCCCCCCCAGGAGACGAAGACCATCTCTACGAGCCTATCATAGCAGCTTACGATGAGGTCATCGGCAAGCTGTAGAGATTAGAAAGGTGATAGAAAGGGTGGTTGATTTTGTTATTTTAATTGTAGAAAGGAAGAAGGAAACAAAGTTTAGGGCAGACTAGAAATATGGAGCAGTTGATGCACAGGCTACAACTTTGATCATCAAGCATACGCCAGTTACGAGTCACCTTTTCAAGCTTCCTATGGATAGACTACAGTAGTTTACAATATGTCTCATACTCTTCATCGCCGGGGAGCTTATTATTGAGCTTCTCAGTGATAGCTGGATCTCTCCAGTCGTCACAGCCAGGGTTCCCTAGCATCCTAACTGAGGTCTCCTCAGGCTCAGTCACCGATACTAAAGTCCTCCGGATCAGCTGCTTTAGAAGTAAGCGCTGGCATCTGACGGTTTCGGAAAATTCGGAAAACTCGCGCCGGAAGTGAATCCATTCGTCTAGAAACTCATAGCCTTGCTGGCACTGATCAATTGTCGTAACCAAAAGCGGAATGATGCCGATTATAAGTCCGGCAACTTCGATACCGGACATTATGGAAAGAGAGGCCCAGAGCGCAGTTGACTGAATGAACGAATGACCGAGGGGACAATTGAACTTGGAGGAAAGAAAACTCGGCTGGGGGAGTCTTGCCTCCACGTCTGGTTTCGTCTGAGGGGAGGACCTACCCCCTCACTGAGGGAACGGCCTGCGTGCATGCACATTAAGCAGGCTGGAACGTCGCTGCCGTAATAAGATCTCGTCGCCAACCACTCCAACGCAGGTGCAACTTCCAAGATGGCGCTTTCTAAGAAGTTCAATTGGTCACTACCCTCACCCTTCACCACCCTTGTTCCCGTAACCTGCCTCTGGTCTTATCTCTCGACTCAGCTGAGAGTGTGTTACACCGAAGGGTGACGGATTGCTTGTTGAGAGTCACGAGAGACTGACAGCCTCGCAAAGTCATTCGGCGTTGGTCCCGACTACTCCTCCTCATTTTTACTGCCAATGCTCGCCAAAGCCAGACAACGGCGGCTATCAAAAGCTTATTTCACTGCCTCAGAAAGGCGCAAAACATTCTCTTCTCTCTCGTTGGATTGGCGACGTCCTTTAAGCCAAAAGCTACCTTCACCGAGAAATGGCTCACGACATCGGAATTCCTGGCTGGACTGGCCAGAGAGCTAAAGCATGCAAAACCCTCCTCCACGACTGCCTGAAAATGGTGGTTGGCACAGAAACGGATACAGAGCTTGGAGCGCTCATCGAATCCGTCAAACACTCACTTTACCGGTTCGAGATTTGGACCGTTTCCATAAGGGAATTGTACAAGACGGACTTGAACGGGTTGCTTGGACCCCGTCTTGATGGACCCAGAACACAGCGCGATGATCTGTACAGCGAGGTCATGAGGCTACTAGACGAGCTTCACAGATTCCTCGGAGACTGTTCGTATTCAATGACCCCAGAAACTCACGTGTGACGATTCCCAGCTGACCATCACAGTGATGCAGATTTTGAATGGCACCCAGCAACAGCGAAGATGGGTCAAGAGTTCCATAAACACACCACCAGATGATATGGATATAAGCTCTTCCGAAGATTCAGACAGTGAATTTGCAGACTACATCAAAAAGAATGAGCTGGAAACCGCAGACTCGGAAACCGTCACCGAATCGAACGAACTATGTGGGTGTATTGGGGATACCATCACTAGTCTTATGAGGATAGCGATGCAAGTTGACGACTCAGTACTCCACTCCAAGTTTGATGTTTGTCGACTCAAGAATGCCGACTCTGTGGAACACTTTTGACTGCTACGAATACATTCTGCGTGATATTGCCATTGCGGTCCCTCCAGTGTTGCTGTTGAGATGTAAGATGACCAGGGGGACTCAAAATAGGATAGGAAGGAATAGGGAGTAAATAATAAAGATTGGGGAGTAAATCAAGATCAATTCTTGCAGGAGGAAAGATTGTGAAAAGCTGACTGGAGGTGGAGTTGTCCTCCAAGCCTGCCTCTTAGGATGCAGGCCTGAGTAGCTTAACAACCGCTTTATGCCCATTCGTTGCCGCTATATGCAGCGCTGTCCGTCCATCCTTATCCTTAGAACCTGCGTCAACCTTGCCAGTATCGAGAAGCAGCTTAACAACCGCCTCGTGCCCATTGTTCGCCGCCATATACAAAGCTGTCCATCCATACCAGTGCTTAGGATCTGCGTCAACCTTGCCAGTATCGAGAAGTAGCTTAACAACCGCCTGATGCCCCTTCTCTGCCGCCCTATATAGCGCTGTCCGTCCATCCTTATCCTTAGAACCTGCGTCAACCTTGCCAGTATCGAGAAGCAGCTTAACAACCGCCTCGTGCCCATTCTCTGCCGCCTTATACAACGCTGTCCATCCATTCGTATCCTTAGAACCTGTATCAACCTTGCCAGTATCGAGAAGCAGCTTAACAACCGCCTCATGCCCATTATATGCCGCCCAATGCAGCGCTGTCCATCCATTCCTATTCTTAGCATCTGCGTCAACCTTGCCAGTATCGAGAAGCAGCTTAACAACCGCCTCATGCCCATTCACTGCCGCCATATGCAGCGCTGTATCTCCATCCTTATCCTTAGGATCTGCATCAACCTTGCCAGTATCGAGAAGCAGTTTAACAACCGCCTCATGCCCATTCTTCGCCGCCATATACAGCGCTGTCCATCCATGCAGGTGCTTAGGATCTGCGTCAACCTTGCCAGTATTGAGAAGTAGCTTAACAACCGCTTCATGTCCCTTCCCTGCCGCCATATGTAGCGCTGTCCATCCATACTGGTCCTGAGCATCTGCGTCAACCTTGCCAGTATCGAGAAGTAGCTTAACAACCGCCTCGTGCCCATTCTCTGCCGCCATATGCAGCGCTGTCCGTCCATCCTTATCCTTAGAACCTGCGTCAACCTTGCCACTATCGAGAAGTAGCTTAACAACCGCCTCATGCCCATTTTCTGCCGCCATATATAGCGCTGTCTGTCCATCCCGGTCCTGGGCATCTGCATCAACCTTGCCAGTATCGAGAAGCAGTTTAACAACCGCCTCATGCCCATTCTTCGCCGCCATATACAGCGCTGTCCGTCTAACCCTATCCTTAGGATCTGCGTCAACCTTGCCAGTATTGAGAAGCAGCTTAACAACCGCCTCATGCCCATTCTCCGCTGCCATATACAGCGCTATCTGTCCAGCCCTATTCTTAGCATCTGCGTCAACCTTGCCAGTATCGAGAAGTAGCTTAACAACCGCCTCGTGCCCATTCTTCGCTGCCATATGTAGCGCTGTCTGTTCAGCCCTATCCTTAGGATCTGCGTCAACCTTGCCACTATCGAGAAGCAGCTTAACAACCGCCTTATGCCCATTCGTTGCCGCCATATGTAGCGCTGTCCATCTATCCGTATCCTCAGGATCTGCGTCAACCTTGCCAGTATCGAGAAGTAGCTTAATAACCGCCTCGTGCCCATTCTTCGCCGCCATATGCAGCGCTGTCCGTTTAGCCCTATCTTTAGGATCTGCGTCAACCTTGCCAGTATCGAGAAGCAGCTTAACAACCGCCTCATGCCCATTCTCTGCCGCCATATGCAGCGCTGTCCGTCCATCCGTATCCTTAGGATCTGCATCAACCTTGCCAGTATCGAGAAGCAGCTTAACAACCGCCTCACGCCCCTTTGCTGCCGCCGAATGCAGCGCTGTCCGTTCATCCTTATTCTTAGGATCTGCGTCAACCTTGCCAGTATCAAGAAGTAGCTTAACAACCGCCTCATGCCCATTCTCTGCCGCCCTATGCAGCGCTGTCCATCCATACTGGTCCTGAGCATCTGCGTCAACCTTGCCAGTATTGAGAAGCAGCTTAACAACCGCCTCACGCCCATGTGCTGCCGCCATATGCAGCGCTGTCCATCCATCCTGGCCCTTAGGATCTGCATCAACCTTGCCAGTATTGAGAAGTAGCTTAACAACCGCTTCATGTCCCTTCTCTGCCGCCATATGTAGCGCTGTCCATTCATACCGGTCCTGAGCATCTGCGTCAACCTTGCCAGTATCGAGAAGTAGCTTAACAACCGCCTCACGCCCCTTCGCTGCCGCCATATGTAGCGTTGTCCGTTTATCCCGGTCCTGAGTACTTGCGTTAACCTTGCCGGTATCGAGAAGTAGCTGAACGACTACTTCATGCTCAGTTATCGCCGCTCGATGTAGCGCTGTCTGTTCATTTTCATCCTTAGCACCTGCGTCAACCTTGGCAGTATCGAGAAGCATCTTAACGATCGCTTTATAGTCTTTTTGCTCCGCAAGCCACAGCGCCGTCCGTAGCTCCTCCCTATGCAAGTTGACCTTGCCAGTGTTGAGAAGCAATTTTACGACCGTCTCATGCCCGTTTTCTGCCGCCAAGCATAGAAGCGTCCATTGGCCCTTGTCCTTAATAAGTTGATTTACCATTGTTTCCTTTGCATCTTCCTTTTCTGAATCCTCGGGGCCTAAGCAAGTCTTTTTTAGGTTGCTCATGCTCCTCAATGCCCTCTCAAGAACCGCCGTTTCTTCCCGAAGATTCTTCACTGCAACTCCATACTGTTTCACCTCTTGTAATACCAATCTGACATTCCGTATCCTAGTCGCCGCATTTCGACAACCTTCCAACCCTGTCTTTGAATGCTCTGGAATGCTTGCAAAGTAGTCGTGGTTGTTTTTATCTTGCTGCTTGTTTGGATCAAGATCCCAATCCCAGACAAGTAGAAAATTATGTGGAAAGACTGTTATCGATTGTTTGATATCTCCGGTCGTAGCTTGTAGATCGCCTGCTGGGGAAATTGCAATCATGATAACCGCCCAGTAATCGTTATATGGCCTGAGGATCGTAGGTCTCGACGCTCCTTGAAGAAGGCAGACGACATCTCCTTTTTGGACGGATTTTACCGTGGTCGGGAGAGTCCAGGAAGAACCCCATGCTTCCTTCACGCAAATAGAGCTGGGGGCATTACTCCAAGTAATGGCCACATTTTGTCTGTCTTCCCAAATAGTATTTCTCGTGACCGAGGACACTTCGCCAAGAATGCAGCCCTTGCCCTCAATGATGGCAATCTCCTTATCGTCCGAAAGGCCGTTTACAGAGACCAATTCTGATAAGACGAAGTGGATGAGTTTGTTGAAGAGTTGTTTCCACGAAATATCGTAGTCGGCGAATAATCCTGCTGCGGTTGGATTATCAGAGCTCATACCGAGTAAGGCATATACTTTATCACGATGATCCGTAGCTCCACGGGTGTGGTACATCTCTATCAGTTCACCCAGAGGGCGTATGTCAAGAGAAAAGTTGTCTGACTGACTGGTCGCGTATTTGGACCGGAAGATTGCGCCCCTTATAAGGTAGGTTACCGAAAGGATTCGAGCCCACAGGTCTGCGGGGAGTTCATTGGACAGGTTCAATACTTTCAGGCCTGAACAGAATGCAAATCCGTCAACCTCAGCAGAACCACACTTGATCAGGATATGGCGAGCCGCGGCAACTTCCTGAAGCACCTGCATTAATCTGTCAGTTTCCTTAGTCATAATACTTTGACATCGGTTCCCTTACCCAGATGCGCTGAAACCACGGTTGTTGAAGCAGTGTAAGGATTCCCGCTTTATTGTCTAATCGTTTTGTAGGCAGCTCGGCTGCGATGCGTATTCCTTCGAGCGCTTGGTCGCGCTCGGCTGCGATGCGTATTTCTTCGAGCGCTTGGTCGCTACCGGCTGCCTCCTTTCCAAGCCAAACAATTACGCGACTTGCTTTAGCGTAAATCTTCGCCATAGATTGAACTTGGTGTCCTCTTTCTTCTAGGTCTTTTTGGTTGATACAAATGGCATCTATCCATATAATTCGTTCAATGGAGTGATCTCGAAGATGTAATAGCGCTGCGTAAAGGTTTTCCCTGACGGCGAAGGCGCACCCGTTTATAAAGATGGAACAAAGGTTGTCCTCGGAGCCCCACACGTAGGATAAGGCCTCGTACGGACGAGTGCCTTTTGAGTCCAATGCGGTGCCTTTTGAGTCCAATGGGGTGCAGAAGAGCCGACAGTGTATTGTGGCGTCCTCGTTTTTAGACGGCAATAGTTGAAGCAAGCGAATATGGCTAGGTGATTCAGGAAGTTTGGAATATAGATTCTTTATAGGTGTTAGCGTTATTCTAAAATGTTGTAGGGGGAAAAGAAGTGAGCCTACTTCCACCTGCTTCGTATTATCCACGCCGGCGGACATCTCTGTATCGGCGGAACCAGTAGCTGGAGTGGCTGGGGGCCGTAGGGTGGACGTCTCTATATTAATGGAACCAGTAGCCGGAGCGAGTGGGAGCTGTGAGGCGGACGTCTCTACGTCGATGGAACCGGTAGCTGGAGCGGCCGGGAGGGGGAGGGAAGTCGGGAGGGGAAAGGAGGACGTAGAGGTAGTGGCGGAGATGTGCTGTGTAAACGTCGACAACCCGAGCAGAGGTGCAAGGCGAGACTGCTCTTGGTTCTTAGAACCTTTCCTATCCTCCGCATTTCCGTGTCGCTTGAAAGGCGTCTGGAACCATGAGCGCAATCGTCGAGGCATCGTAACTTTGAGGAAGGAACGTCTTGACTGCGGTGAGGATGCCATGGTTGATGATTAATAAATCGAGTTTATGAAAGTGCCGAGAATTCCTCTCTCCTGCCATCTAGGACAAAAAAAGGAAAAGAAACTAGAACACTATGTTTTCTTGGGGCGATGATGGAGCATGGGGCTTTCTGTATTATCACCTTGTCAGGCGTAGGATGGCTGGCGGCTCCCTCCCCACTACACGCCAATGGCCCAAAGGACATTTCTTTTTAGAGGCGGGGCATTCTAGACTTAGAGGCTTCAGGGCGCCAATCAATAAACTCGACTTGGGCGAGGGCCGTGGCTTTCTGTCACGGGGTCTACAGGGTTGGCAATAGTGTACCAGTAGCGGCCTGGTAGCTTGCACCACTTATGGGGCCGTGGCGCGGGTAGGGCTCAGCTTTTCACCTTTTCCCGAATGTTACGAGCGACGTGGTCACGAGAGACAAAGCTGAACACGTTGATTCCATGTCTATAGTAGAATCACAAGATAAAGAAGAAAAAGAGGGAAACGTGCAAAGGCGCGCCTGGCGCCCAGGGTTTCAACCCAGGGCCCAAATGGCCGGTGCACGCGGCACGACATCACGTGCACGTCCCGCCGTGCCGGGACCCATCCGCTAGTGCCGTGATACCGAATATCGTTCGTTATGCGGCGTTATGGTTTCTAATCCTCCTTTGATCTTAACCCTCCAAGGTCCGGTCACCTTCCTCCATATCGGAGTCAAGGTCGAGATCATCCTCCTCCTCCTCGCTGCTCATCCGATCAAGTTCATTTTGCAACAATTCTATGAGCTTCTCCTGAGTGTTCTCGAGGACCTTTGCCACGATCTAGTGATAGTAAGTTTCCAGTTCCTCATCTAACTTTTTGCTGTTCGTTTGCTGACCTTGTCTCTAAGCAGATTCTTGGCCTTCATGTAGTCGCAATAATGCTCGATCGTAGAATCTTCCATCGCTTTGGCCATTTGCAGGGAGAGTTCACAGCCGTGGTGGGCGGGGATGGGAGGTGGGACGAGGACGGTTCCGTCCGGTCCGGTTATGGTGCGCGTGGATGTGCCCGCGATGCCCGTGACCGTGGTGATGGTGAGGCCTATGGCTCCCGTGCCCGTAGTCTCTGTGACAATCTGGGATTGCTGGGCTGGCGCTTCAGGTGTAACCGTAACAGTGGAAGGGGCAGTTGCAGGAATGGGAGACTTTTTGTCCGCATCCATGTCCGCTAAGGAGAGCCTGGCGAGCCAGTTTGCGGCAGACCGATCCCAACGGCAACCAGGTGCCAGCCAGCCAGCAAGCCTTCGTTCCCACAAACACACGATGTGCGGTAAGCATGAATACCGACGCCGGCGCCAGCATCAGGCTATCAAGCCCGCGGAAGGTCATGAAGGAGCGTTGAGAGCGTGTTTGGACCAATGACTGGCCTGGAAGCAACTTGTTCCTGAATCCAAAGGCCCGAGAAGGCTAGACCAGCACGCAGACTGGGGTTCGATGGCACCCAAAATCACCAACTGCAGTCTTGGCAGGGGTATCCTACCTTGAGCCTACCGTTCGATGCAACCTTTTGATCGGAAAGGGAAGGCCGCCAGGGTTGTTCAGACTCTTCCATCGAGCTATTGAATCTGTCATCCGCTTAGCAAATTTCTGAGCACAGCGCTAGAAGCCCAGGCAGCACACCCACCTGGCTAAAAAAGCGGTCCAAAAGATAGCAGCGAGAGAGGAGACACGGGAGAGAACGAGAAGGAGAGGAGGAATTAGGTATCACAGGCAAGGGTACATCCTCGGTCCTCAAGGCTCAACCCATTTTGCCTCAACTGTCCTCACGAGTTGGCTTGACTGTTCACAGGAAAACATCATCATGCCCCAAGCGTCTTTTATGGCTTTTTTGTATGTAGGTATGGACAAGCAGTTCAGCGAATATCGATTCTTTTATGCATCAAATTGCCTTACAGTACCGCATCACAGATCTTCATTCTCCGTAGTCGTCTCTAAACTGGAAACGCCCCGGTTCTCTGAGAGCACTGACTGAAGACATGCACGGTTCTGTCCCCAGACCCCAGAAAATCATGCCATATGATGCGTTGGCGAGGAGTGATCCAATGGGAAAGATGGCTCTGAATCCCACTTTGAACAATATGATCGTGGTTAATTTCCACTTGCATCAAGACAGTCGAACTGCACAGTTGTCGCCCGGCCAAGCTGGCTTACCGGAACGCTGACCCAGCTTGGGCGCTTGGCCGGACCGGGGCCTGGCTCATCTCGTCACAAAGTCCAGAATCCAGCGAGCTAGACTCTTCGTGGACACTCGGGATGCTAGCCCTCAACACCGGTGCAAGATCGGGAGCACTATGAAAGGTCAGCTTGCCCACCCATCCGGCTCTTGTATCTTCTTCTTTTTTTTCTCCCTACGTCCCTTTTGATCCTGTTCAACCCCATCACCAAACGGCGTGCTTTCCAGCCGTGCAAGCCTTGTGTTTGCGTCCTCTCTTTGAGATCATATCATCACATACACCCTTTAAGGCCCCGGCCATTACAACTCATCTATCCCTTTTCACGGGTATAGTCATTCTTTTCAAAACACACAAGCTAATCACTTAATATCATCATGCACAAAAGTCTTGTGGCAGCGGCCGTCTTGGCCGCTACCGCCCGGGCTGCTACCGTCTCGGAGCACAAGGTCAACGTTTACTGGGGACAGGCTGGAAACACTAGGCTCAGGGATCACTGCGACCAGGCCAACTTCGACTATGTTACTATCGGCTTCGTCAACAACTCCCCCGAGCAGGACAAGTCCGGCCTGAACTACCCCGGTACCAACTTCGGCTCTCACTGCGATGCCACCTACTACACGAACTCCAAGACCAACGTGGCGTCTCCTCTGCTCAGCAAGTGTACCGTCATTGCGGCGGATATTCAGTACTGCCAGGAGAAGGGAAAGAAGGTTCTGCTCTCCGTCGGTGGTGCTTCGGCCACGGGCTCGAACTATTCTCTCTCGAGCGATGTCAAGGGTCAGGAGTTTGCCAGCTTCTTGTGGGGAGCCTTTGGTCCCTATGATTCCAAGTGGACGGGACCCCGTCCCTTTGACTACGCTGGTAACCACGTCTCGGTTGATGGTTTCGACTTGGATATTGAAGTCAAGTTCAACACAGGTATGTTTCTGGGCGTTGGAGAGTCGAATCTGAAAGTGAACACGGGCTAACTTGCTGCAGTCGGCCAAAATGCTTATGTCGCTTTGGCTAAGAAGCTTCGCGAGTTGTACAACGGCAACAGCAAGTACCTCCTTACCGCCGCTCCCGAATGCCCGCTTGATGTTGCCAACTTCAAGATGAAGTCCATCATTGCCAACGCCCAGTTCGATGCCCTCTTCATCCAGTTCTACAACAACCCTGGCTGCGCGGCTGCCTCGACGGCTGGCTTCAACTATCTCGCTTGGGAGGCGGCCATTGCCACCGGCAAGAGCAAGAACGCCAAGCTCTTCATCGGTCTTCCTGGCTCCTCTGACGCCGCCGGCTCTGGCTACGTTGAGCCCGTCAAGGCTGCCGCTCTGATCAACACCTACAAGACCCGCGACTCTTTCGGCGGTGCCATGATCTGGGATGTCTATTACGGCCAGGAGGTGACCAACGGAAAGACCTTCGTTGATGCGATCAACACCGCCTGCCACGGTACCGCCAACCCCACGACTACTACCACCGCTGCCCCGGCTCCCACTGCCATCGGTTGCACGGCTTACCACACCGTCACTCCCGGTGAATTCTGCTATCTGATTGCCCAGAACTATGGCATCACTGTTACCGAGCTCATCAGGTATAACCCTGCCTTGGATGCGGCCTGCGCCATCCAGGTTGGTCAGAAGTTGTGCGTCAAGCAGGGTATTGTTACTCTTACGAGCACCAGTGCCTCTGCCACCACCACTACTAGCACCAGCTCCAGCTCGTCGGTCGAGTCTACCACCTCCACTAGCACCGAGGCTCCTTCCAGCACTGAGACTTCCACCAGCACCGAGGCTCCTTCCAGCACCGAGGCCGTTTCTTCCACCATCACCTCTGCTCCCGCTGTCTCATCCACCGAGGCCGCTAGCTCGAGCTCTGAGGCTGTCAGCACCTCTGAGTTCTGCGAGGACGAGACTACCACCTCTGCCCCTGCTTCGGAGACCGAGACTGTGACCTCCTCTGCTACCGTTTCCGAGTCTGCCTCCGTCATCGTCAGCGAGTCTGCTTCCTCTACCATCACTTCCGCCCCGGTTGTGATCTCCAGCAGCGCTGTCAGCTCTGAGGTCCCCACCTCCACTGATGAGGACAGCTGCGACGATGAGACTACCACCTCTTCCGAGATCGTCTCTTCCACCGAGGCCCCTGTCGTCTCTGCTACCGAGTCCACTATCGTTTCCGAGACTGCTTCTGCTACTGAGTCTGCTTCTGCTACTGAGTCTGCTTCTGCTACTGAGTCTGCTTCTGCTACTGAGTCTGCTTCCGTCACCGAGTCTGCTTCCGTCACCGAGTCCAGCCTGATCAGCGTCAGCTTCAGCACCGAGGTCCCCTCCGCCACCGAGGGTCCTTCCGATGGCTCTTCCACCACTGTTGATCCTTCCATCATCACCTCTGCCCCCGTCGACGTCGTTATCCCCAGCGGCAGTGGCAGCTCCGAGATCATCAGCAGTACCACCACTGAGGACGACTCTTGCGATGATGAGACTACTACCGAGGCTCCTGTTGGTTCCGCTACTGAGTCCGCTGTTGTTTCTTCCACTGAGGCTCCTATTGTCTCTACCACCGAGTCTGCTGTTCCCTCTAACATTGTTAGCGAGAGCATCATTCCCAGCGGTGTCGTTCCTAGCGGCGTTGTTTCCAGCATCATCTCCGATGTCACTGCTGGCCCTACCGATGGCAACAGCGTCGTTGTTCCCTCTGCCTCCGTCTCCGTCCCCGCTGAGGGCGGTATCTCCTCTGCCCCTGGCGCCGGTGTCACTTCCGCCCCCGCTGAGGAGTGGACCACCTCGACCATCTACACCACCACCACCTCTACCATCACCAGCTGCGCTCCTGAGGTGACCGACTGCCCCGGCAAGATTGGCCAGGTCACCACCGTTGTTGTCGCCATCGGCACCACCGTCTGCCCCGTCACCGCCACCGAGACCTCCGCCAGCGCTCCCACGGGCATCATCACCTCGGTCCCCATCGAGTCGATCCCCGCTGGCTTCACCACCTCGACCATCTACACCACCACCACCTCCACCATCACCAGCTGCGCCCCCACCGTGACTGACTGCCCCGGCAAGATCGGCCAGGTTACTACCATTGTCGTACCCGTCGGCGTCACCGTCTGCCCCATCACCGAGGCCTTCCCTCCCGCCACCTCGGTCCCCGCCGCTCCCTCCGCTGGCGCCCCCGGTGCCCCCGGTGCTCCTGCCGTCTCCGCTCCCGCCGTTCCCTCCGGTGGTGCCGGTGTCCCCGCCGTCTCCGCTCCCGCCGTTCCCTCCGGTGGTGCCGGTGTCCCCGCCGTCCCCTCCTCCGGTGCCCCTGGCGCTGGTACTCCTGAGGTCGATACCACCTCCACCACCTCCGTCACCTCCGTGCACTTCACCACCGTCACCGTCGCCAAGCCCACCGCTTCCGCTCCCGGTGCCCCTGGTGCCCCTGGTGCCGGTGTCCCCGCCTTCCCCTCCGAGGTCCCCTCCGGCGGCAACCCCGTCCCCCCCGTCGTCAACGCCCCTGCCGTCCCCAGCGGCACTGCCCCCGCTGGCACTGCCCCCGCTGGCACCGGTGTCTCGCTTGCTCCTTCTAGCGCTCCCTCAACCTACAGCATGCCTGCGCCGCCTGCTCAGACTGAGCCTGCCACTGGCGGCTCTGAGCCCTCGGAGGTCCCCGTCACTGCTGGTGCCGGACGCAACGTTGTTGCGATCGGTGTGCCCGCGTTGATGGCTGCTTTGGTTCTTGCTTTGTAAATTTTTGATATGCATGTGGGAGGAATGTTGAATGGAGAATGAAATGCACAATGGGTGTACATGGAAGAAGAAGAAGAAGAACTTTTGGACATGCATGATTAGCAAGCTTTTTTTTGGACATATTAGGAAGTCTTTTTACATAGTGTACATGCACGATTGTTTGTACCTACTACTGCATGTCTTTTTCATTCATGTCCATGGTGTTTTCCCATTCTCTCTGCATGCATTCATCCTAAAAATATCCTTGGGGTCTATGGAGGAGGCAAAGCAAGCGAGCATATCTGATTTTCATTTTCATTTCTTTTTTTATCTGTCACTTGTTTCCTAGAGTAAGAATTCGCCTGCATCAACCTTGCCAGTATCGAAAAGCAGCTGAACGACTACCTCATGCCCAGTTATCGCCGCTCGATACAGCGCTGTCTGTCCATTCTCATCCTTAGCACCTGCGCCAACCTTGCCAGTATCGAGAAGCATCTTAACGATCGCTTTATAGTCTTTTTTTCCCTCGTTGAGGGTTTCCAGGGCCTCCTGGTGGCGCGTAGCGATTGCTTGAAGGTGGTCGATAGCCTTTTGGCGCTCAGCGTCTTGCTTTCCGTACTTGGCGATGGTAGTCCAGACTTCAGAAGCGAAGCGGGAGCTGGCCTGTTGGACCTGCTGTTCGAGGCGGGTGATCTGGCTTTGCGAGGCCTCGGATCCTGCTTCGAAGAGGTTGGTGACGATGGTGTAGTTTTTTCTTCAGCACCTCATACTGCTCCTTGAGGGAGGCGAGTTCGTGGATTTGTTCCTGGCCTACGGTCACGGCGATTTCGCGGAGATGATTGTGGGCTGTCGTGAGTTGTTGGTGAAGCGTAACGAGCCAGGGTGGTGGGTTGTCAACGCTGACGATGCCCGTGGGGATTTGGGCTTCGCCATCTTCTTTCATGACGACGTCAAAGTCTACTGGGTTGTAGAGCACTAAGGTCGTTGTGGGTTCGACCGAGAGCATGGGAGTGTCGGGGTTGGAAGTCATGATGGGCAAAGAGGCCGTAAGAAGAGTTGGAAAATTGGTTCGAGAGGGAGGTAAATTATCTGTGACAAGGGCAGGTTTCTGGGCTTGGAACAAGTCGTTCAATTCAGCTGATAATTTACTTTGGTCTCGAAGGCCTTGTTGATCCTTTCAACCTCCATGAGAAGATCGGGCCTTAAGGCCTTCTTATACCAAAGAAGGTTGGTACGTACCGAGCCCTGTGTGCCAGGCATCGGCGCGAGTCTATCTAGTTCATCTGCCTACAAGTAGATCTTCTGAATGCCAGCCTTCGTCCAATTGCCCGTCGGTAATTCCGGTCGGCGGTTTAATTGATGAATGTCGCCGGCGAAAGTCCGTGTGGCATTCTGTCGGTAATTCCGGTCGGCAGTTTGACTGATGAATGTCGCCGGCGAATGTCCGTGTGACACTTGGAGACGGACAGTGGAAGGGTGAATTTGGTGAGTTGCTTGATGTTGTCGTGCTGGGGGATTTAGATTCAATAGTCTTTATACTCAAGATCCTTTACCCGTTCACAATGATGCCATTTGATGCAAAATTGAAGCGTGTGTAAGTCGGTGGTCCAAACCCCGACCGTTCGGCGTTATGGAGGTGCGGATGCAGTAAGCAGCGGGAACGGAAGGATCGACCATCTCGCACACTCATGATTGGACTATTTGTAAGCGCTGATTACCAAAGCCAACTTGCCTGAGTCCGAACCATCAACACAAGTCAAATGTTTGAAGTGCGAAGGTGCTGCTGTCAAGAGCTGGTAAGATCGCGCTAGGTAGGTATCCCGTCGAAGCATGCTGCCGTCCCGCGTCACTATCAATACCCGTCCAAATCTATCTCTTATACTCGCACCGTCCATCCGAGTTACATGTGCAGCCAGCGCACACCTAGTTCTGAAACGTATTAATGAAGATACAACTGAAAGGAAGGGAATAGAAGAAGTAAAGTCCTTAGTGCTGAAATGGACGTGCAATGGAAGCACTAACATTCCATGTAGAAAACTCTATTAGCACTAACAATTACTTGTATATCTTCCTTAAACCTTAAAGTATCTAATATCTAATGTCTACAACTACCGTCTAATCTCAAAAAGAATCCATAACCCCTATATTCGGCCTCGCTACCTTCGCAACCGGCGCATCCCTCAAACTAACCACCTTCCTTTTATCTACCGCCGGCTCTCCGATATAGACTCCTGTGCTAGCATCCCCCTCCTGCTTACCAAATATTGGTACACTGTGCCCACCAGCACCCGCTACTGCTTCAAACCCAGCATCGTATACCCCCTCATCCAAACCCAAACTCAAGCTCCTCTTCATCCCACCCCCACCAACTCTAATCCCAAGATCCAACTTATCATTAATATCCGGACACCCCTCGCACTTTTGCGCGCCATCCCATAGTTCCCATGCCAAGCATGTCTGCGGGATAATCGTCTGCTCCGCCGCATGCAAAGTCCAATACTGCGCGAGATGATAATTGAAAATGGTGGGTGCGTTGATAGCCGCGTAGAGCCGATAGCCACACCGAGCGCCCCAGCAGACCTGGGCCGAGGCGTCTACTTGACCGTTGTCGTTACCGTTGTTGACGTTTGCTTGGGCGTCGGCGTGGATAGTGGCGTAGGCTTCTATGCCTAGTTCGGCCTGTTTTTTGGGGGGCACGGGGAACGAAAAGGTTAGAGGTTGGCTTTTTGTTATTGTTGTTGGTATGGGAAAGGGTGAAGGCCGGGACAAAAAGGAGGGAAATAGGTAGTGAATGAACATACCGAAACGTCGGGAACGTCAATCGCCCATGTGAGTCCAAACGAGACGACCGGCTTCATGGTCACGGTTAGATGGCCGTGGGCGTCGACGTCGGCGTGGAAGGTCGGCTGCGGGAAGCCGCTATCGTTAGGCGCGGCCTTGTCGAAGAAGGAGGTAGCGCCCGAATGTTTCTCGGGTGGGTTTTGGGTCACACCCAGGGTGTTGGGGTATTGCTGGGTGTATTCCCACTCGGCTATCTTGAGGGAGACTGCTGCTTCACTGTTGTTGAGAGAGAGAGGGAGAGAAGTGAGATGGGTTAGTTGTGGCTCGGGTTCAGGTTCATATCATGATGTGGACAAGAAGACAAAGGGTGGGTAGGTAGGTACGTACGTGTGCAGGGTTGCTTCGCCGTCTAATTGCTGTATTTTGCGTAAAGAAGAAAGAAGGACAAGGTTAGTCTCAGATTCATCAGAGCTGCGTCATGCTTGTTGGCCGGAAAGAAGAGGGCTGAAAGGGACGGAACAGGTTGTCGGAAACTTACAGCTTTGACCCGCAGATTGGGCCCAATTGTCACGAGGCCAGGAATGCTAAAAGTCGCTCCAAACTTGTCGAGACCAAAGAGTTCCACCTCATCGCTGTTGAAGGCCATTCTTGCAAAGGCCCAAAGGTTTAGCGTAGTCTTGATCTCGCCTTTGGATCGAAATAGCATGTGTGACTCTCTCCAGGAACTCATGTCGCCGAAATCGCCCTGTTGATGCGTACGTAAGTAGTCAAGGTTAGCAGAGGTCCACACCAAAGCAAGTACCTAATAAGAAGGAAGGAAAATGCTGCTGCCGCTTACAATCAAGTTCAGCTCAGCAGTCGTTTCGACATTGATATCGAGGTCAGCCCAAATCCTCATGTACATCTCGGTAGGGATACCCATCAGCTCGCATATCTGAGTCCAGCTAAAGAGGTTCCACCTCACTCGGTCATTCACCGAGTAAGAAGCAACCTCTAATGCTTCGTCAACCTTGGAGAACCGATCCATCCACCGGGAAAGATCGTATGAGAACCAGCGTGCATGTAGTTTATGTAGCTCATGCTCGGGTGTCGAGCGCCTGTCGAGCGAGAACTTGTGATCCAAAAAGTCGGGCCATGAACCCTCGTGGTTTCGGTCCACCTCCTCTTGCATCTCTCGCTTGACCACCTCAAAATCGGAGCGCGATTTGATGCGCCGTTTGTAATTGCCGGGCTGAGCTGCAACAATTTCCGCCCAATAACCCGGATCGGTCGAGTAATCGATGCGAATTTTGACCCTCTCATCGCCGCGCTTAACGATCGGGCTGTAATCGTAGTCATAGGTAAAATCATAGACGCGGGGTGTGGATATGCCTCTCTTTTCCAGGTGTTTGCCCAGTACCCCAGGTATTTCATGATCGGTTGACGGAGTCATGGAGACCGCCACGGCATATTTGCCCGGCCCGCAACCACCAGGCATCTTGACAATTGTGCCTGCTACTTGGCCAAGAAAGATGTCACCGCAGTTGCTGGAGTCGGATTCGTCGGTGCATACGGCTTTCACAGTTCGCCGGTCTTCATGGGGTCTGTCATCGCAATCGTAAAGTGCCCAATGTGAGCCGTCCCGCGCGCTAATGGTTGTTACCGAGTCCGGTGGTCCTGTTTTAAATAGGTAGCATCTGTCAGTTTGCATTTGTCTGTATTCTGCTTGGTAGGCATGCAGTGCCTAGTTTTCAGGTATATTGATAGGAGAGGGATCTTAGGTATGTTCGTTGTATTGGAGCTTACCCGAGATAATGTGCCAACCAAAACCGTTATTGTTGGCATCCTGGTTGACGTCCTTTGTCGATTTCACGCTGTCAATCTTGATGTCGTAGTTAACGTTGTAGTCGTCCATTGTATCTGGGTTATATGTGTCAAAAAGATATCTGTGTCCAAAACGACCAGTTAGCTTTCCAAGGTATCTCGGAGAAATTGGATCAGACTGATAAAACCAGCGGGATCAACCTACTCGAGGGGAACAGGAAGATAATCAGTTCGCTGTACGTGACCGCATCACGACTGTTGTTAGCATGTACGTTGTTATCCAATAAATGTTTCGGTGGATAGGGGGGGGGAAAGCAATTGCGCTTACGATGTTGAGGTCCTCGGCCGGACAGCAGAGTTTCTCATCTGTATCTGTGAACTTATTGTGACAGTAGTAATCAGTGCAACCAGCTGTGATGTGGCAAATGTTCACTTCACACTCTCCTTCCTCCTTGCAGGCTTCCCGCGTCATGCCGCCGGATCGCAAACGACCACCACGGCCCTCAGCAACTTCGACATGGTATGCGGGGCAGGATTTTGCGTTTTGGCACTCGCTGCCAAAAGCATTGGCTTCTCCCGCCCAAAAGCATCGTTCTGTGGTCTGCACTCCTTCATCACAGCAATAAGGCACGGCATAGCCCTGATCACATGTATTCCTGGCATATGTCATGAGCTTTCTCCCTGTAAGAGCCCGACAGTGTATCGAGGTTAGCCAAGCATGCATATGAGACAGATTGTATTGGACAATGGAGGCCAAGTGAACCTGGGTACCTAGGTATCTAGGTGCTTGCAAAGATGGAAGGCTTGACTTGAAAGAAAGGGTTCATTCCTGACTGACCTTTAGGGCAAACTTTTGTTCCCGTGGGGATGCCTCTCTTCATCCAGCTCTCCAAGTCGCTAACGGCCCAACAAAAGTCGGATGCGCCACAGAGTTCCTTCCCAGATCGGCCGGTTTTACAGCAATACTTTGCCCCCGACATATCTCCTATTACACAAGAGGCGGGTTGTCCCTCAAGCATATAGTCCGCACTAGTCGCAATTAAAACTTCGTCGTACGCGCAATCGGCCTGGCCGCACCAGCCCAAATACTTGTAGGCGCCGTCGAGGATGCTGCTCTTCAAGGGTACAGCGTCAAAAATATCTGGAAGAATGTCTGGACCCTCGACAGCCCACCGACACTTTTCAGGATTTGGTGCCGCATCGATTGGACAGCAGAGTGCCTTTTCTAGGCGTTCGCCTTTGGGACGCCAGTTGCTGCAGGTCACTCTGGTCGTGGCTACCGTGCCTGGCTTAGTACATGTATGGGTACCGCAACTAGTCCACTCGCAACTCGACTTGCTCGGCTGCCAGCCGTAGTCCGCACCGATACCGTTTGCGTCCTTGAACCTGCCGGCGTCAATGACAGAGTACAGAGCGTTGTGTTTGTCGTCGTCCTGATCGATAGCCCAGATGAATAAGCCTCTAAGGCCTTGCTCGTTGGCAAACTTGACTTTATCTTTGAACGTATCCTCATCGTCAAAGGACAGCCAGTCCGTTTGGTTGTAGGTCATGTACTTGGCTCCGGCCTCTTTGTCGTAGGTCGGTTTGATGTTGAGCTCTTTGCGGATGGCCGTGATTTCATCGTACGAGAGGACACCGGGTGTTTTGGTGCAGGGTCCTGCATGTCCGGCGGACTTGAACTTGCACCCTGGGCCCCGGCAGTTGGCATCTTCCAGAACATAAGTGCGTCCATAGAAACCAAGGCCGAGATTGACCTTATTTGCTGGCACATTGTTGCGCCAGAGCAGATTGAGGGCCTCCTTAATCTCGGTAAGGTTGGTGTGAGCCAAAACAACATTGCCAATCGAGTTTTCTGGCGAGTCCCAACTTCCGTGGATGTCGTATGTCATCAGGTTGAGCCAGTCGATCGGTTCCATGAGCTTTTCGAGGTCGAACCAGCGCATGTACCAGTAGGAAGTTGGCGCAGTGAAGGAAATACCCCAATGTTTACCCGTCGTGCTTTCGCGGATATCGAATGCGTTTCGCATCTCTTCCACTAAGGTCACAAAGTTTTTGACATCTTCCTCTTTGCCACCTCTGTCCGGAGCACCAGGGTATCTAAAGATGATTAGCACAAGGTTCATGTTTTGGTGATGGGAACACAGCCATTAGAGGTAGTGCAGCACGGTTGAGACTTACTCCCAGTCCAGATCCACGCCGTCTAAACCGTGATCGGACATAAAGGTGCTGAGATTCTTGATGAACTTTGCGCGATTTGCTGAACTGCCTGCGATCTCACCCCAGAGAGGCTGGGTATCGGTGTCATTGTCACTAAAAGTCCAGCCGCCGATGGAGAGCCATATTTTGAGGCCGGGGGCTTTCTGTTTCATGTTCATGAGGTTGTTGTGGGCTTCATCGCTGACTCCCCACATTCTAACAATGTCGTAAAAGTGCGGCGAGATGTAATAAAAAGCCACGTTGAGATGAGTGATGGTGTCGACTGGTAGCCAGTCAGACCTGCGGGAAGAACCTGAATGGAGAAACCAAGTTGCAATGTCAGTATAAAGCCAGTTGCCAACGAACGTCTAATGGGAATAGAGGGGAATAAACGACTCACAGCCCTCGTTATTGTCAATGTTCCAAGCTTCTACGTATCCAATAACGAGCTTTGTGACATCACCATCACTGAGCTTGGTAGATGAAGGCTGTTCACAATTGCTTTGGCATCCATCTCCACAAAAGCCCTAAAAAGGCGAATGTTAGATGACAGCTAGGTCATGAGAGTTGCTGTTTCTTACTTACCTCAGTAGTACCACAATATCCCCATGGACCACAGCAGACATTCAGAGGACATTCCTTTCCTGGAGGATCTGCCCCGAGGCCACATTCGGCCTTTGCGTCACAGTTGGACACACAGACCTTGGCGTCGCAGTGCTCTGGTGTTCGACCGCACTGAATGGTTCGCAGAAGCAAGTTAGTGGACCATTACTGAATTGTGTTGGTAGGTACTGTGGAAGGGTGACGAAGCCGTGGTTTAGGTAACACTGAGGAGACCCAGAGCACTCGTTGCAACTTACAAAACCACTAGAGAGTCACAAGAAAAGGGTACCTAGTTAACAAACAGGACTATAATAATGGACAGGTACATGTAGCGGTGGTGCAGGCTTGAACTCACGAAGTTCCATGGCAGCATGAGCCATCAGCGCAAGGGACATCTTTGCTGCATTGTCCATCGGGAAGGCTTCGGCCCTTGAGTGACAACAGACCTATTTCCAGAGCTGAGGTCGTTCCGTCTTGAGGAATGTTGGAGGCTGAGATGTGGGTGGCCAACAAAAGGAGGGCTATAGCGGCATACAGCCACATGTGCAGACGGTGAGAAGCCATGGTTCGACACCATTAAGCCTTGTCTGCCCAAACGTGCGGAAACGAGAAGAGAGGAGTATCGGGAGTGCAAATGTACTTGACGCTTCTGTTTCCCCTTTTTCATTCTGATTCGGCCTCAATGTCGGCCTGTCGTCTAGTGTATGGTACGGGTATGTTGTCCTGAGCGAGTGCGTGTTTTCGACTTCAAGTTGGAGGGCCTGGACAACGGAAAACAATGCCGAGTGGAAACACAGCCTGGTCGTTGTGTGGCGACGATGTTGGGTATCCATCACGGAAATCAAAGAGTAGTAGTGTAGTTGTGTAGTGCCAATGTGCCTTGCCGGGTAGTTTGAGTGTGGTAAACAAAGCCGGCCGGTGGAGCAATCCAAAAGTATGGTATGTTACTGTATTGTATCGTAAAGTGCAATACCCACTGTGCCACTCCACCTCAACGCGGAGAGCGGTGTGTACCTTGCCTCAATGACCCTTTGCAGTTTCCACCCAGCTCCCCGGTCCCATCCCAGGAAGGAACATGTCAAAGGAAGTCACATCACATCACATCACATCACATGGGGCAACCTTCCAGTTCAGGTTGGTTTTGTAAAATTTCTACTCCCTCCGAGTCTGGTCTCTACCCTGGACCTCCTAGAATGTGTGCCACCCAATTTCCGCCAATGCTACAACGCTACTACTACCACTGCAGGACATTGAAGTTGCCCGACGAGCTCCGAGTCTCCGACCGACTACAGGTACCTACGTACCTCTAGTGTGGGCAAGAATGGAAGTCGCCGGCGGGCATGCATATGTCGGCCCTCGCTGTCTCGACCGGCCACCCCGTTCGGCGCATTTGTACACTACAACTGTAGAGCCCCATGTCTACAGGTATCATGATGTCCATCCGAGGTTGACAGCCCGAGAGTAAAAGACGCGCTACGGTGCGGTGCTTCCAAATCGGGGGTTGAAGGACTTTGTAAGTGTGCCTCTAGAGGTAGAGGTAGGAAGCACCCATACCTACCTCTGGGTCTACCTACCTAACTTTCAGCTTTCGTTGTGATACCTACAACAGGCACCGGTAGCTACAGGTACGGTTCTGGACGACATCAACAGCCGACCATGTACCAGGCTCACTGGGCGTCGCTGGCCCTTTGGGCTGTCCTCACCACCCTCGCCTTGGGCCAAAGCTGCCAGAGCATCGGCAACCTGAACGACGACAGCACCATCTTTGACAGAAACGGCAACGATACTCGTTCTCACAAGTCCGACATTAGAACACGCTCCCACGCTCACCTCCACGCATCCAACAGCCACACAAATAAACGGCATGCGGCCCTCCATCACTCGAGTCCCCGAAACTCCAGCCGAAGCAATATCGAGGTCTCTTCTCAAAAACACAGCAGCAGGGACAGTGGTTTACAAGTTGACATCGATGGCGACCGCATAATCTACTGGCACGAGTCCGCTCTCCAGTCCCACGTCTGGCTTGCGGCAACAAAGGACTCCAAGCCTGTCGGCGCTCTCCAGAAGCGTGCCCCTACCACTGTCAAGGTAATCAACACCGGCCTCACCCTTCCCGACTGTGCCGGATGCGCGGCCAAGAATGATGGTAAACCCCTCAAGTGGCAAGAATGGGATTGGAAAGAGATGAAACAACGCATGTTACCGGAGGCTGCATCCCAGCTCGACAATACGTGCCTTTTTTATACCGGAATACCGCCCAAAGGCGATAGCGGTGCCCAGGAGCTCTACGATAAGAATATTTTTGGTCAGTCGGCGCTTGCCACAACACTGGCGTGCAAAATGGACCTTAAAAGCATTTGGGTATGTTTCAATTCCAACGCCCGGCGGTGCATCATGTTGCCTTTTTCACTGCTGCTTCGTTTTGATTTTTCCCTGTATGCTGACGCAAAGACACCTCGCCTCCCCCGACTCCCTAGATGTTATGGCCCGGATGGAGCAAAGAATATGAAGATTCAAAGACCGATAGGAATCTGCCCAACTATTACGAAGTCAAAAAAGGCAGCTGGCTTGAGGACTGTGATCATCCAATTGACGGAGCCAAGCATCGATGGCAATACTTTGGAGCGTGAGTTAAACAACAGAACAAGGACCCCGAGATTCCCACCCTCCCCTCCCCTTCGGGTCGCCTTTATCGCATGAATGCTTATCCGTTGATAATTATCTACCAAACAGCATGTCCGAAGCCATGGCCAGAAGCTGCAGCGGTGTTGTCCGCGTCCTGGTTCCGACCCCCCAAAGCATTGGCGATGAAGTGTACACACGAATCTGGCTGTTCTACGAGTACGCAGCCCTGCGTGAGCTCCACGATCTGGGAAGAGTTAAGAGGCTGATTGCCATCGAGACGATGAAACCCGAGAATCAATACGAGTGAGTTTTTTTCATAAAGCAGTGTTTCCCTTCACCCCCCTACCTAGATATGACTCGACGCAAACGTGCAACCTTGTAGCTAACCTCTTTTTCACTCGCTCCCCCACAAAAAAAGACTCGGGTTCGAGGACGGCGAGTTTGAAGGCAAATCCTCAGCAGGCGAGGACGTATGGTATCCGGTGGAGCCCAAGATTCTACGCCAGCTCGACGCAAGCGATCCGGATTACCTTCAGAACCTGGGCGCCCATATCTATCAATTGCGGAAGCGGGACACCTGTCTTGGAAACCTGCAATGGGAAGCGGCTCTCGGACAGGATTGGTTTGGTTAATCGTGCCGTGGGAACCCCGTCCACCATATTGGCAAAGTTCTCGTATGGCGGCAAAGGAAAGAAAAAACCAGAACTTTGCACCTTTTTGTGGACCTTTCGAGCCTCCTTCAAACCTACCCTTTTAGACCTTTTAGGCCTTTTGCTTCTTTGTGGTCACGGCCTGCAAAGGCTAAGCTGACCACCCTCATCATTAAGGTACCTACACTACCCAGTCTAGATTACCAATTACAATCATCAAAACTTACAACTTGATCTCACGTCTTTGCCCTTTGAACCTTGTCTTTAAAATACTCTGCTTGCCGTGGAACGCATCCTTGAACGAATGATTTTGCTTTACCACAACGGGATCCATGAAGTGTTTACCTTATTGTAGCCTCCGGCGGCTACCGCAGTACCTACCTTACTACGTGCAAGCTTTCAAGGGGATCCTTGACCGTTACCTACACGGCTAGTGACAAGTCGTTCTACCTCTACCGCTCCAAGACACAACAATAGTAAACAGACTGTTAACGGCCATTCCATTCCCTTTATAGTTACCTCTATCCAAGTAAGTACAACAAGTCCTTTAGCCTATCACGTCCTACTACAAAGTCCAACGCACGGGCAACTCCTCAAAATCTTCCCTTGAGGTTGGGAATCTCAAAAGCCCCCTCTCCCTTGGACGCATCCAAAGCATACTCCTCCGGCTCATCCCAATACTCGCTATCTAACCCTCTCTCCCTCAACCACGCCTCCAACACCTCGACCTTCTCCTTCCTCCCGGGCCGGTTCATGCCTAGCACGTCCCGCGCAATCACCAGCGGCGTTCTTCCTTCGTCGTCCCGCAACATCTTGGCGCCCCGCTCCAGCAGGAGCTTGACCATGTCCACGTCTCCCTCACGAACGGCCAAATGCAGCACGTAGCCCTTGCGCAGCCAGACCGTCTTCCGTCGGTCCGTCGGGCTCGGCCCTTTAATGTAGTTGGCCGTGTTGAGTGCCTCGCGCAGGTTTCCTCCTCCGAGTCCTCCTTGCTTGTCAGCGTCATCGAGCAACCAGGCTAGGAGCTCTTTATTCCCCTTTTGTCGCGCCGCGGCGGGTAGGAGCTTGAGTCGGTCGAGTTTGGTGAGGGCGTCTCTGAGCGATGGTGGTGGCGGGGTCGTAGTAGGCGTGGTAGTAGTAGTAGAGTTGTCGGCGACAAAACCAGACCCAGACCCAGACCCAGACTCAGAAGACCCCGAAGAAAGCGACGACAACGCAAGAGCATACCGTATAGCTTCCACCACCAACCCCACCTCGCGCGGCCTGGATTCCCGCGGCTGCGACGTCACTCTCCCCTGTCCCTGCACCAGACTCAACAGGGTCTCTACCTTGCCCTCTGGCGTGTCCAGGTATCCCGCCTCCTTGAATGCGTCCAACATGGTCTTGAGCGGCGGCATTTCGTGGCCCGTGCCGAGCAGTCGCGGGCCGAAATGGCGCGGCGAACGCCACCGCGAGCGAATCAGCGCCGCTTCGACGTCGTGCGGCGGTGGGCGCTCGCTGCCCCAGCTTTTGGGCATCCAGTCGCGGTACCAGGTCATATACGACGACGGCTTGTCGGGTTCGGTGCTGTTGTTGCTGTTTGTCTCAGGTGGTGGTGGTGGTGGTGGCGGTCCCCCCGAAGAAGCGAGCATCTTCACCAGCTCAAAGAACTGCTTCGTCGCCGAGCTGTTAACCTGGCCACCCATGTCCAGGGACCAGACCGTTCTATCCGCCAAAACGAGCAAGAACTCCCTTATGACGGCCGAGTCCGCGCCGGGGTGCAGCGGAGACAAGTGCGGTGGAAGCTCCGACGCCAACGAGGCGAAACTGGCCGCCAGATCACCCTTGCCCGTGGGGTCCGCGTCAATGGCGTTCAGCGTGGCAAGGAAGTTGTCAAAGTCGTCATAATCTAGTTGCGAGGGTACCGTTTGCGGGCCCAGCGCCAGCCCGAGCAGGGACATGAGCGAAGGAAGAAAGCGTTGGCGGCTGGACTCGCAAAGGTCAAAGACAAAGTAGATGCGCGGCGGCGAGACGAAGGGCAGATCGGAGGTGGGGTCGCGCCAGTGGAATTGGACGCCGAGGGTATCATTGACGTCGGGGGAGAAGGTGCGGGTTTTGTCGAAGCCGTCGAGGAGAACGAGGACTTTGGACGACGAGGAGGAGGAGGAGGAATTCTGCTGCTGCTGTTCTTTAAACGTCATAATGTGTGATGCCTTTTCATTGCTGCGGCGCTCGAGCAGGTCTGGAGTGCCGACGTAAAAGCAAAAGTGTGGTTCGCGGCTCAGTGCATCGCGGGTTTGCGGCACTTCGTCCGAAGCAGCAGAATGACAAGCCATTTTGCCGGCTTCAAGTTGTGCGTGTGCTTGTGCCTGTCCCCACGAAAAGATGTTGTTGTATTTTCTGAGATCGATGGTAGTTGTAGTAAAGCGGAAGTAAAAGAAGGCAGACGTAGCAACCGAGAGAGTTAAAACTCCCCAGACTGTTCGTTTGGTTCGCATAAAGTAGTGGTTGATGGGGATCATGTAGTGGTAGAGTCGTGGTCTCGTGGACGACAGCCAGTACATGTCTTATATTCCATACCACTTCACAAATGGGTACCGTACTAGTAATGGGAGAACTCAGCCCCGCACTGCCACACAATGTGCCTCGGCATGTGGAATTGCCGAGTTTGCAGCGAGCAGTGCCATCTTCGTTGTTGCAAGGTTGCAGCAAAGCCACGCAAAGCAAGCACTTAAGCAAGAGCTGCCAGACATCATCACACAACTAAGACAACTGAAGTTGGAAATCGTGGGGCAGTGTGACAATGGAACAGTTCCCTGGATTAGTCTAGTGTACCCGCTTGTACATGAGTTAGTCTGGCTTGGCATATGGTACGTATACATGTACCAATGTACATACAGCGGTAAATTCCTAGCGAGTCCTCATTTGGGTGATTTGGATCCGAACAACTGCGAGACTGCAGAGTTCAGAAGCTCCAAACTCCAAAGTATCCCGGCGCCTAAACGTCTACACAAAGGTACTGTACCTCAATATTTTCTAACTGGGACCTAGCACTACCTTATAACCACCACACCACAAACCGTACGTTCCTCCTCCTAATCTCGAATCCGCACTTCAGGGAGTACCTCACCAGAGGTAGCCACCGCAGTTACACTACTTGTAGCCTTCTGCTCCACATTGCTGCTCTCCGTAACCCGCGTAGCGCTACTAGTTTGATCCTGTTGCTGCTGCGAAGTGCTTGTCACCGCAACATTTGTCAATGAACTTGCAGTAGTAGATCTACCACTTTCCGACAAGACAACGCTCGCAGTGATGACAGACGACGACAAGTCCGCATCGTCAGCATTGGCAGCATTAGCAACTCTAAAGTCAGCAACAGCAGCCTGAGTAACACGCGCGGTTGTTGCAACAGTGCTGTAAGTTGGTCGGTAGTTGGGGATAGAAACGCAGTATTCGTAGTCTTGGTAGAGACCGGTGCCTGTAGTTGAAAGGGAAGAAGATGGCAAATGTTAGAAACTGAAAGATGCGGCATGCATGCAGACCAGACGAGAAGGAGAAGGGGAACAAAAAAAATTAAAAAAAAATACGCACAGTTTTGGTACACTTTGGGATTCCAAGCTACAAAGCGGGCATGGCTGAGACCAAAGTTTGTCTCGATGATTTCGCACGGTTTTTTGATCCAACTGGTCGTGTTGGGCATGACGAATTTATTGCAGTTGGAAATGATACCTGGCTGTCGGTATCTCCAGACGGCGACGCAGTATTCAGTTCCTGTATCGTGACGAAAAACAACAAGATTAGCACACACTGACCACCCACACAAGAACGGACCAAAGATGAGTACACTTACCTGCTGTGTAGTTTCCGCAGTCGGGTCCCACACTAGGATTCCACGCCACAAACTCGGCCATATCAATTCCCCGAGTTCCGGCAAACTGACTGCACGTGTACCCCGGCGTCGCGAGTTCCTTGCGAATACAATACTTGGTAGCCTGTTCTTCTTCCTGCAGATAGTGTTGCACGCAGTAGCGATAGTCTGTGCTGACTTCACACGAGGCGTCGTTGGTGCCTTCTAGTGTTGGATTCCACTCGATAAGATCGCTGACACTCACGCCATATGCACGCGCAATATCCGAACACCTGGTTGACGTGTTTCGGGTAATGGAATCGAGCAGGAGTGGCGGGTTGAGATAGTGGGCGCAATCCATCAAGGTGCCGTTGGCAATGGGCATCATGCTAGGCCGAGCCGTGGTGGAGTTGCTGGTCATGGTGGCTGTGGCGGTCTCGGCAGGTAAATCCGCGGTGCCGAACGGGGTCCAGTTTCTGGTGTCTATTTCTGTGCTGTTGCAGCGTGTTTGGTTAGATGATGCGGTGAACCAAAAAAAAAAAAAAAAAAAAAAAAAAAAAAAAAAAAAAAAAGAGCAAAAAAAAAAAAAAAAAAAAACCGACGTGGCAGGCCCGGGGAAAGAGAACCTACATGGTAGCGCTTGGACTCTCAGTCGGTTCAGGATTGAGATCAACCCATCCACCTCCGGGGTTGGACGTGCAGATGACATGGCCAACATAGTCTTGGAGGTTGTTACAGTTGATTCCCAATTCAGGATTCCATGATACCAGTCTGTTCCAGGTTGTATCAATGGAATCGGCAATGCTCACGCAGGTATCATCCTCCTTTACAATATATGGCGTGCATTGTCGGTCCGTGGGTATGCACAATGTCCCCTCTGTAGGGAAATCATAGCAGAAAGCCGACAAGTGGTTGGCAACGGCCAGGTTGATCGTACTCATGCCATGGGAGGTTGACACGGAGAGGCAGGTGTCTCCCGCTTTGAGGGTGTATTTCGTGCCACTGCATGTTTCTGTGGGTTCAGCACTAGCAGTAGAGGTAGCTGTACCAGTCGTCGTTATTCTAAAGTACATATCCACAGTCAGTTAGAAGAAATGGTGAGTAGCATGTCCAAGATACGGCTTACGGAACAATCCATGTAGAGGGTACAGGAGGAGTGAGTGTCATGGTGGATATACCACAGCTCGAAGTGAGGTATGTAAAGGCACTCTCCCAGATAGGATTAGAAGCCAGAGGCATCTGTAATCTGGTGGCGAGCATGGTGAGATAGCAGGAGTTGCATTCGAAGGAGGTTTTCGGAGTCGCGGTCACGACTTGGTTGAGCGGGTCGATGTTGGCCGCGTCCCTGAAGATGGCGTTGCATAGCTTTCCAGACCTGTCAGACACACTTCTTGTCAGTCGTTGGCACAAGATTGAAGTTTGACCACGTGAAAACCCGGGAACCTTACGGATCTTTGACACAAGTAGCTCGGTAGATCTCATAGTATTGCTCGACATATGCAGCGGGCGACTGGCCGAATCCCTCTCCGACGGCGAAGTACTGACTGGCACAAGCACCTTGGACTCTGCGCATCCAGGTAGACAGAGCGGCGTCGCAGGTGGAAGTGCAAAACTTTGAAAGGGTGTCATCGTTCCAGAACTTTATGACATCAAGACCAATGCGAGCAGCATCTTGGAAGACGGGGTCGCAGTTGATGGCTTGGTTGATGACTGAACGACATGTTGAGGTTAGCCCTGGAAGGTCTGTAGCTGTAAAGTTCAACAGCTGAACAGCGGCCGATGTGGTGTGGACAATAAGGCCGAGGCTTAGCAAAAGAAGGGGTCTCAAAACATAGGGAGGCATCATGACCGTGATGAGAGACAGCACAAGGCTTCAGTTTGCACTTTGGTCCTCTTAGTCTCTGTCCTCGCTCTCAGTTGGTCAAGGCGGACCAAGGTCGCCAGCGCGAGACGTGGCCGAAGGAGGGCCGTAGGGATAGAAGAGACTCAAGCTGAAGAGTCGAGGGCCAAAGCTTCCAGACACATTGTAACCCATTCGGATCAAGAATTCAAGATGTGAGCCCTGGAGGGGGTCGGCATGTCGGCATGTCGGATTCCAACGTGATGCCGAGGAAGAAGTCTAGAAAGGCCGCAGATGGTGATGCCGGGTCGAGAAGTTGGGTCTAGCCAAAATGACCGGTCTCGGGCCGAAGCGGATTGTGACATGTCCGGAGATGAAGTCGATGTCTAGTTAGGAAGAGTTTTCAGTGGAAAATCAAAAAGAACTAGTCTAGAGGGAGAAGTTGAGTTGGTACCTGCATTGGTGTCGTGTGCGGAATGTGACATGCATCCAACTTTGATGATATGAACCCTGCGTTCTGCATAGAGGTACTAATCGCCTAGGTACCACTGTGACCGTCAAAAAGAAAAAGGTTTCCGGCAGTACGGCACACTAGGCACTTGAAGAGAAACAAGCACTGACACCTTGTTAGTGAAACTTATTCGTTCAGGTACGGCGTAATTACTATACCGTTTAGTAACAGCTCGAAAATTACGGCTTCCAGGGTACCACACCCTTGCATGTCGCAATCGGCAAACTAGGGCCAGGGTCGCAAGTCACGCTCTATGCGTTTGTGGCGTCCGGGACGGCCCGCGTAACTTACAAGGCGGGACCATGTCGGAGGGATCCTTCTGGGTTAACGCTCCAGAGGAAACTATTCGCTTGTGAATTTTGTTCGGTCCTTTGTCCGCATCTGTTTTCGGCCGTCCGCACTACACGACAACACAAGTCTAGAGCCATGAGAACCATGAGACCTTTCTACCAAACTACCTGGTCATCACCAAGTACCCATCAACGATGATACCATGCAATGACCGGAACATGAACCAGAAGGGCGGAATCGGAGCGGACTTCCACGACATGGACGACACCTCGGGACAAGATTCGATCTTCTCCATTAACAACATCAATCATCACGATCCAAACCTCCAAACACTGACAATGAAATGACTATTTAACTTGCCCTTTGGTCCGCCTCCTCGGGTCCAAAAAAGATGTCTGTATCGCTCAGGTCGTCTCGTCCAGCTCCGGTCATTACCTCCTCTACAGTCTCTACAGTTCCTTCAATATAAAGTCGTCTCTCGTTACTCTTTCCGCTCTCAGCCTCGCCGCTAGAGCGCGCGCATACTTGGTCGATCCGCCCACTACTACTGCCCCTAACACGGCCGAGGAATGCTCCAACTGGATAGTAGCCGAGAATTCCTCAACCTGTGAGGAGATTGCCGAGTACAACTGGATCACCGTGACTCAGCTGAAGAGATGGGTAAGTAATATCTTTTGCGCCAACCCTACCTATGTGAACATTGAACTGACTATTGTCTTCTACATTGACAGAATCCGTCTCTCGGCGCCTCCTGCTCCCTCGTTATCGGTCAGTCCTACTGCACTAAAAAGAACTAGGGTGCCCCTGAAGAGGAGGAGCCCAAGACCACCACTACAATCGCTGCCGGTCCGACCACCACTTCGACTGTTAGTAACGGCATTATCACGCCTACGCCGACCCAGGAAGGCATAATCAAGGACTACAACAAGTTCCATTTCGTCTCCACCGGCCAAGGTTGCGCCACCGTCCAGTCCTTGTATGGTCTCTCGTGGGCCGACTTCTACCGTTGGAACCCTGCCGTCGGCGCCAACTGCGAGACTCTCTGGGCCAACACCAACGTTTGCGTCGGCGTTATTGGCGGTGCTAGCGTGTCTACTTCTGTCCCGGCCACCGCCACTACCACGGCCGGAAATGGCATTGCCACCCCGTCGCCCACCCAGGCCGGCATGGTTGGCAACTGCAACAAGTTCCATTTTGTCTCGGGCGGCCAGGACTGTCCCGCCATCCAGTACCTCTACGGCATCACCTTTGACCAGCTTCTCCGCTGGAACCCGGCCATTGGAGCAAGCTGCCAGGGCATGTGGGCAAACACTTATCTCTGTGTCAGCACTACCACCGATCAGACCACCTTGATCACCAGCACCAAGACCACTGTCATTACTACCAGCAAGCCTACCACCACCGCTGGCAACGGCATCTCCACTCCCCAGCCCATCCAGACAGGCATTCCTACCAACTGTGACAAGTTCCACACCGTGGTGGCCGGTGACGAGTGCCAGGCCATTGCCAACAAGTATAGCGTCTCGTTGAGCCAGTTCTACGCCTGGAACCCGGCTATCGGCACCGGTTGCAGCACCTTGTGGGCAGGCTACAACGTGTGTGTGCACACCGTGGGCGCCACCACCATCAAGACTACCGCTTCGCCTACTTCCACCGGCAATGGGGTGAGTGTCTCCTGTCTATCCATACTTACCTGCTTTGAAACCCATCATGTCCGTGTTATGTACTAACCAGTGTATATAATCAAACAGATTGCCACTCCTACTCCCACCCAGCCTGGTATGGTCGGCAATTGCAAAAGGTTCCACCAAGGCAAGTACCTACCTACCTACCTTTCCGTTCACTATCTTCTTCTACTACAGGACTCGATACTAATTCACTCTTCTTTCTCCTCACACAGTTGCCAGCGGAGACACCTGCGACGTTATTGCCAGTAAGTACGGCACCACCTCGACCAAGATTCACTCGTGGAACACGCAGATCAACAGCGCTTGCAACAATATCTGGCTGGGCTACTACGTTTGCGTCGGCGTTTAAATCTCTATAATGTCTTAATACATCGCTCGCTTCGTCTTCGAGAAGAGGGAAACTCCCTTCTTATACTTTTTTATACCAAAACTTTCCCAGGTGAATAGGTAATATTTAGGTACAAATGGGAAAAGATGTAAATAGTTTAGGACGAGAGACGGGAGGGGGGGGACACTTATATATATATATATCTTATATATACCTGTATACTATTTCCTGTGACGGCGCGGCTCAACCGCTGGTCAGCATTGCTCCCATGGCTGCATGGTTCTTGGCAGCGCACAGTATATCCTTTGCGCCGCAGCCATCCGTTGTGCTGAAGAATGTGGAGTTGAAGGGGAGCACGATGGGGAGCAGGAAGGAGTTTGAGGAGATGGTGGGGTTTGTGAGGGAGAAGGGGATCAGGCCGGTTGTGAGTAAGGTGGTGAGGGGGTTGGATAATTTGGGGGGCATTGATGAGTTGTTTGAGGAGATGAAGGAAGCCTCGATGCCTAGCCAAAACGACAAAACCTAGCAAAAACCGAAGGTGGAAACCGATGCAAGAAATATGCTACTGCTGGTCATATCAATTTCGGTCACATTTCGATACGCCTGGCGCACAGCAATCTTCCCAAACTGCTGACATCCTCAGTTGCTCTTCTGTCGTGACTCCTCTCACATCTCTTCCACGCTTCCACTACTCGTCAAATCGAGTCTCGCTAGTCGGTCAGAGGGTTGGTTTTAGGGACCTGACCAATGTCCCCAACTTTAGGCTGTTGAGCGCCAGACCAAGGACCATGATATCCATTTACACCCTAACACAGCTGGAGATCAACAGTGACTTGCTTACACAGTAGGTAGGAATGATAAACGAGCACAGGGTTAGGGTTTAACTCTTAAGTCCATCGCGCAACTACAAACATCACACCACTACAAACGTTATACATCAATGGCAAGCTTGCCCAGGTTACCCCATATTTCGGCGTATAATGAGGATTTGATAACGAAGGAAGGGTGATGATGGGGTCGGGTCGTCTGTTAGAGGCCGATCTGATGTGCCGAGAGTCACGGCACGAGGGAAACTCACCAAAAAAGGAGCGGGGTGCAGTGGGCTTAAGTCCGCGTGGCGCCCCGCAGCGGCCCGCCGCGTTCCCCGCAACCTGGAACCGTCTGATTCCACTATCACTCAACCAACCCCCTGGAGATGACGCCTCAATGAAGAGAATCACGCGCAAGGAACAACAGCGAGAGGAAGGGCCAACACCATGGAACTTGTAGGTACTTTTAGTATTCGGTGGGGGAAGGCTAACCTCCCATCAGGGCAATCCATTCTGTTGCCCTGCCTCCCAACAGTTCACTTCTCCTAGGTACCTTAGCAACTATCAAATGTGAAGTCCCACGCGGCCTCATTCGCAGAGCCCATAGGATCGCCGTGGTCACAGTCGAAGTAGCGGCTATACTCATACGCGATCGCCTCGTCCTCTTCCTTCTCCTCAAGCCGTTTCTTCTCAAGCTGTTTCTTCCCAAGCTGTTTCTTCCCAAGCCGTTTCTTCTTCTTCGCCAGCGCCTCTTTGCCCAACCCCGCGCTCCAAGGTCCGAACTTCTTATGGTCAGATTGAGGCTGGTATGCAGGCCCGCAAGCTTCGACCACGCGACGCGCGCTGTGATCCATAGCCTTTTTCAGCCAGTTGCTAGTGATGCGCTTGGCGTAGAGGTTGTGGAGCGCAGGCAGGTGAACGACATCGTTGACGCAGTACTGCATCGTTTTGGCGTTCACAGGGCGGCGGGAAAAGATGTCGTCGGTGGCCATCAGATCCCGCACCTCCTTCTTGGTTTTGACCAAGCGATGCACCTCCTTGAATTTTAACTGGAGATCCTTCTCGATACATTTGTCGAGCCCGCTGAGGTACGTCTTGTTGCCGGCGCGGGATGCATTCTCGAGGAGCTGGACGTCTGTGACACCCGCGAGACGGACCTTGTGGTGCGCCCAGAGGGCGTCCGCGTCGTTGCGTACGTCCCAGAAGCATTTGGAAGTGTGGGGATCCTCGAGGATGGCTTTGAGGGTGGTGGTATTCCCGTCTTCTATGCCGGGAGTGGTGAACGCAGAGTCGCCGAGGGTTTGGACATCGACAATGCCTGTTGCTTGTGAGGGAAGGACGTGTACCGTCAAGAGGGTGAGGGTCCCATTCCGGCTGAGACTTTTACCCTCAAGGTCCAGATAGAACGTGCTGGACGGAGGGATCGAGGAGAGGAAGACCCGGAGGTCTGGAAGGGATGAGATCAAGGTTGGGGTCGCGCGAGTAGTAGCCGTCGCCATATTTGACTTGGAAGGGTGCACCTTGCCGATGGTTTGATATGTCGAAAGGGAGTTTGCTGCTGTCCCAGAACGCAACTCAGCGTGGAGTTCGTGTATCTTGTCCTGTCCGGAGGGCAATTTTGTTGCCAAACGTTTCTTTGGACTAAAATGCTTGGTATTAAAATCGAACTGGTTTAGGTCAGATCATCTACTTAAGTCAAGGCAGACAAGTACAAGTCGGGCTTGGGAATTGTAGGCCTCTTGCATACTTTGAGTAGAGTTGGAGGCTGCCGGCATCTGATCTTAGAGTCGGTGGTTGGCTTGTCGCTCTCAACGCCGCCGTCACTCTGGGCCTCTGGCATGCAAAACTCTCTCAGCCAATCGACTCGTTTACAAAGGTTTATGGTGGCTGCGCCGACAGTGTGCTGCAAGCCAATCACCATGTTTATGTTCCCAAGCGCAAACGTCTTGACAGCCAGGTGGTGTGAACAATAGTCCGGACACTCTCTGGGTGTGGTTTGGTGTAAGTGTGTCCTGACTATTTTTCACACCACCTGACCGTCCAGCTGCAAAAACCCGAGTTGAGCTTCCTACAACTTGGTGGGCAAACGGACCTTCGAGACGAAACGAACAACACTTCATCTGCCTGTATCTCCACCAAAGGAGCAGATACAAGAAATCTGGTTGTGGATTTGAAATCAGCGTACTTGAAACTAGGTATCATGATAAGACTTTTCCTGTCAACATACTTGAGTTCTTTTCATTGTCGTCTTTCGTTTCAAAGGTCCGTTTATCAAAGGTTGTGGTCAACTCAATTCTCGGGAAGTTACAGAGACTGCCAACGAAGACGTTTGAGCTTGGGAATGCCATGCTAGGATTGATGGAAGGGAAGAGGTGGGCTAATGCAGGCAGATGAAGAAGGTAGGTTAAGGCAGGTACATGAAGGAGGTCCATCGTGATCAGTTTGTCGTAGTGGATCACCAAACCGTGATCCAACAAGACAAGAGCGAGAGATTCCCTTGCTCGCCGTGAGCATGACGAGGGCTGTGGATCAGGGCCTTGGGGAGAGTGTCCATTCTTGCTCCTCATCTAACAATGTACCTCACCCGAAATTGAAACCTAAGCCCCTTTCGCCGGGACTCTCCGTAGAACCACTCAAAATGAGACAAAACTTGCGCCTAATGTCAATCTTCGTTGGCTTCCCAGAGCCCTGTCGACTCGCGCCACCCAAACACGATTACTAAAACACCCCTCATTCCCCAACATGCGGCTCAACAGCTAGGCCGGGTTCTCACACACCTGACGACCGACATCATCTCTCCTAGTTTTGTGTCGTTTGCTCCACCTCAGACTTTCACCGAACATGTCAGGCCTGGGAGTCCTCAGCGTCGCTTCCAGCATCATCTCAATCGTCGACGCAGTCCTCAATGATTTGACCAAACATGTAAGAAAAGTAAAAGCCACCACTGCAAGAGAAAGCCCGCCAAACGAGTGTCTAGACCTCCTCAATCTCAGCCGCACGATAACATAGCAACCAAGCAGACCAGCTCCTGGGATGATAACGAATAAGCTCTCAAGAACATTATCAGCACAGCAAAAAGAAACTAGCAAGTGGTATCCGCTGAGACATTCTCACAGTGTGGCGGTAATTGACACCTTGAGCGCAGATCCGCCTTCATACGTGTCACTACCACTTACAAATGCAACATGCATCAGGCTCCGTCTTTGCTGTATATGTTAGGTAACCTTCACCAACCGGAGACTTATAACCCCCACAAAGCTGGCATCCCTTATCGAGCACTCCCGTGGAAACTTGGGTTCGTATCATACTGTTAGGACACCTTTAAAGATACCAAAGACCTTATCGGGTCCTTTTTTCGAAGAAGCTTATGGCAATTACCGCAAAATCTCACTTATAGGTACCGGAGATGCTCTTGTGTTTCGGGGAAGGCTATACCTTATGCGGGCGTTTTGAGCTTGCTCTTCGCTGCATATGCAGCATCTTGCCAACTGGATTGGCTTATAAATCTTGCATTATCCACAGAGCATCTCCGACAGTACGTAGTTCCAAGTATGTGGCACTCACCCCACCCCCTCACTCAAAATCGGCACTTTCATTATGCCCAACATCTTTGCTTTTCTCACTTTACCTCCCACCTCCCTAATTCTGACTGGATGTGAAGTCCTCCCTCCACCTTAAGCCGCATATTTGGGGGCGTGTGCCAATGAGAGAGTCGGTGACCTTGCCAGGGAGAGAGGACGAGGATTCGTGTTTCGCGGAGTTGAGGGTTCGATATGGGGAGGCAAAGCTCGATCAGAAGTGCTTTACACATCCTTTCGATCACAACTGCAACTTTAACTCATGAGAGTGTTCAATTGCTGTTGAAATTCCGAAGTGACGAATGTGCTTTCGGAATTTAGCTGGGGCGGAACGCGGGGTTCAGACGTCGACATTTCCGCGTCGTGACTCCCAAGACCAAACCCTATCAGCCCAACAAGTTGAGCGGGACACAATCGACGACGATTACCCCAGCCTGCTAAGCCCCATCTCCTTTCCCCGCCCAGGGAAAAGCAAGTACCCACATCGACCAAGTAGTTGAGGAACCCTAACCCTAGAGCGGTCTCAGCCGGCTCTAGGGTTAGGGTTCTGACCGCCATATCTAGAAACACAGCTCCCCACAATCACTATCCGCTACATTTCCGCACCTCTCGAAGGATTGATTGATTAAAAAGATGCGAGAAAAGAACGAGCAAACGCCATTTCTCAGCCCGGAACAGGAACCTGTCCCAAATTTTCTCTTGTGCCTACGTATGAAACGAGTTAGAAGGGGAATCTTCAACACCTTATGGAGCACCCGACACTGCAATAAACGGACTATCGGCTTCCGAAGCGAACGTCCGAGTTGTCGGAGTTTGATTTATTCTACTAGAAGGCGACCACAACCAAGCACATCCTTAGCATCTTTTCAACATGGAGGCGTCCTCCAGTTCTCGGTAGTGTTTCTCTTCCCTTCTCGTTCCCATTGATTCTTTCGTTTCATCATCATGTTTTGCACAACGGAGGAGGTCATACGCAATCGTCTCCAATCCGTTATCTGCCGAGTCGGGGGCGAGCCATCTCCGGAGGCCGGGGAGGCGGGGGAGCCACGCTTCCTCCGGTGTGTTTTCATCCGGGGGGCTTGGGACTCGGTGAGGGAGTGGAGATGGGACCAGCCGCGCAGTGGGGGCGTGCGCAAGCGTTGGGTGAGCGGGTGGTGGGCCGGGGGGGTGTGGACTGCCGCGGCCCGGGCCGTTTCTCGTCTGATGATTTCGGGTGGGGCGATGCCGGCCAAACGCTAAACCCCGCCAGTAAACGCCTGCAGCTTTGTAAACAGGTCAACCCGAATGCTCATTGCGAGGTAGTCGAGCCGCTCAGTATCACGACGCTTATCCTAGTTGTGAGGACTTCTGTGTAAGAAGGAGGAAGAAGGAGTGCATGTCTGATTGAACGAAATACAGCAAGAATCGGGAAGTGGGTCCAGAAGGTTGAAAAGCGGAGATTGCACAAGTGACAACGCAGCGGCCCGCATTATTCAGCTCTAGGCGGCGGAGCCAAAGGCAACGGACCCGTCTATTGGATGAAAACTGTGGGCCTCACAATGGCTATGACGCTTAACGATTGGTCGGCACTAGTGGATCCCATTCCTGCACGCTCGTAGCCATCCATTCCTCGCACGGCACGTCACTTCATCTCGAGACTCTTCCCCGGACACATAACTAGGGCCCTCGCTCTCCTCCCCATTCTCATCGCCATGGCCCATACTCGAGCTCAAACAGCGGCCCAAAGGGCGCTCCCATCACCGGCATCAAATTATCAAGGTACTTGTTCTTCGCAGCGCTTGAACTTTGATGTCCCACCGCTTTCCGAGGCGACCGGGCTTTCCCAGGATTTGGGGAACTTGATGCAGTCAGATGCCAGCTGCGCTTCTCTGCCTGACGAGCGGGGCAGCCAGTCGAGCAATGCCGGGCAGCAGGCGGTCACTCCAGGTACCTCATTCAGTGAGCCGAAGAGGAGGAAAGGATAAGGCCCGGAAGGGCCGTAATGTGTTGGCGGGTAGATAGCATAGGATTCAATTGACCGTCATCTTCACCTTGGCTACTTCGCTTCTTGCCTTCCATCATTCATAAACCAAGTCACTGTCCTGGCCAGGTGCTTTGAGTGATCACCCTAAATGTTCGGGTACCTTCGTTATGGCGGTCCCCCAGTAGACACTTTTAGGGTAGTTTTACATGTAACCGAATAGAGGCCTTCAGATTGCACTATACAGCAAGAAGAATTAAGATGAGCCTAGCTACTCCATTCCGACACAGTAGCCAAGGACGACAGCGTGGCAGGATGTTCAGGCCCAAGGGCTTGCTGCCGAGCCTCAACACAGTCTTGCATCAACGCTAGGGCATCTTCATGTCGACCTTGACTATTCCACGTGAAAGCAAGGTTGTTCATGCTCGTCAGCGTGGCTGGGTGGTCGGCCCCGAGCTTCGTCTTGCTCATCTCCCTCACCTGCACAAACAGCTTTTCCGCCTCCTCCCACCGGCCCTGGTTCCTGTACGTCGACGCCAGGTTGTTCATGCTCGTCGGCGTCGAGGGATGATCGGCCCCGAGCTTCGTCTTGAAAGTCTCCATCACCTGCACCTCTAGCTTCATCTTGTCTCTAGTGGCCTCATCCAGAGCACGATTGTTCGCCAGAAGCTGGATGTCTTGCAAGATACCCTTCATCAGCGATTCGACCTTCCTGCTCTTGCCGACATGTAGCGTCATGATGGCGGCGGTGGTGAAGCGTTTGCGCGCCGAAGGGCGCGTCGTCCCTGGGGGCAAGATCGCCTCCAAGAGAGTTCCCAGCAGCGTGGATTTTTCTTGACATGCTCTAAGAACTTGCACCATCGCACTGCAGGATTTCTTTGCCGTTTCATCCAGATCATTGTCGTGTTGGCTTTGGTTCATATACTCTGTGGCCAGTCTGAGCGTGTCTGCCACCAATAGTAAGCGAGTGGAGGCGTCCCTAACGGCGTCGGGGAGGCCGTTGATGTCTCGGCACGCACTGATGATTTTTGAGACTGCGTCGACGATTGAGATGATGCTGGAAGCGAGTAGGTTAAGGTGCCTACAGACGGATAAGTTGGAGTGGACGTTTGTACCTGTTGTGCCCATTCAGCACCGTCGCACACTTGGGTGAAGCTGCATCTTTCAACCTCAGCGCATCGACAGCCGATACAAAATCCAGGCCGACGATTGATGAGCCTAGCTACTCCATTTCGACACAGTAGCCAAGGACGACAGCGTGTCAGGATGCTCAGGCCCAGGGACTCGCTGCCGAGCCTCAACACAGTCTTGCATCAACGCTAGGGCATCTTCATGTCGACCTTGACTATTCCACGTGAAAGCAAGGTTGTTCATGCTCGTCAGCGTGGCTGGGTGGTCAGCCCCGAGCTTCGCCTTGCAAGTCTCCATTACCTGCACCTCCAGCTTCTCGGCTTCGTCCCACCGGCCCTGGTTCCTATACGTCGACGCCAGGTTGTTCATGCTCGTCAGCGTATCGGGATGATCGGCCCCGAGCTTCGCCTTGCGAGTCTCCATCACCTGCACCTCCAGCTTCTCGGCTTCGTCCCACCGGCCCTGGTTCCAAAGCGTCGACGCCAGGTTGCCCATGCTCGTCAGCGTATCGGGATGATCGGCCCCGAGCTTCGCCTTGCGAGTCTCCATCACCTGCACCTCCAGCTTCTCGGCCTCCTCCCACCGGCCCTGGTTCCTGTACGTCGACGCCAGGTTGGCCATGCTCGTCAGCGTCCAAGGATGATCGGCCCCAAGCTTCGCCTTGCGAGTCTCCATCACCTGCACCTCCAGCTTCTCAGCCTCCTTCCATAGTCCTTTATCCCGAAGCACTTCTGCACATAGCGACGTGCTAGCTAATGTTCGCTCGTCTTCTCTTCCCAGTATTTCCTTGCGGCTTCTCCTCGATTTACGAGCCATTTGCTCTGCCACATCATATCTACCCTGCAATTCTGCATACCATCCACCATTGTATAACAGCGTTGCCCATGCCTCCTCCAGTTTGCTCTCCACTGGTCGGTAGTCTACGGCCCTCTCAACGTGTGGAAAGAGACGCTGACACGTCGCCCAGTTACTGTAGTCTCCGGGTGGGAACAGCGCGGCTATCCGTGACACAAACTGATGCTTAAATTCCTCCTCCCTCCCACACTCCTTCAGCCACGTCCTCGTCGACAGCTGTACGAGGCTGTGCATCTCGAACGTGTCTCCGCTCTCGCTTACAGTTACGAGACAAAAGTTTGTTAGCATTGCTACATCTTCCTCGACTTTAGAGATACCCGGAAATCTTACGGCCAGGACCTGGTGGACGTCCGCTGGGTCCCCGGCCACAAGGGCATTACGGGCAATGAAATCGCTGACGGGCTTGCAAAAACGGGCGCTGAAGGGGGAGAGGTGGTCAACGGAGGTCTGGCTACTCTTGCACATTCAAAGCGGCTAGCCGAAAAGGAGACACGCACGGATTTCAGGACATGGTGGGCAGGGAACAAACCAGTATCACGGGTGGACTCGACGTTAGGTATGGATATGGATATGTGTAGTTGTACGAGGCGAGGAGGAAGGAAGTGGTGTGCCAGCCAGGCCTTATATAGAGGGCATGGCTAGGCACGCACAACGTACATGACACGTGGTCACGTGCTGCACCCATCACAGGTTAATCCTGTGATAACCCTTCGTCCGGTCGTCCTGTTTCTGCTTGGTTGGCTGTAGTTGCTCTGTGGAAGTGTTTAGCGCTGTCGGTAATTTCAGTCGGCAGTTCCAACGTTGGCTCGATAGCCTGGTGACGTTTCGGCTGTGTTGATGTCGGTGACAGGGAGTTAGGTTGGGCGAGGCTGATCCTTGACGTCTGAGGCCGCAAGCCTAAATAACTCTATCCCTGAAGTGTTGGTGAATGTCGCCGGCGAGTGTCCGTGTGACAGCAGCTCCCTGACGCCGGATCCCAGATCTTGATCGTGTGGTCCCCCGAACCGGACGCAACCCGCTGGCTATCAGGTGAGAATGCCACTAAGCAAACTTTTATCCTTAAGATCTGCGTCAACCTTGCCAGTATCGAGAAGCAGCTTAACAACCGCCTTATGCCCATTCTTTGCCGCCATATGCAGCGCTGTCTGTCCATCCTCATCCTGAGCACCTGCGTTAACCTTGCCAGTATCGAGAAGCAGCTTAACAACCGCCTCATGCCCATTCTCCGCCGCCATATGCAGCGCTGTCCGTCCATCCTTATCCTGAGGATCTGCGTTAACCTTGCCAGTATCGAGAAGCAGCTTAACAACCCCTTCATGCCCTTTCTTTGCCGCCATATGCAGTGCTGTCCGTCCATCCTTATCCTGAGCATCTGTGTCAACCTTGCCGGTATCGAGAAGCAGCTTAACAACCGCTTCATGCCCATTCTCTGCCGCCATATGCAGCACTTTTTGTAGCTCCGTACTCTGAAAGTCGACCTCGACGGTGTCGAAAAGTAGCTGAACGACTACCTCATGCCCAGTTATCGCCGCTCGATAGAGCGTCGTCGTTAATCCATTTCTATCTGTCATATCCACATCGACCTTATCAGTATCGAGTAGCATCTTAACGATCGCTTTATAGCCTTTTTGCTCCGCAAGCCACAGCAGCGTCTGTAGCTCCTCCCTATGCAAGTTGACCTTGCCAGTGTCAAGAAGCAATTTTACGACCGTCTAATGCCCGCCTCCTGCCGCCAAGCATAGAAGCGTCCATTGGCCCTTGTCCTTAATAAGTTGATTTACCATTGTTTCCTTTGCATCTTCCTTTTCTGAATCCTCGGGACCTAGGCAAGTCTTTTTTAGGTTGCTCATGCTCCTCAATGCCCTCTCAAGAACCGCCGTTTCTTCCCGAAGATTCTTCACTGCAACTCCATACTGTTTCACCTCTTGTAATACCAATCTGACATTCCGTATCCTAGTCGCCGCATTTCGACAACCTTCCAATCTTGTCTTTGAATGCTTTGGAATGTTTGCAAAGTAGTTGTGGTGGTTTTTATCTTGCTGCTTGTTTGGATCTATATCCCAATTCCAGATAAGTAGAAAATTGTGTGGAAAGACCGTTATCGATTGTTTGATATCTCCGGTCGTAGCTTGTGGATCGCCTGCTGGGGAAACTGCAATCATAATAACCGCCCAGTGATCGTTGTATGGCCTGAGGATCGTGGGTCTCGACGCTCCTTGAAGAAGGCAGACGACATCTCCTTTTTGGACGGATTTTACCGTGGTCGGGAGGGTCCAGCAAGAACCCCATGCTTCCTTCACGCAAATATAGCTGAGGACATTACTCCAAGTAATGGCCACATCTTGTCTGTCTTCCCAAGTAGCATTTCTCTTGACCGAGGACACTTCGCCAAGAATGCAACCCTTGCCCTCAATAATGGCAATCTCCTTATCGTCCGAAAGGCCGTTTACAGAGACCAATTCAGATAGGACGAAGTGGATGAGTTTGTTAAAGAGTTGTTTCCACGAAATCTTGTAGTCGGCAAATAATCCTGCTGCGGTTGGATTATCAGAGCTCATACCGAGTAAGGCATATACTTTATCGCGACGTTTCGTAGCTTTGCGGGTGTGGTACATTTCTATCAGTTCACCCAGAGGGCGTATGTCAAGAGAAAAGTTGTCTGACTGACTAGTCGCGTATTTGGGCCGGAAGATTGCGCCCCTTATAAGGTAGGTTACCGAAAGGATTTGAGCCCGCAGGTCTGCGGGGAGTTTATTGGACAGGTTCAATGCTTTCAGGCCTGAACAGAATGCAAATCCGTCAATCTCAGCAGAACCACACTTGATCAGGATATGGCGAGCCGCGGCAACTTCCTGAAGCACCTACATCAATCTATCAGTTTCCTTAGTCATAATGTTTTGACATCGGTTTCCTTACCCAAATGCGCCGAAACCACGATCGTTGAAGTAGTGTAAGGATTCCCGCTTTATTGTCTAATCGTCTTGTAGACAGCTCGGCTGCGATGCGTATTTCTTCGGGTGCTTGGTCGCGCTTGGCTGCGATACGTATTTCTTCAAGCGCTTGGTCGCTACCGGCTGCCTCCTCTCCAAGCCAAACAATTACGCGACTTGCTTTAGCGTAGATCTTCGCCATAGATTGAACTTGGTGTCCTTTTTCTTCTTCGTCTTCTTGGTTGATGCAAATGGCATCTATCCATATAGTTCGTTCAATGGAGTGATCTCGAAGATGTAACAGCGCTGCGTAAAGATTTTCTCCGACGGGCAAGTCGCACCCGTTTATAGAGATGGAACAAGGCTTGTCCTCGGAGCCCCACACGTAGGATAAGGCCTCGTACAGACGAGTGCCTTTTGAGTCCAATGCGGAAGAAACCTCTTGACTACGGTGAGGATGCTATGGTTGATGATTAATGAATCGAGTTTATGAAAGTGCCGGGAATTCCTCTCCGCTGCCATCTAGGACAAAACAAGGTAAAAGAAACTAGAACACTGTGTTTTCTCGAGGTTATGAGGGAGCATAGGGCTCTGTGTTGTCACCTTGTTAGGCGCGAGATGGCTGGCGGCTTCCTCCCAATTACACGCCAATTACCCAAACGCCATTTCTTTTTTTTTGAGGTTGGGCATTCATCGACCCGGTAGGTTCAGGGCGCCAAATCAATTGCCGTTCTGACAGTATGGACACCTAGTCGACGGCTCCAGCGCCGTCTACGTGGCTAGTGCCGACAGCGTGGGGTAACGCCTCAGGGGGCGCAGGCGACGCATGGGTGTCGTACAACAGACTCAAGCAAGTCTTCCTCGCTATGCGAGCTACGAACGCTCTACCAACTGAGCCACACGCCCGGTGATTTGTTGTTGTTGAAATTTGTGGGGAATTAATGTTCATAAGGCGATTTATGCCATTGAGGTGAGAAAATGTCGCCCGCTCTTCCCCTCCTTCCTCTCCATTTCCTACCTTCTGCATCGCAAATTTCAACACAACCTCCTCTATTCTCTGATACTTCGACAGGACTGCGACAGACGGCGCAATTTGATACGTCTGCGTGCGAAGAATCATCATGTCATCTCCCCCACTCTTCCCCTTAGAGGTCTACAAAGCTAGCCCGCTTACGGCCTGTCAAGTGACGACTCGTTCAGTCCGAAAATCCTCCCACGTTGGTGGTGCTTGACGGCGACGTCGCCTGTCGGCCAGACCCTTTGATTGCACGCAATGGAGGCACACAAATCACCAACTCAAGCAGCTGAGCCCAATTCGCGTGGCGTTTGTAAAATGCAAACGAATTGACTGGTAGGACGATTTTCAAGCTGCCAATCAGCGCAGTCTTTCTTCTTTTGGGGGCCTACGAGATGGGGGGCCTACAAAACCAACCCCGCTGCTGTAGGCCTCACGGCCTCACGAATGGGTCTCTGGTGCTTTGGAATGTCACTCCCACGATTCTATCGAGGACGGCCGTGGCTGAGCTCGTTATATATATCCCCATAGACGACCTGGCTTTTCACAAAAGAAATCGGTAACGACACACATTCGCTACACACTTTCTTCCCAAAGTCAAAGCTCCTCCCACCTCGACGTTGCTTTCGGGAATAACAACATCTCTCATCACACCATGTCACACCCCAAGCCTAACGTCATGGCACCCGCCGCATCGAATGGACAGTACCAACACTTTGTCCCCCAGTTCCTTCTCAAGAACTTTGCCCACAGGGTCCCCAAAGCGCCCAAAGGACCCAAAGGAACTCCGAAGCCCAAGTATGAGAAGGGCATGTTTCCAGGAGACCTGGTAATCAGCAGCCTCGACCTAACCCAGGACGCTGCCGTCTTCACCGAGAAGCCCGTTTCCAGGATTTTGGGGCAGATCAACATGTACGACGACTTCACGAAGCCCAACGGGGAGCAAAGACATGTCGAGAAGTTGCTCTCCAAATTGGAGGACCAGGCAGCACGAATCTTCACCAAGATCACAAAGGCATATGAAGCGAACGAGGGCGGAGTTGTTCTCACCCGGGACGAGCGAAACTTGATTCGCAAGTTCCTCTTCGTCATGAAGTACCGTGGCCATCGGTTTCATACCCGCTTCTTCCACGAAAGACCCGAGGCATATTCCGAGAACGACCGGGAACTCCTTCGCGAGTACATGGAAGAACATCCGCAATTCAAAACCCCTATGCAGGTCTGGTTGCACAATATCGAAACACTCATCAACCTTGAGATGGACCCGGAGCTGAACTGGATACGTGAGC